CCCCCCCCCCAAGACCTGCGAGGTCACGGACATTCATAGTAACAGCCTTGGCAGCGCATCGGCATTGAAAAACACTCTTTTCATTGGTAGCGCTATTGGCATCCGCTAGCTGTGTTATCGAACTTGATTGCAACCGCGGTAGGTATGGTATCTATTACGGTAAGTGGCCAACCCAACTAGAGCATCGCACATGAACATGGAGAAGTCAATTTGACCTGATAAAGAGATATGTTCGTATCTGGGGGGACGGCATTGACCACAATTGAATGAAGCCCATAGCGGCTCTGAGTCTTGCTTCACACAATCTGGTTTCATATTCACTTGTAGTATGTCTTGGGGGTTGTACCGACCGTGTTGGAGTTTCCCATTCGGCCAACAAAGCCTACAATTGCGATTTCAACAGACCGAACCTAGACAATGTCTACACCCTAGGATAAGCATCGGCAAGAATAATTCCTTGGAGAAGCTCGGGGTGAAAAACATCCTCTTGAATAAAGTATTCAGCTCGCCACGCCTGGAGGTCTCCGGCATCAATAGCCTGGGGCTTCCATCCACGAAAATAAGTCACCAGAGATAGCATCTCTAGTTCTAAACCCGTTTAATATAAGTAAAGCCTATTATCTGGATCAGCTTGACGTTAAATATTAGCTGTTGTGGGTCATATACACGGTTTGTAGTCATCTAAAGAGGCCTAGCAAGGTAATGGCTTTCGCTAAGTCGGTAGGTGATTGAGGTGGTAATAGATTCCATACTGCTAAGTATCATGGAAGAATTTGATCCCCTTTTGGCATTCAAGAGTTGACCAGCCATAGCGCCTGCTCTTATAGTTAGCTGTTTTGAATGCATCGTGGCTTCTTTGTTGCGCTTTCACCTTATGCCTGTTCCCGCGTCGCATGAACCTGGCTCCCGGGGTGGGGCGATACTTTACTGCTAACTTATCTACCTTTCATACCCAGCTGCTTTCCAGTTGCCCACTCGAAATCTGAAAAGCCGATATGTAATGCGTTAAGGGTCTGCTCAACGAAGACTCTTTGCGGACCAGGGACTCATATACTTGTAGAGGCATAGGATAATTTGTACTGCAGTTCATGTTTGATTGAAAGAAGAGATACTGCTAACTAAACTGATTTATTACGGGAAATTTCTTGAGTCCAATCCACATCATATCAGGTCTTCATATAAAAGCTCAGCTCATTCTAGCTAACTAGCTTTTGTAGAAGTCAACGTGGTCACGCTTGATGGCATCGGCACCCTTCTCACCAACCATGTACACAGAGTTCTGAATCCGGCAGTCAGGAATGACAGGAATAACGGATGCATCAATAACACGGAGGTTCTTGATGCCGTGGACCTTCAGGTTGGGGTCGACGACGCCCTGCTGGATGTTCTTCGACAGACGGGCAGTACCACAAGGGTGGAAAGAGGTCTGAGAGCGGTCCAGCACGGCCATCTTCATAAGCTTGTTGTCATGCAGTGGCATCTCCCAAGGATACTCGTCCTCAATGATATCTTTGAAGCCGGGTCCATTCTTCAGGACGTCGTAGGTATATCTGATTCCCTCGCGGAGAGCGATGATGTCGAGGTCGTTGTTAAAGTAGTTTAGGTTGATGTTGGGTTGCTGCAGCGGGTCATCGCTGTTGAGAGTGACCTCACCAGGCTCGGAGACAGGGCGGACAAGATCAACCATCACAGTCACGTAGTTGCCCTTGCTTGGTGTGGGATAGTGCCACTGGAATGCGCTACCGAAAAGACAGACGAAGTCAAGCTCGAAGTGAGGCTGGCCGTACGGGCAGAAAGGGTCCTTGTTCCCGTTTGAGGCCTTAGCCTCGCGGTACTGGGGGTCTTTTTCTAGGTACTTGTCGATTCGGGGGAATCCCACCATCTCAAGGAAGCCGGAGCCTAATGGACCACCGTGGTTGGTCTGGTAGGCTTGGATGGCCTGATTGTTATGGGGTGTTCCCTTGCGCAGGATGTAGTCATCCATACCGTAGCCATCTTTGACACGAAGAACGAAAGGAACGCCAGGGTGATCTAGGAGATGCTGACCAACGTGGGCGTTATCGAGAATCACCGGGATGCCGTGCTTCTTAAGCTCTGCGCTAGGCCCGATACCACTAAGCATCAGCAGCTTAGGGGTCTCGAAGACACCCTGGGAGACGATGACTTCACGGGTAGCATAGAGGTTGAGTTCCTGGCCAGAGCCCGTGATGACAGTCACACCCTTGCAGGTCTTATCGGCATTATCGATGATAAGCTTCTTTGAGTGCACCAGGGGAAGGATGGTGATGTTTGGCTTTTCGACACAAAGGAAACTGCCAGAGCGGCGACCGTTGTAAATCGTGTTGACACTATAGGTCAGGCCAACCATTTCACCGTCGAAGATGTTCTCGTTGATTGGCTGACCAGTGGACTTCCACGCACTGGTGAGGAGATCACGGAAAGACTGCATTTCGGGAATAAGTTCGGAGTGGGAAATCGGGATCGGACCATTTTGGCCGATCTTTTTCAGCTCTGGGGCGTATGCCTTCTGATCGTCATGGTAGGTGGTACTCTTTCGCAGGTAGGGAACAAGAGGGTCCCAAGTCCACTCTTTGCCACCATACTCTTCCCACATATCAAAAGTACCCTTGGACCCAGGAGCCCAGGTGAAGTAGTTCAGGGACGAACTACCGCCGAGAGCCTTTCCGCGGGTGTTGGGCTTCTCAATTCTTTCATAATCGTCGCGCTTGACTATGGTTGACTTGTATGCCCAGTCATACTGGCTGCCACGAAGCTGCATAGCTTCCGAGGGGGTTCTGATCTCTTCGATGTCTTTCGAGTTGCCAACACCAGCTTCGACAACTAAGATCTTAACATTGGGGTTCTCAGCCAGGCGGCCGGCCACAACGTTGCCGGCAGTACCCCCACCGACGATGATAAAGTCGAATCTGGCATTGTCCTGGACAGACATGATGAAGGAAGGAAAATTGAAATATAGTGGAAATGGTTGAAGATTTTGGAAGAGACAAAGGATAGATTTTCAGTCTATAAGTGACGAATTGTATAAGCCTTTTATAAGTGAGGTGGTGGACTTTCTGGTATAGAAGACTCGCCCCCCACATTCTGACCCCTCAATGGCCGTCATAGACCTGGGTGCAAGGAACAAAGACGCAGTTCCACATACCTGGGAATCCAGACTCATCTATTAATTTCCCATTGGCCCGATAGTCTTTCCATATTGGGGTGCATGCAATACGTCGTACCGGTTTTAAGTCCGATGCCTCGCACTCCCTTGCATCTCACCCATGACACGCACCCTAAACACGTCAAGACTTCTACAATTGGATTAGGTAGCCTGGTTGTCTTTGACCGGCCGAGACTATCGTAGCGCGGATAGATCTACAAAGCTCCGCCTAGATTTTAGAACACTCTACGCCATGTGGTTGGCTATTCCCAAGCACGCAGTGGAGTCTGTCTCCTGGGCCTCCTCGTAACTGAGGGGCACAGAGATCAAATTTTTACCAATGAATCCACTGGGTTACCTCGGCATGACAACTGCTAAATCCATGCCTGCTCCAGGCTAGTTTGAATCAAGATACAAGCTCAAAGGCATAGGTATATTTTCCCTGGGCCGGTTTCCATGGGAGCATGCCAAGAAAAGAATCCGCAACCTCCGGACCCAAAAAATAGCCAGCAGCAAAAATCTAAATGTGCTAGCAAAAATGGTATTATAGAGCTACTATTGTTCTAAGCTTTGGAAATACCTTATGCGGCTTCAACGGAGTTAGAGCTAGGGCTAAGATCCATGGCTACTGGCAGGAATTCGAATGTATGGCCTCCCAGAGTAGTTGGGAGCTGAGGAGAGTAAAAGGCTTTGGATGGAATCCATCTCGATTGCATGATCTATTTGCACGAGGATCATGATACCTAGGTACCTAGCGCAGTGGGTCCACGGATCCGGGTTCTGGCGCTGATCTGCACTAACCTGATTTGGTAGTGGTATTCGACCAATCAGAGGCCTGTACTCGCTTTTAAGGTTGCTGGTTACCTAGGTAGTGGTCCGGACCTCATCGGCTCCTTACATCAACTTTAAGCCTTGGCTATTGAGAAAAATCACTGCATTCCTGCGTCACCTCTTGCGGAGAGGGATATATGTATTGCATGAGGGGTTATCTGCAGTGGACCCTTCGCTGTCAAGGACAAAGCTCCAATGAGTGTATGCGTAATGCTAAGAGCCAATTCAAAGCCATCTCAAATCAAGAAGCAAGCTTTCCCCCAGGGTTGAGACTACATATATAAACTACACCCCTCCATCGAGCCCAACCTAGTAGTCCACATACACTTCTTCTGTCTTATCCGATCCTATTACCATCACCCTTCAATTGTCATCCAACATGGGCGACAACAAATATTACACTTTGGCTGAAGGTACGAGTACTTCGCAGTCTTGGATATGTTTGCTTCCATCTAACGATTTATAGGCTGCCCTGTTGCAAGCAACAAAATGGCTGTCATGATACGGGATAGGAAGAGACAGGGCGGTGGGCTCGGATTGCTTCAGGATACTCATCTCATAGAGACTTTGGCTCACTTCTCCCGTGAGAGAATCCCGGAGCGGTAAGTGTCTGGTCCAATTGATCGCTTCCTTTGAGCTTCATATAGTCTGCTGACATTGGAACCTTGAATAGCGTCGTTCATGCCAAAGCTGTTGGGTAAGCTGTTAAGGCTCCCCCGAAACCCTTTTCCGGTTGACACTCTACATAGGTCTTATGGCGAGTTTGAAGCCACCCGCGATTGCTCCGACTTTACCTGTGCCAGCTTTCTCAGCAAGGTCGGAAAGAAAACGTCCGTGCTTCAGCGCGTGTCAACGGTCGGAGCTGAGTCAGGATCTGCTGATACTTCTCGCGATGTGCATGGATGGTCAATGAAGCTCTACACAGACGAGGGAAATCTCGATTGGGTTTTTAATAACACAGTATGCGTGGTCGCTATCACCATAATATCTTGAATGGATTCTAATTTTCTTTTACTACCTCAGCCTGTCTTTTTCATTCGCGATCCGATCAAGTTCCCGTCGATGAACCGATCCCACAAGCGGAACCCCCGGACCCATCTTCCTGATGCAAGCATGGTAAGATCTCTTGCTTTCAACCAGTGATGAGAAAATCTAATAAGAATCGCAGTTCTGGGAGTATGACTTTTCTCAAATTCCAGGTAGCGAATCGAATTCTAATCTAGTTTAGTTTCCACATCGGCAACCCTGAAGGCATACATCAACTCATGGTTCTATTCAGCGACCGCGGAACTCCAAAGTCGCCTCGCTACATGAATTCCTACAGTGGACATACATATAAGTTCACCAAGGCGGTAAGTGATGGTGGTTATCAAATGCTAGTTTCTCTCACTAAGGCCATGTCTAGGATGGCTCGTTTAAATATGCCAAAATCCATGTTAAAACGCAGCAAGGAATACAGAGTTTTACCCGCGAAGAAGCTACCAAGATTGCCGGAGAGAACCCTGACTATATGATCCAGGACATGTTTGAGGCCATTGAGAGAGGCGACTATCCTGTCTGGAATGTCTACGTTCAGCTGATGACTCCCGAAGAGGCCGAGAAATATGAAGTAAATATCTTCGATATGACCAAAGTTTGGTCTCACAAGGACTTCCCTTTGCAGCAGATTGGGCGTCTTACGATGAACCGCAATGTAAGTTTTTAACTGTTATTATGGTTGCAGTTACTGAACAGGAACAGCCGCAAAACTATTTCGCAGATATTGAGCAAGCTGCATTTTCCCCATCGACAATGGTTCCGGGATTCGCTGCATCGGCTGATCCAGGCAAGTCGAGACAGTTCTTAAATTTTCCTCCTAGGATTTCCCCGAAGCTAACCTGTGACTCAGTCTTACAAGCGCGACTATTCGCATACCCCGACGCCGCCCGTTATCGACTTGGGGTGAACTACCAGCAACTCCCAACAAATGCTGCCAAGGTACAAGTCTACTGTCCTTTCCAAAGGGACGGAAAGATGCGGTTTGACCACAACTATGGCGGGGACCCTAGTTACGTTGGCTCGACAATCAAGCCCACCAATTTCTATCAAGATGTCAAGGGATCAAACCCCGAAGCATTGTTCCTACATACAGAGCATGAAAAATGGGCGGGAGAGGTTTCGGCCTATTCCAGCGAGATCACCGACGCAGACTTTGTCCAGCCCGCAGCATTGTGGAAGCTTATTGGTCGTGAGCCTGGTCACCAGGATAGGCTAATTGACAATCTAGTCCTCAGCATTAAGGACGTTAAGTACCCTGACTTGCGCAAAGCTGTATATGGTACGTGTGCTCTACCAGTGTTTTCAAAAAGATCTGTCTGCTGTAGTACAAGTCTAACACTGAACATAGGTCTTTTTAGCCGTGTCGACAAGGTGCTTGGGTCAAAATTGCAAGAGCGTACCGAAGCAGCAATCAAGGCCGCATGAGATCGATCTGCTTATCTAGATTGCCAATGCGATTGAATGATTTTGATATAATTCGTGCTTTATTATAACTAGCAAATAATAATACCATGTGATAGTGAAGTAAACGTAGGTAATATGTTTACTTTCATAAACTTGCTCTTTTTCTTTGAGTATTCAGTACACCATTGTCGACTACTTATGTAGGTACACCGCTGATGGTATGGGGACAGCTCAGGTCCATGGATCCCGAAAAAGCTACCCGTGGACATAAATCTGCGGTGAATATTTTTATTGGATGGGGCTTCATCGTATTGCCCCACATAAACCCCTAGTGGATGTCCGAATCTCCATCTCCCATCCCACATTTTGATCCGTCAACTTCGGGAATCCCAACAGCACCTCCTTATGGCCATAAGAGAAGAATGTCTCCGCGGGCCTCCAGCTCCTCCAGTGGAACACCTCAGTTCACATTCGTAACGGGGAACATCCAATCAGAAGCTCGGAGCCATGCTATGAGGGAGCACTGGAAGCGGCGGCATCAGCACAATCAGGAGGCGAAGATATATCACCAGAAGAGGCTATCGCGAACTTTGCCTCTCCTCCCGAAGAGCGGCACTAATGAAGATGTTTCACAGACAGCAGATGCAATTAGCTCTCCATGGTTGGAGCAGAACTGGGACATGGACCTAGTCGAAAATCAGGAGAAGCATTCCGGAATTCCAGCTCAGCTTTTGTATGGTGTGAGTCAGGCATTGTCGAGCTCGAGGCCTGATCCATTCCAGACGTGTCCTGTTCACTTGACGAGCCAGCATCAGAAACTCTTGCATCACTGTGCGTATGAGGATTTGACGCAATTACTGCCTGTGAGAGTTGTGTTGACAGGATCGCAGGGATTGGCACCCATGCGGCTATGATGTTCGAAGATTTGGATGTCACCGAGTTTAATCCGATGAGGGATGTTTGGTTCCCACTGGACCTTTCGAATGCTTCCTCTTTCAACTGCATCATGGCTCATTCAGCTGCGCACTTATCTCATCTATACGCTGGTACTCTTCCTCGACGAGGCTCTAATTCTTCTGATGCCTTGAAATACAAGATCGAGGCTTTCAGGATACTGCGCATTTGGCTCGGGGATCCCGAGAAGGAGCTAAGTGACGACTCTTTTGCTGCAGTTGTTCGTCTGCTCACGTTTGAGGTATGTCAACCAATTGCGAGTATCTCTGGGGGTAATGGCTCATCACCTTTTACTCAGCGATACTGGGGTACGGAGGAAGATTGGAAAATTCACCGTGATGGCTTACAAAGAATGATCGAAGCCAAAGGTGGAGTCGAAGCGCTCCACCATAACTGGCGTTTGGAACTTGTGGTTTACCTGTGAGTACAGCTTGCGACAAGTACAAGCAACTTATGATATTGACGACTTCCAGTGTCTCGTTAATGTCGCGGCCGTCATGGCTCGAGTCCACTAACAACCTCGATCGAATCTCTCCTCCTCTTTTCTCAGCGCCCATTATGCAACAAACCACTTCTTGCGATGTTCAAAAGGTCCGCTGCCTTTGGTTGATATCGTTCATTCAAGACATGCGAACTTTCATGGGATCTGTTTACACTAAAGGGCTTTCTTCGTTTCCCTTTACTCATGCGGCAGTCGAACTTTTACGTCATAACTTTCAGCTCTCTATTCAGTCTTCTTCCCATGATACTCACATCACGGAGTGGGAAGACCAAATGCTGGGATGTTTATTTTCCATCAGTGTCGTGGTTCAGGAGTCGATTTCCGTCCTGTCCAATGGGGATTCGGCAACATTGACGGGACCGAACATACTTGACGGATTAGAGATATCCTTACGGCATTCTCGGCATGTGTGGGGGCGTTCAACCCACAACTTGCGCTCTATCTTATATGAAAGCCTGACAAGGCTCTTTGCTGAAGGAGAATTTAAGGTAAATTATGTTATGGATCTAGTGCAGGTTCTTGGCACATTGAGCTTGGAAGCACGCCAGGGTGTCGAGAAATGCCTTCTCAATTTGCTTTACTGCCTCGGAAACCACGACAGCAGAAGTAGCAGCAGGCTATTGATAGATGACGGCTGGTCGCCGGATTCACTTTTATCGTCAATGCATGGACATTAGCGCATTGAAGCCTTGAAGCCTTGAAGCCGTGAAGCCATGAATATTCAAAATTATTGTGATATTATATTACGTCAAGAAACAAGTCAGGGGACCCTAGCGATAATAGGATTTCCTAGTAATACTCCCTGGTTCGTGAAGGCACGGTTATGAGAAAGGAAGGAAAAAGCGCCGAGCAAGCGCAAGCGAATTACATCAAACCTCCATATGTTTGACCCTCTTCTTCGAGCTGCTTATCCTCTTCGAGGTATTTCTTGAAGCCTCCCTCTTCCTTCTTCAGTTCGGACCGCAGCCCACCCTTGCTGCCCTCTGGCTTGTCCTCGGCGGCCGGGCCCTCATTTCCATGCTTGTGGTGGTGGTGGTCGAGGATCTTCTCGAAGAAAGACTCCTTGTGATCGGTAGGCTGATGAGTATCTACCGTCGAATCTCTTATTAGTATTTGGGGTTGGCTGAATGAGCGACAGAACCGCGAACCTTGAGGCATCTTGATCAGATTTGATGAAAGATCGGTATATGGTCTAGGTTTCTGAATATCAGACTTCCTCGAGGTTTAATGCTCGGCTATATATCTCATAATATATGCTTTCTGTACAAACCTTGGAAATGACGCGTCGATCCTTGAGCTTCCTTCCAAATCCGGTAGTACTAATCAGCCAATCAGAGGACGTGTCTGACATCAGAGAATCTGGGCATGTCGATCATCCGTGGGACCTGCCAACAAAGGGATCGATATATACAGGAAGTAATCTACATGATTGCAGAGGAAATGTCATATGTGATAATGGTGACTTTCCTTGAATAGCTTATACTACAAAACAATTCCCGGATCCGGTAGGTGATGCCACACAAGATTCAAATTGCCGTCGCGGATATCGCGGGGAATATTTGCCGATCCAAGAAACTATAATAGATAGACTGTCAAGACTGGCGGCAATATAGTCGTCGATGGTGTATATCTAGGGCAACACTATATGCAAAAACAACCACGTTAACTGGTCAGACTGCGGTGCATCGTTTCCGGGGAAGTGTAATTAATTTAGGTACTCCGTATAGCTTGTGTCTTTAGGGCCTATGCTTCGTCGTGAATTTCATTTGCTTCCGATGGTGTCTTTTCTAGGACTGTTTTCGTGAAACCGACTTTACGATAGCGATATGTATATTTTCACTTCTTGTTAACGTAATTCTCAATATCGTGTTTAATTTCCTCAATATTCACGTATAGATAGGGTTGAATATTCAACATCGACAGCCATCGAGTGACATTTGGATCACAATATTGTTAATGAGACTGGCATCACGGCATTATGAGCTAGATAAAGAAAAAAAAAAACAAAAACATACAACAGTGAGGATTCGCTGGTGGTCACCCACCCAACTACTAACTCACCGGCGTGTGGCTTAAGTACGGCTGAGCGGACGGGAAGCCCTGTTTTCCACACCCTATGGTCGTATGTATCATATTACTTGTAGAAAGGGATCATATAGAGTGAAAATAGTTGGGTGATGGTATGTGAGGGTGACTCGTAACTGTGGGCGAGAATTCTAGGTCGATCACACTAACCCTCCTCTAATTCTAGGATAATAAGTGGTATAACTGGAAATTTCTAATTTCCTACGAGAGCTCTAGGAAATATCCCTAATACTTGAAAAAACGGTGACATTTTATAACAAGGAAGGTCACATCTGCAGATATTAACACTGAAAGCAAATTTTCTACCGGCTTGAAATTAGACATATTCAGGGATCAACCCCCTAAATTCTTCAAATTGGCCCCTGAGCGCTATACATTAGTGCTTATATAACTCTGTGATTCAACTAATCACACAAGGGCTTTTGTCGAGATAATTAATTTAGCCAGTATAGCCAAGATTGATAGCATATGTTGTGATCCGGAATATGGACCCTGGAGATTGCCTATTCCGTCGGTCTTCCGTGCGTGCGGGGCCGGCCCGCACCTCGGTCTGGAACTCAGATCCACCGCCCACGAAGACCCGTAGCACTCAGGGTTCAAATTCCCCTTTAGGAGGATTTGGTGTCTTATTTTACAACGGTAGAAATTTCGAAATACCTGAATCGCTATTATACCTGCCCTCGAAGTATCTACTAGGGGTGTTGCAGTACAGCCATATGAAGCTTTTGACGCCATACAAATCTCTGGATCTCCATTTTTTTGGACTTATAAACCGCCCAGATACGTGGAGATACCTAGCTTGGTATGTTGTAAAAACCTTCCACTTTTGGATTGTAAACCCTTACTCCGTATGGGGTGGGAATGTGGAGATAACTAGATTTGTATGGCGTCATTTTTTGAACTGTAATTAATAATTTCACAATACAGTGAATACAGTGTATAGAGCGGTGTGGAGAGCGGTGCTAATTCAGACAATCAGGCCTCATCAATCCCCCGGGGTTTGACCCCTGAGTGCTATCGGTCTTCGTACACCCGCGCCGCGAAATGTTCCTACTGTAGTAAACAGATCGAGGGAACCCCAATGTGTTGAAACCAAATTTCAATTCCATCTCTCATGCTTGGGACTTGGTCAATTGCTGTTTCCCACTTTATTGTTACCAAGGTATTATTCTTCCAAGTTTCGCGTGCTATCCATAAATTTGCACAGGCTACAATGTGGGGGCTAAATCTGAGTCGCTTGCTCAAGCGGCTTGGATACCAACAAGCTGCCTCCATCGGCGACGATGTCTTCAATGAAGTGACCTCCAATTCCTCACCTCTGTGGTTATCGTCTAATAATGCCCAAAAGGCTGTCTAGCGCAAAAGCACGTTATGTATACTCTATCATATTTCCCTATTAAGTCTTTACCTCAATATCTCCAATTCTTTCTTTCTCTTTAGGTCTTACCATGAATTATAGGATGAAAATTGTATTCAACGGTTATCAGCTCCAAGTTTGTCTCTCCCCTTTGGAGTCATTTGGCTCAAATCTAACAACAATATAAATAGGTCCCGCGCTGCAGACTGTCGAGCTCGAATGTATTACTTCAAAGGATAACTCCCAGCCTGATGAGTATAGCAGCTACCCCTCCGCCACTTCAGAAAAAGCACGAGGAGCATTATGGGACTGAGCTTAACTCTCCAAAATATCTACCCATTGGATCATATGAAGCTCCTTCAAAAAGTCGGCACTTTCACTGTGCCTCAAGAGTCTCTCGCTGGGTTGAACCAATCTTCAACAACGGCTGATTTCAGGTTCGTGGGCTCAGGATCAGATGCGGGGGTCGGTGGTCTTTTAGAGGGGGCACTTCAGATTCATTGCTTGGTAAGTCACGGCGAGGTCGATGTTAAGACCACGTAGTCAACAGAGAGTCCGGTGGAATCTTACGAGGCAGTTCATTTATCGAGATCATTGGGACTATAGCAGACTGCCCTCTTTCATTGGCGGAGATAAGCCACGCAGGCACCATGTAGACCGTTGTATTGAAATGCTGAGAATGGGTTTTGCCTGTCAAGAGTGATGTGACTCCATATTACTTAGTAAAAAGCCAGAGTGGGAAGGTGGAGAGCAGAGGACTTCCGCATAAGTGTCGGAAGTATCCGAAGCTGGTCGACTAAGGGAACTCCAATTCTGTATCTGATACCGTGGAAAGGTAGTTTCATTAACTATCATTGGGCCAAGAGAATAGAGACTAGGAGACCAGGCAGAAAGATCTAGATCGTGAGTCTTTATCAGACAAGCACGTGCTTGCCCTAGGCTGAAATGAATTTCACCAACAGGGGGATCAACTTCAAATTTGTCTCGTAGCCCCTCACTAGAATGCCAAGCTCCAGCGCAGAAATGACTTTCAACGTCCTCACGACAAATGCGATCGACTTGCAGCGCCTACTCGAAACGAACAGGACCACAAGTGCTCAAATTGTTCAAGAGTACTTGGCACAGATTGATCGCTATGAGCCTGCACTCAATGCCCTCATCTCGCCTGCCCCGCGGGAAAAGGTCCTCGAAATCGCCACGGCTCGCGACGAGGAGCGCCAGAATGGGAACATCCGCGGCCCATTTCATGGAATTCCCATAATTTTGAAAGACACATTTGTCACGGCGTTGGAGCTGGGAATGAGCACCACAGTTGGATCATATGCATTCATTGGAGCCAAGGCGTCAAAGAACGGAGCTATCACTCAGCGGCTGATTGACGCTGGCCTGATTATCCTGGGAAAGGCCAATATGACTGTCAGTAAAATTTCTATTTCCCAGCGAAATTTATTAGGTTGACTGTTCTTCTAGGAATTCGCGGGCATGAAAATGACCATGATGATGCCCGGTTGGTCTGCGCACGGCGGTCAGACTCTGTCACCGTATGTTGGGAAGATAGAAGATAATGAGAAGATTCTTGGCCACTCAGTGAGTACAAAAGATTAAGGATTTTATCTATCTGTATTAAACTAAGCAGGCTCCTGGGGGCTCATCCACTGGTTCTGCGGTCGCTGTAGCCGCTGGGTTTAGCCCTCTCGCCATGGCCACTGAGACCATAGGTTCCATCGTGACTCCGTCAACACGCGCCGGTTTGTATGCAATCAAGCCTACTATCGGGATCCAGGATACTACTGGTCTATACACCATGACAGAGTTCTTTGACAGTCCAGGGCCTATGGCAAAATCGGCAGCTGATGTTCGCGTTCTTTTTGAGATCCTACTCAGTCGCCCATTTAGCTCCCCCCAGTTAGATTCTTGGGAAGGCCTTTCCGTGGGCTTCCTAGACCCAAAAATTTGGACCATGTCACCAGACTTTTGCGCACAATTTGAGGGTACAGCGGAGCAAATGGTACGTCACTTTCATTGATCACAACGTCCAGAGCTCTAACACTTGATTCTAGGTAGACGAGTACGAAGAGACAGTTTCTGCTCTACAAAGCGGAGGTTGTCTCCTTAAATACCCAATCCATTGCAAGGATCCTTCAGTCTTGCCGGCCACTATATTACGAATCGCATGTAGGTCGCTCCAATATCAGATGAAGTCACGATGGCTAACCACTCATAGATTGGGACTTTAAAAACATCTGTATTCCTAGATTTATTCGCTCGTTTGACGAGTGCTCTGTAACAAGCGTTGCAGATATCGTCAAGTTCAATGAAGAAAACAGCGAGAAGGCCCTTCCAACTCGTAGGTTGACGGGGGGACATGATCCTCCAATCTCATATTGAGGAGTTGCTAACACAACACAGCCTTCGTCAAGCAGAATGACCTGGAGGGGGCAATGAACGCTGTTGAAGAAAAGGAACAAATAGATGAACTAAAACAGGACCTTCGTAGGGCCGCGAGAGATATTCTGGATGACCTATTTGACAAGGAAAAAATCAATATCCTGGTAGCTCCGGGAGACTCCTCGTTATGCGTTCATGCTTCTGCTGCAGGTAACAACCCATGAAGTGTTCGTTTGACTCGCCGTTACTAACAGGATTAGGGTATCCTGTCGCTACAGTCCCCATAGGACAACTTCGCTATAATGACCGGCCATTCGGTCTGTGTCTGGTGGCCAGGGCGGACGAGGAGGAGACCTTGTTGCGGTTTATGGGATTGTACGAAAGCGTTGCTAAGCCTCGACCGGTTCCGAAAATTTGAATGACTGTGGTAAATGGACAAAAGTGAAATAGACAAATGAAGGTATGGCATTATCAAAGGGTACACATAGAAAGGTCATCTTTTACCACCTTAACATTATCAAAAAAATACATATAAGAGGACATCTAAAAACTTATCTCAAAAGACGAGAGAGAAAGGGGATTTACAAAGTCGTGCAAGTGGCCGACTATACTTGAGTAAATAAGTTCGAATGTTTACTTCATACTACCGCTGAAGTATTGTTCTATGCTCCTCCTAGATGCATCAAGGTTCAAAAGGTATGCTGTAATATCGAATCAAAAAACCCCAGCGTCACCGCAATAATTTCCATCAATCCTTCCCCGGTAGCAATATTAAAATGGCCTTTGCCTCTTGCAAAATACTCCTTTTTAAGACTCTGAATCCGCCCGAGCGCCTCCCTTTGGTCCTGCGGAGGCGAAACATCATCCAACTCTGGAATGATCATCAACACCGGCGCCCGGATCATATCGAGGTACTCCTTAGGCCGAAATAGTGCAAGCTTCTGGTATGTCTGTAAAGTAATCTGATTCCGGAACGTTGGAAGCCCGAGCTCAGACGCCGCTTTCATGAGCATCGCGGCTTCGACGCCACCTGGCCCGCCCGCCCCGCCAAAGCCGATAAGATTGTCACCCTTAGAAGTGAAGGGGCGTACCGAGTGCGGCTCGTTCCCACTAATCTGCGAGACCCGGTCCTTGATAAGCTGTCTGTAGGCATTATCGGCCTTGTGAGGTTGCACGAAGCTAAAGGCCGGGCAGACCATGACGATACCTTTAGGGCGGCGGTCAATCGCAGCACAGGTGGTGCTGATGACGGCACCAAAGGACATGCCCCAGAGGATGATGCGAGAGGAGTCTACGGAGGGTAGCCGGGCAACGTAAGTGTAGATATCCGAGAGGTCTTCGGCCATTTGTAGCGGGTCGGAGAGGTTGCGGGGGATTCCGCCGCTGGCGCCGACGCTGCGGGCATCATATACAAGGACGTTATAACCGGCAGATTGAAAGGATTCGGCCACGTCGGGGAGGGTAATTTCTTTTACGCAGTTGAACTAGACGACGAGTTGTATTGAAGTGAGCCGAGATAAATATCTAGTAAAAGTAGACCTTGTGGAAAATGGGGATGCAACGAGACAACGTACGTACCCCATGGGACATGATAATAGCAGGGGCTGCGGGTCCCTCGATGGTATACAGCCATCCAGAGATAGTGGTCCCGTCGATGGTCAGACATTCAATAAGCTGATGCCGGGGCATATTAGACAAATTTGTTTCTATTAATACCGTGCACAGCTTGTCGTGCTGAGAGAAGGGTTGTCTATATACTGGCCGACAGTGCGTAAGAACCGGGGCACACAATCACCCCGGCTGCTGGGTCTCACCGATTGGTAAACACACAGGACGCGGGTTGTGGTAATAAGTAATCGCGCATGATGAGATTGAACCTCCGCTGGGGTGGATGCACTATAATGTCGTGTAAGCATGCACCAAGCCAGCATGGGGATATGCCCAGACTCACCTCCCCAGATAGGAGGAGATCACTTAGTTATGACAGACCACACAGCCGGTGTACCATGGATATTACGATATAACCATTGTATAGGAATATCCCGTTTGTCTGATAGACGTCATGTGATGACTGTCTGATAAAAATATGATGGTAATTCGATCTTGTGGTTCCTAGAAATACAGCAAGTCCTGGGCCACACCCGGTTAATGGTGGATATAAATAGCCCGACCAGTCGCCAATTACTGAACCATTCTGAAGCCACTCTCGCCAAGGAGACATCGGTAGATAATAAGATATACGGCTCCACTAACATGAAACAAACACCATTCCGTCAAGAGCCTGTGGCGGTGGTTGGTTTCGCCTGCCGGCTTCCAGGCGGGAACAATAGCCCTCAGAAGCTCTGGGAGTTCTTAGAACGAGGTGAAATTGCATCAAATCAGGTCCCGAGGGAGCGTTTCAATATTGATGGCCATTATGACGGCTCCCACAAGCCGGGGACCATGCGACCGAAGGGTGGTATGTTTATCGGAGACCATGATCTGGCTGACTTTGATGCCTCTTTCTTCGGGATCGGAGGCACCGAGGCCATTGCCATGGATCCTAATCAGCGGCAGATGCTAGAGGTGGTGTATGAAGGGCTGGAAAATGCAGGAATTCCATTAGAGAAGATCGACGGTCACCCAGTCGCTTGCTATGTGGCCTCATATGCTTCCGGTGAGTTTGCATCGCAAGAAGGCCCACGAGAGAATCAAAACCGACAGCCACTGGTCTAGATTATGGTGACATGCAGAACCGGGATGCAGAGGACCGACCAGACAACTGCGGCGTTGGGGTGGGCCGTTCTATTATGGCAAATCGGCTAAGCTATTTCCTGAATGTCAAGGGCCCTAGTATAACGATAGATACAGCTTGTTCCGGCAGCTTGGTGGGCCTAGACCTGGCCTGCCGCTCTGTTCAGTCCGATGAGGCCAATATTGCGATTGTGGCTACTAGTAACTTGTACCTGAACCCGGACCATGTCATGGATGCTGGCAGTGTCGGCAGGGCGCATTCCCCGTCGGCACTCTGTCATACGTTTGACGCTGATGCCGACGGGTATGTTAAGGCCGAGGCTGTCAGCTGTGTGATTGTGAAGAGGCTGTCGGATGCCATTCGTGACCGTGACCCCATACGTGCTATAGTGAAGGGCACCGCTTCGAATAGGTGCGTTTTCCCTTTATCTTTATTTGTGCCCAGTCCACGTGACTCATTCAATCGGAGAGGAGTTAACTTGTCGCACAGCAACGGTCGAACGGGAGGCATTGCGAGTCCTAGCTATGAGGCCCAAGCTGCCGCCATTCGTTCGGCGTATGCTAACGCCGGCATCGTCAGCTTTCACGAGACTGCCTATCTCGAATGCCATGGTACGGGAACCCAGGCGGGTGATCCGGCGGAGGTTCGAGGTGTTGGGTCTGTGTTTGCAGCGACCCGGACGGGGGATAAGCCACTGCTCATCGGCTCTATAAAGAGTAACATTGGTCATTCCGAGCCTGCGGCGGGCAACTCGGGCTTGCTGAAAGTCATCATGTCTATCGAGAAAGGCGTGATTCCCGGAACACCCCTGTTCATTAAGCCAAACCCTAAGAGTATGTACATTCGCTCCACGGAGCCTTTCCTTCTAAATGGGCTCTAACCGCCACTGTTTCCACTCGACAGTCGACTTCGAAGGATTTAAAGTGAAAGTCTTCCGCACTGCTGTCCCCTGGCCTGACGAAGGCTATTCTGTCCGTCGTGCCAGTATCAACTCCTTCGGCTTCGGAGGCTCCAACGCGCATGCAATCGTTGAACAGCCAAGTGCGGTCATGCGGAGCTTCTATCGGTCCTCCTATGCCCTGGCGACCGAAGGAGATGGCGACGGTGACAACAGTGACGACAGCTGGGAGAATGACGCCGAACATAGTGATCGTCCGTACACATTGATCGTGTCGGCCAACGATGCGCAATGCCTCCGCGAGAATGTTCGCGCGCTCACCCGGCATCTGATCAATCCACGCGTGCACGTTCAATTGGCAGATCTAGCGGCAACCCTCTCGGAGAGGCGGTCCCGACTGTGGCACCGGGCCTTCGTCACAACCCGCACGACGGAGGTCGAAGAGAAGGACTTCGTGTTTGGCAAGAACCGCGGCCAGGCGCCCAAAATCGCTTTTGTTTTTACTGGCCAAGGAGCGCAATGGCCGCAGATGGGTAAGGAAATACTACAATTCTTCCCTTGGACGCGCACGATCCTAGATGAACTCGACACGGCGCTGCAGTCGCAGCCAGATCCCCCCGAGTGGTCTCTCATCGGTGAGTTGACCGAACCGCGGGCGGGGGAGCACCTCCGCCAGCCAGAATATTCGCAGTCAATTTTGACTGCACTTCAACTATGTATATTTGCCGTGTTGGAGGCGTGGGGCATCAATCCCAGTAGTGTGGTGGGTCATTCGTCCGGCGAGATCGCGGCGGCTTATGCGGCTGGCCATATTGACCGTGCGAGCGCGATCAAGGCTGCATTCTACCGGGGCCGGGCTGCTGTGAACTGCAAGAGCCAGGGCAGGTTGGATTCAGATGTGGGGATGTTGGCGGTCGGTCTCAGCTCCCAGGCGACGCTAGAATACCTGGATAAGTACAAGGGAAGCGCATGGATTGCGTGCTTCAATAGTCCCAGCAGTGTGACTGTGTCAGGCAAGCAATCGACGTTAAACAATCTTGCCGACGAGATCAAGGCCCAAGGCCATTTTGCCCGCGAGTTGCAAGTGGAGCTAGCATACCACTCGGAGTTGATGACCCCCATCGGGGAAGAGTACTTCACCCTGCTCGAGGATGACGCCCAGTTCCAGCCGCTGCAGGGCGATGGCGCCTGCAAGGCTAAGATGTTCTCTTCTGTCACGGGCTCGCTCAAGGAATCCATGCCGGATGTCCTGTACTGGAAGTCGAACATGGTCTCCCCGGTCCGGTTTAGTGAGGCTTTGCTAGAGCTAGTCAAGACAGACGCCCCTACCATGATCATTGAGATCGGCCCCTCTGGAGCATTGGCTGGACCGATATCAGAAGTGCTTAAAACTCTGCCCACTGGTGAGGAGATACAATACTGCGCTGCGTGGGCCCGTGGTGGCAACTCCGGGAAATCCCTATTCGATGTCGCTGGGCATCTCTTTGCCATCGGCGGGCCAGTTAATTTCGCTCATGTCAACGAGTATGATGGAACTGAGGTGCGGACCCTCGTCGATCTGCCTAACTACTCATGGAGCCATACGGTCAAATACTGGCACGAAAGCGCGGCCAGTCACGACTGGCGGTACAAGCAATTTATCACGCACGATCTGCTAGGATCTAAGATCCCGGGAACGGCGTGGGAGTCACCAACCTGGCGCAAGCACCTTCAGGTGGCCGATGTACCCTGGCTGCGGGACCACAAGATGGGCCCCGATATACTAGTTCCGGCTGCCGGGCTAGCTGCGATGGCGTTGGAAGCCATGTATCAGAAATATTGCGCTCTGAACCTAGAAAATGTCGTCGCGCCCAACGACCTGGCGTACCGATTCCGCAACGTCAGGTTCGAGCGTGCGGTCGTAGTCGAGGAGAGTAAACCTACGACGATCCTCCTAACGCTAACGAATGTGCCTAGCAGCAAGGAATGGCATGAATTTCGCATTCGTACCGTGGCCCTGAGTGTGAGCTACGAGCACTGCTCCGGATTGATCCGCATCCAGGACCCAATAGGTGACGATGAGGCGCTGAAGGGGGAACAGCTTGCACCCCTGAAGAACCCGCAATCGGCCCAATTGTGGTACAAGGCGCTACAGGAGGTGGGGATTCGATTTGGCCCAACCTTCCAGACCATGAAGAGTGTCGAGTCCTTCAGTGGAAGTCGCACCTGTCGGACCATTGTCTCACTCGAGCCACCCGCATCCAGATGGGATCCCCAGTCCTGCTATCCATTCCATCCGGCGATCCTGGACGGGTTTCTGCAGAGTGCGACGCCGGCGAATGCCGCGGGAGAGCGAAGCTTAATTAAAGATAGTGTGATTCCCGCCCTCGTGGATGATATGATCATCAACAAAATCCCTTGCAACCTTGTAGAGGGCTTATCGGTGGCCGAGTCAATCTACACCGGCCGTGGGCGTCGCGATGTGGCCAAGAGCTGGACTGCCAACATTGCCATCCATCATCCGCACACCGGCGCCCTGCTACTGCGGCTGCGGGGACTCAACTACATCCGTCTGGACGTGGATGAGAAGCCAGATGTTCATGTTTTTAGCACGGCAATCTGGAACCCCGATATCTCTCTGCTCACGCAGGACCAATTCATACACCTCAAGCCCTCAAATATGGGCTCTAGCCGAATAGATACGGTTCTGGACCTGGTGGCATGGAAGGTGCCTACTCTTCAGGTGCTAGAACTGAACATGGACGAAGAAGATACATCCTCGCTGTGGTTGGAGGGAGGTGACGAGCGAGCACGGTCTGCATACGGTCTATATCATCTGGGATCCATTAGTCCGACCAAGATGGTGGCTCTCAAGTCCACCCATGAGTCCAAGCCCAATACCGAAATTCATCTACTAGATCTCGGCAAGGATAAACTCGGACTCCCCGCCAGGGATGGCTTGTATCACCTTGTCATTCTCAAGACCGCGATGCGATGCGATGTTGCTACCAGCGCAGAGAGTATTATCGAGCGCCTGGACAGCCTGCTACGGCCAGCGGGGTTTGTTCTGGTGGTCGCACCCGCGGAGCCAATAGAAACCCAAGGTAATGAGCCTACCCAGGGCAAGTTAATTGGCGACATAGATGGGGTCTCCACCCAAGAATTTTCCCCAAGCTCTGGTTCCATGATGCCGCTCCCGCAATCGGGTTCGGTGCTCCAGATAAATCCCGAGCCCGATCACCATGCTACGGCCTATCTCTGGCGACAACTGGTCAAAACCCCACAGACTTCTAGTTCTCAACAACGACACCTCACGGTTGCTTGTTTCAATGACGACGCGCCCACCCTGTCATCGACACTCAAATCCTCATTGGGGGCAGCAGGCTGGTCCATCCAGACCGTTCCAATCACGAGGGTGGCAGCGGTGGCAAATAATAACGACGCTTCCCAGTCGGTCCTGATGGTGCTGGATGAGCTTTTCAAGCCGGTGCTGACCCAGATCGGCGAGTCTGAATGGGAGGCGCTGAAAGTAGTCATTAGCACCGGCCAGCCCCTACTATGGGTCACCAAAGGAGGACAGACCCCACAAGTTTCAGACCCCGATAATGCCCTGGTGCAGGGTCTCTTCCGCGCGATCCGTCGCGAAGACCCGCAGGCCAATCTTACCACTCTCGATGTGCACTCCGCGACCAGTCCCGCCACAAATCAGGCAATCGAGTGGTTGCTTGAGGGGCTTCTGGGCGGGGCGGGTGGTGAAACCGAGTACGCTGAGAGGGACGGTGTCGTACTGATACAGCGGCTAACGCCGGATCGTGCCGTGAACGAATTCAAGGCGGCTGAGAACGGCAATGGCTTTCAACCAGTGGTCAAACAATTCCACGAGACTAAAGCCCAGGTGCGTCTACAGGCGGAGAAGGTTGGCACCTTACAGAGTCTCATATGGTGTGAAACGGCGGTCGGTGAGGTGCCAATGGAGCCAGGTATGGTGGAAATTGAGGTCATAGCCGTGGGGGTTAACTTCAAAGTAAGTTGTGACTTCTGTATCTCACCGTTCGCAGGTGCTAATCAATGCGATAAGTAGGATGTCGCCACAACTATGGGTATTGTGCCCGAGAATGAATATACCATTGGGTGCGAATGCGCCGGGTACATCAAACGGATTGCGCCAGCGCTGCAAACGCACCTTCAGGTAGGTGATCGAGTGGCTGCAATGGCGAGTGGGACGTACGCAAATCGCGTGCAGTGTCCTCATAGGCGAGTACATCGCATCCGCGAATCTTTGAGCTATGACGAGGCAGCAACCATCCCGTTAGTATATCTGACAGCTATTTATTCTCTCTACCATCTGGGAAACCTCCAAGCAGGCCAATCCGTGTTAATTCACTCCGCGGCCGGCGGCGTGGGACTAGCCGCCATTCAGCTCGCGCAGTACAAGAAGTGCGATATCTTCGTCACCGTCAGCACTGAAAAAAAGCGCCAGTTTCTGGCACACACGTTCGGTCTGCCCGAGAATCGGATGTTCACCTCTCGTAGTGCTCGATTCGCCGAAGAGATCCGCCGCGAGACCAATGGCCGCGGCGTGGATATCATCCTTAATTCGCTGACCGGTGACCTTCTGGACGAATCCTGGCGGCTTACTGCCGATGGAGGCACCATGGTCGAGATCGGAAAGCGGGATATCGTCGACCGCAATAGTCTGTCTATGGAGCCCTTCGACCGCAACTGCTCATTCCGCGCGGTCGACCTTTCATACACCCGCACGATCACCAACGAGCTGGTGGGAAACCTCCTGGGAGAGATCTTCGACCTCGTAAACAGCGGTCATGTCCGGCCAATCCATCCCATCACCCGCTACCCCTTTGATCAAGTCATCTCAGCCCTGTCGTATATGCGCAGCGGAAAGCACATGGGCAAAATTATCATCTCCAGTGTCCAGGAGGCCACGGATCTACAGCTGCCCATTCGATCAGCCGTCCCGATGCTAAACCTCGATCCCGAGGCCGCGTATATCATTGTGGGAGGACTCCGGGGTCTGGGTGGCAGCTTGGCTGTATATCTGGCCCAACACGGGGCCCGTTACATCGTATCAATCAGCAGGAGTAGGGTCCACGATTCTGCCTCCGCCCGCGTGCATGCCAACTGCGATACATACGGATGTGAGGTCGTCGAGGCAAAGGGCGACATTGGGGATTTGGATTTCGTGCGACGGGTGTTCCGGTCCATCCAGCCTCGGCGTGTTGCAGGTTTGATTCAAGGCGCTATGATCCTCCGGGTATGTTATGCTCATGTTCTTTCGCTGTGTTTCCGGTGGAGTCTCCAACTAATTACCTTATCCCCAGGACAACCCCTACGAGACCATGACCCACGATGACTACATCACCTCCATCCACGCGAAGGTAAGCGGCACCTGGAACCTTCACCTCGCCGCCCAGCAAGAGCAACCCCAACCCCTGGACTTCTTCACCATGCTCTCCAGTATCTCCAGCATCATTGGAAACAAAGGCCAGGCGAACTACGCAGCGGGCAATGCCTTCCTCGACGCTTTCGCCAGTTACCGTAATGCCACAGGCCTGCGCGCCAATACTATCAATCTCGGACTAATCGAGGATGTGGGATATGTGGCGGAGCAAGGCAGCACACTCGAGGCGCGCTTCGACCGTCGCCAGTGGGTCCCCATCAACGAAGGCACCTTTCGCCGCATTGTCTCCTACTCCGTGTTTCAACAACAAGGGAGTATTCGCGGCAGTATTAACAGTGCCCAGCTAATCACTGGCCTGGCTTACCCACTCGACGCGAACAGTAATGCTACTGCTGACCTGAAAGCCGAACCGCGGTTTGGATTTTTCTTCAGCAGCCACAGTATCGGCGGTAATAGCAGCAACAACGACAATGGGGGACAGGACGATCCAGCGACCGGGGCGATCAAGGCCTTGCATCTGTTGCATGTGTCCCAGGCAGACGTGACGGCCCTGAGAAAAGTGGCTCTGGAGCTGCTACAGATGCAGCTGATCAAGATCCTACGACTGGAAGCGGAGATGGAGCCCGGAAAGCCGCTAATGACGTACGGTCTAGACTCATTGTCTGCTGTGGAACTGCGAGGGTGGGTTCGTCAGAAGATTGGGGCTGAATTGAGTACGCTCGATATCACGAATGCGAGCTCGTTGACGGCCCTCAGCGAGAGATTGGTGTCCAAGTTGCCGAGTGTGAGGTAAGTGCGGTGGTGTTGCTTATACTTTTCGTGTGATATTGTACGAGAGGAATATGAGATCGAACCAATTATATTTTTATGATCAATTGATGAGATATAGGCGAAATTGAGCTCTGTGGACAACATTCTGAGGTCTTCGCCGGCTTTGTCGGATTATCTAGAGCTCCGATACCATATACAGTAGGTTTTAGGGCCACGCTAACCCCAATATAATTTCGTCATCGCCCGTTTTGCCGCATTGCGCTTATTTGATTCATATAATTAGAAGAGGGTGAAATACAGGATCAAAAAAGAGCGCTTAGAAGAGGGTTAAAATAGTGCTTAAACAAGTGCCTCAAAGAGGTTTACTAGTGTACAGAGGAAATCAAGTCTTACTCAAATAGTGGAACATAGCCTATATCTTTGACTATTGTTTACTGTTTTACTTTTTCTAGATACGACCTTGCTAACGCTTTAGGTGAGAGCTTACACTCATAACGTATTTCACAAGCCAGCTGGCCACACAAGCGACCCGGCCACCGCAAACTGCATAGTAAATGAAATAAATTACAGCTTAATATCTCAACAACTATGGTCAATGGGGACTTTTCCTTCTAGTCCCCTTCTTTAAAGGTAATATCTAGTCTGCGTAGGATTTTTTAAAAAAAGTTTATAGATTTGTGGTTCTGATGTATATATTTCCAGGTTTTAGCTAGGCAATTGTTGGTAATTTTCGAAATAATGATGATATAGCCTTGTACCGTCCTTGAAATTGATATATTGTACTAATTAGTCTCATTGATGACTATCAACACATAAGGAGCTAAAATAAAAACATGGTTGTTGAGAGATAAATGTAGAATATATCGCATTTACTATGTGTTTGGGGGGTGGTTGGTCAACCCCGCGGCATTTATCTTTTGGCCGCTCCACCCGCGATAGACTTTAAAACCTGCCGTAACGGTATCGGATATCCCAGTTGGTTCACTTCAGGACTACTTTCTCTAAGCGGATTGATCGAATTATAAATGCTTTATTGGAATAATAACATAGACACTCATACATCTACCACACTGAATGTCTTGCGAATTACATTTGAAATCAACAATGACTCAAGCTCCGCTATGTAGTTTTCAAATGTGACCAATGAGATGCAACTTGTCATCATGTCGCATGAAGAGCATACTCCGAGAATGCTTCGGTTTTAACGGGGTTTAACTGTAGCGCTATTTATCTGCTAACTCCGTTTATAATGTATAAAACCATGCTTGGTCCTCAGAATTGGAGACAGCAAACCCACTATTTATTTTCAATCCATCCCTTTTGAACAGCCCAACATGAAATATGTACAACTCGGGACCAGCGGCCTTCGCATCGCCCCGATTGGCGTAGGGTGCATGAGTTTTGGAAATCCCGATGGCCGTTACAAGTGGTCGATCCCGGAAGAAGAAGCATTTCCCGTACTTAATCACTGCTACGAGTCTGGTCTCAACTTCTTCGACACAGCAAATATCTACTCGAGCGGGATCTCCGAGGAGATCCTAGGCAAGGCAATAAAAAAATACAACTGGCGCCGCGAGAACCTAGTCATCGCAACCAAAGTGTGGGGGCCCGTCGGCCACGGTGTCGAACAGCCGATGGCGATGACAGATGACGAAAAGGACAACTCTGGCTACGTCAATCAGTACGGGTTAAGTCGGAAACACATCTTCGAGAGTATCGATGCCAGCCTGAAGAGGCTCGACCTACCCTACGTCGACTTGTTGCAGATCCATCGCTTCGATCCCAGAACCCCTGTCAAGGAAACGATGGAAGCGCTTCATGATGTCGTCAAGTCAGGCAAGGTGCGGTATATCGGCGCTTCTTCTATGTGGGCTCATCAGCTCCTTGAGTACCAGTATACCGCCCGCATCTATGGCTGGACAGAGTTTATCTCGATGCAGAACCTTCATAATGCCATTTACCGCGAGGAGGAACGGGAGATGTACCCTGCCTGTGCCAAATTCGGAATGGGTGGCATCCCCTGGAGCCCTATTGCGATGGGATTCCTGGCCCGCCCCTGGGGTGACTTTTCTACTACCACGCGTGGGGAGGTGCAGGGTCAAGGCTTCCGTGGGCAGCCTACTACAGAGGGAGACAAAAACATCAACGAACAGATTGAGAAGATTGCTAAGCAGCATGGTGTATCAATGGCGACTGTGGCAATTGCTTGGTCCCTATCAAAGCCCTTTATTACGGCTCCAATTGTGGGCTTGAGTAAGAAAGAGAGGGTTGATGAAGCAGTTCGCGCTATTTCGTTCGAGCTTACTGTTGAAGAGTTAAAGAGCATCGATGATCTCTATGAGCCTAAGAAAGTGTTTGGCCATCAATGAGATCTGCATTATTGGAATCATGGGGGAGAATTGTGTTATTGCAAACTAGCTTAATATATCAAGAATTCGGGGAATCAGGCTCGAGATTTGTTCGTAGCTAGTGTGTAATCGAATAGAGTATTCCCGCTGGTTTCCGTGTTGTTACGAGCGTCCTGTACCTCCTCAACAAGCGTTGTGGCGTTGCGGGTATTACCGCGAAATTCCTACGCCATAAGAAACCTAGCGACCTTACGCTCTACCTAGGTAGTCCCTCTAGCCTTCCCCACATATGTCATCAAGCTGCATATATTGACAATTAGCGGAGTCTTTCCGGCCCAGACTTCTAATTCATTTGATTTATTTAAATATGTAACAAATACAACTCCACCAGATCAGCTCATACGAAACAGGGGTCTTTCATTCCGCATTGCCCGCCACTTGTTTGTGGAATGTGCCAAATCAACACAGTCTTTGATAACCCAGCCCCAAGAACGAGCAAAAGACTCCGTAACCTCCCATCCCGCTGCATCCCAAGGGTCGCTCCAAACAATAATACCAGTCTTCTCTGGGCCCGCATTGCCACTCCCCTTCATATCGATGCAGAGCTGTGTTTCCTCCTCGAAGTCTCCAGCTCGGATCAGAGTATCCCTCATGTGGGGAATAGGAAGTAGGTCTAACCATGGGTGGTGTGGGATAGACCGTTGGATCACAGTGGGCTGAAGACTGGGTGGAAGGTAACTTTCATAGTCGTACTGCCACGGGCCAGTGGTGTTAAAGGGTGAAATGGCATCGTCGTCTAGCTGGTCTGATGTGAGGCCCAAGATCATAGTGTTTTCCATGAGTGCTTTGGTGAAATTGAACTGAATCAGGTGAAGCAGAAGATCGGTGCGTGGAGACCCCAACATGTGATATCGGCGTGCCGTCATCTCTAAACGTTGCATCTTGATTTTCGTCGCTATTGAATGCGAGTCTAAGATACGCACATCCTCAATCTCTTCCAAGGAGATGAGTGAGGTCGCGTCCGTCGCGGCATGTTTTGCTGGTCTTCGTTCATTTGTCTGCCGTGTAATAGCATGTTCTTTAGTAGTGAGAGAGTTGTCATCATGTCGATCCTTTCCGTCCCCGAAGGCCTTTGCCAATTCTTTGTTCTGTAGACCTGTATGTGGGGTCAACTCGACGCTGGGTAGTGGATAACGTGAGCATTGCACTTACGTCGAGCTCTTTGATTCAAGCGGTTTTGCAGCCTTCGGCGTGTCTTTGGGTCAGTTATACCTGACCAATCCTCATCCGGCCATGCACAGAGGCGGTCCGAGAACGGTCGTATAGCGATCCGCTTTTTAGAGGGTTCTTCCATTGTCCGTTTCCTCAGTGCAATGTCGTACTCCTTATGCAGATTGATGACAAGAAATTTGGCACGCTAGTAAAGGGGCACCGTAAGAAGTAGGGATAGCGTGAAGATTGAAGAATGCCAGAAGTCCGGGAAGAATACCCAAATTACAAATGTACGGAACTTTGGAGCGACTCCACAAAATTGGGCCAATAAAATACCCGTGCTGACCCCACCGTGTCATCAACCTGCATGACGCTTATCCATATCAGGAATAGCATAGAGCCGAAGTTTCCCCGTGGGGATCCATGGAACGACTTGTCAGCAGCACTCTGCCCTTGCAGAGTGATACCCCTTACGAGTTTACACCTCATCCTGTTTAGGATAACCATGCATATCACCTTGGCATCAAATGAGGTTCACCTCGGATTCCGCCGGTCTCAATAATTGCACCGGTTCTTGACTTGGCCGACGTGATCATTCACGGATGCGAAGATCTTCTGTCCGAGCAGGAAATGATATATAAAGACTCCGTTCTCTGCATAATTCATGAGATAGAACAGAAAACTTCAAAATTCTCCTAGCTACCGCAAGTCTCTTATATTTTACAACGCACGTTCCAATGCTTCGAGCTACTGCTTGGTTGGTCTCTCTGCTTGCCGTGGCAAACGCAGGGGAAACCATCAAATCCAGCACGTCTGGCCCTGAGAACTGCCAACAAGCAGTATGTTTGTCAAAAATCCTTGAGTCTTCCAATATTAACCATCGGTAGTGTGCCCAACTCTCCACGATCTTCGGATCTGCGGTCCACTACCCTCCTGATGATAGTTTTGTCATCTGGGATGCGAAACAGCAGGAGGTCCACCCATCCTGTCGCATTGAACCCAGCAGTGCTTCTGATGTGGCAAAATTGTTGAACGTCCTGGTTGACCACTGGTGCTACTTTTCAGTGAAGGGTGGCGGCCACTCTCGAAACGCCGGAGATTCTAATTCTGTGGGCGGTGTTACTGTGGACCTAGATCTCCTGAGACAGGTTGAGGTTTTGGATAATGGAACCAAGGCGCGTGTTGGCGGTGGTGCAACTAGCATCCAAGTATATCATGCCCTGGAATCTCACAATTTGTCCTATGTCGGCGGGAGAGTCGGCAGTGTGGGCATGGGTGGATTCACACTCGGCGGAGGAACATCCCCATTCTCGAACAAGTATGGATGGGCGTTGGATAATGTTTTCGAATATGAGGTGTGTTATGCTCTACAGAAACCCGAAAAGGTTACGCAATGCTGAAATACGCGCTTTCCAGGTCGTTCTCGCCAATGGTACCATTACCACCGCCTCTGAAACTCATAATCAGGACCTCTATTTTGCTCTCCGAGGAGGAGGTAATAACTTCGCCATCGTTACAGCATTTACGGTCCGCACATTTGCTCAAGGCCCTGTTTTTACCGGGCAGACATCCTACTCTCCAAATCAAACCGAGCAGGTTCTCGACAAGATCTACGACTTATTCACAGATAGGGATCTCACTAGTGACGTCGAAATGGGTTATGATATGTACTATAGCTACGCCACAGGAAATGATGACTTCACATTGATGGGCATCCAACGCTACGGCAAGCCAATTCAGAATCCACCTGTCTTCCGTGACATCGACCAAATCCCCACATTGAGCAGGACTACAGCCATACGCTCCATGAGCGCTGTGTCGAATGGGTCTATCGCAATGGGTACAACCCGGTAAGTGTCAATCTTTTACTCCTTGATTTTCTTTGCTTATTCATTTTTGTGTGACAGAAACCTATTTGCTACCTTGACCGTGTCCCCATCTCGCTCCCTGCTCTCAGAGGGTCTCCAGATCTTCCGAGAGGAGGTGGAACCTATCAAGGCAGTGCCCGGCCTCAGGACCAACTTTATATCCTATCCGATGCAAAGGCATGCCATTGCGGCCATGAAGCAAAGAGGTGGTAATGCTCTTGGCATCGATCTCGAGTGTGACGAGCCCCTTTTCAGTACGTTTTTCTCAACCCTCAGCCTAGACATATGCTTTGCTATGTATGCTAACATATTTTTCAGTTATCTTGCTCTCCACTGCCTGGTCAGATGCAAGTGATGATGTTGCAGTGAACACAATGACTGCAAATGCCATTCGTAGGATTGAGTCGGCCGCCCAGGATCTGGGTGTTGCAAACCGGTATAAGTATATCAACTACGCATCGGCCCAGCAAGCTAGAGAAGTGTTCCCCGGTTATGGCGAAGCCAACTTGCAAAGGCTCAAGGACGTCCAAAAGGCGGTGGATCCTCGTGGAATCTTCACCTCCAAGGGCCTATGGAGTGGATTTGTGAAACTGGTTTAGATTGATGGGGAGGTGAATCTACAAATTTGGCCCATGCAACACATATTTTGACATAGTGACCCAAATAAGACAGTGCCCGATGAAAATGAAAGGCAATGGAATATTCTTTACCTAGCTAGAGTTGCTCGTTTCAATCAAGGACTGCTCTAGCTGATCTATTGATCATTGACAATTAACAGATACACAAGTCCTGGAAACAACAGTAAATCTGTTACACAAGAACGATATATCCATAAATAAATTTCTATTATGAGGCTGCAGTATGTAATTATGTATTTGTTAGACAAAAGATTTGACTGGTAACAGCACCAATCTTGGATAGCGTGTATAAAATATCTTCGCTGATACATTTCACTGTCTTCTCCTTTCGACAGATGGGAATTTTTTATTTATTTGAAAAATTAAAAATTTTCAAAATTGAGAGATATTCTAGACTCTTTTCTGTATATCCACACGGAAATCTGTCATCTCGGGTCATATAGACAGCCCATTGACAGGCTTCAACCCTTGGCCCTTGAATGATGAGGCTACCTACGAATCGGTCCAAAATGAAATCGGCACCTGTTTCTCTAGGCTAATTTGCGCGAATACGTGACAGTCGAGCTAGAGTGGCAATCCAAAGCTGTTTGGGTCAAACTTTTTGCTAGCAGATTGATTTGAGAGAACATCAAAAATTGCACTGTTCTAGGGCCACTAAGAATATGAAATGAAAAGGATTTGCCTATTCACCAGGTGATCGATATATTAAAGCTAGCGTTGTTTTCCAATCGAGAGGCTTCTCGCCCCTCTTCGCTCTCCACCGATTGGTATATATCACAAACTCTTCACAGCCCTTAAGCAAAAATCCCCACTTCAGCAGGAAAGCCGGCGTGACTTCCCAGTTTTTCGGCTCCCAAGAAGGACCCCACACTAGCAAACTGGCCCCGGTATTTCTGGTATCCCAGAATGCCATCAAATCATGACACAAATCCTCATCATTGATAATGTGTTGAAGGGCTATAAGATTATCACGCATAGTGTGAAAGGGAAAGATATCCAGCCAGGGGTGATGAGGGATGCGCCGTTGGAGCTCTGTTGGTTGGAGACTCGGGGGTATTGACACCGAGAAGCCAGGTATTGTGGTGTTAAAAATAGAGATAGCATCATCATCTTGCATCCACTCCATTGTCATGCCAATCGAGCGTGTGTTCTCGATGATTGCGTGCTGGATATTGAGCTTCGAGAGGGAGAGGAGGTGGTCGATGTCCGGGGAGTTTCGAATGTAGCTTTCCAGCGCTAGGGACTCAAATTGACGCATTATTGAATTTGCTTGAGGGGGCGCGATAGTGCACGTAAATCCATTTTCGTCTCGGTCGATCTGGATAGGAGTGGAGCTCGGTGGTACAACTACGGTTTTGTTGCTGTGGAGTTGTGCTTTGTCCCCCGTATTCTGGATCTGCTGCCGCATCCCTGAATATGTCAGTCATTATGATATGATGCTAACGGAGGAAGGAGGAAGCGTACGGTATGTTCTTTGGTTGAGGCGATTCTGTAACTTTCTCCGTTCAGTCCGATCTATAGTACCTGTCCAATCATCCTCGGGTCTCCACATAGCCACCTGCTGTGACATACGGATCAGTTCAATTCGTTCTTTTTCAGGCACCATATTTGATGACATGTGGAATGGTTGTGCCGGGCGATCATGGCGGCGACATGCTCTTTTAAAGATGTAGGGTGCTTATGCCAAGCCTGAGTATTACTGGCTCAAGTCAAATTAGAGTACGCTAATGCAAGTTGCTTACATGTTCTAACCTAATCGGGACTAAATGTGATTCAGGTGATTTCGAGCCAGATGGCAGAACCCGTAATAAGTAAGGTACCGAGGTTTAATTCAAAGTTTGATCTATAAGCATTCCCTTAGAAAATAGGCAGGTAAAATGAGCCTTTTTATATAGTATAGAAAGTATCTAGAATTTAAGGTGATTTACAGCTTTGAAGCTATACATCTCCACTATACAAATCTGCATACTCGATAAAATTGAAGCTATCCCGACCGTATAATTCAGCTTTAAGGTTTATAAACAGGGGAATCTAAGATTATTTTTTTTTTGCAGTCCGAATACCTTCACCACCTGAGATACAAACAATATGGATAGTGAGAATAGCTTCAATTCTAGGGAATATCATTTATAGCAGATGGAATAGAGCGGTGTCGGAAGGGGTCTAACAGGCAAATCCAGGCAGGAACTATGCATTTTGATTCAAGCTGACCCCTACCCGCTCTGTATCTTCGCAAGCATCCAATAACAAGGATCAGGAACTCAGGGGAAAGAGGAACCACGATCATCCTCAGTGGGCACCAGCATGATCTGCCCTGATTGGACCCACCTATCAGAGTTTTTCGGTATACATATATGCCCACATTGTCCAACGCCAATGATCTGTCTCGCCGCCACACCGTTGCCGTAAAAGCCTTATACGGGCTCAATCCTTTTGAGGGGTCGAGGAGCGATGCCAGTTTGAGCGCCGAATAGGTCAGTACCGAGGGTACCGAGGTAGCTCCCCTATTCGTGAGTATTGTGATGGTATGATCAAGCGAAGAGTCTTCCGAATGCTGGAAGTTGGACACAAGTATAAGGGTTGATGACAAAACCTAAACTGAATACCGGAATAAGGGTCTTTATACAGTATTTGAAAGTATCCCCTGTCCATCAGTTGGGTATACCGTTTGCTTCCAGTTATATACCTCTAAATATACAATGCAGTCTGCAGTCCATGTGGTGTATTGCTTAGGCGGGTTTCGATCAACTAGAACTCTCCGTGTAATCAATAATCAAAGTACGTGATATCTACGACAAGGCCCTATAGCTATACGCAACACTTCATCAATCCGTTGCTTTGAGATGCATTTCAGGAAGACTTGGCATCGAGAAATTTTCAATCGGCTCGCCAAAGACATTCGATGGCGATCAGCTAGGATCTAGTGACCTCCCCTACAATGCTAAAAGACAGTCTGGACTTTGAGATCCTCAGCATCATGCCAGACATCAACTCGATACAAAACTCGAAGACTGTGATTTGAGAAAGTGGTTGGTCTAGAAAGCGCAACCTTGAGAGACAGGGAGAGGCTTTGATTTAAGAACATACGAGCTCTTGGAACTAGAAGCTTGACGAACTTCCAACGAAGGAATTCAGACAGAGTCTAGCTAGAGTCATAGAGACCATAAGACACGTTGACGATCCGACGACTTTCGCGTTCCAAACCGTTGGGAGTCCGCCAGCAATATATATATATATATATATTCGGCTCCAAGAACTTCTTGTACAAATGTGTGAGAAATGAGACTAGCTCACCGAGCAAAAGGCTCTCAACATATCGTGGCCGATTTTTTTTTTTTTTGAAAGATCGACGATAGTTAACTGCAGGGAAAAACTCTTGGTTTGAAGCTCATGACGAATTCGAGAACTCCCAATACAGGATATTCAGCACGATGGCTCTCCACGAGATCTACAATGAAGCTATATGCAAGTGGGAGTATAATAGACCCAAACAACAACAGCTGGAAATGTTATTTTAACGTACAATTATATTCGTGTAGTTATATTGCGAATATCATTGGCCACTAGAGTAGTAGGTCGTGGAAGTGCATACTTGGCACTATACTTCGCTTGTATAATATACTAGAATAGAATTTTTCGACGCCTGATTCATCTATTCACTAGCAGTACTGACCAGCAATTCGGGATGAACATCCTCATCATACATATCACCCGTTCCCCTCTGTACAGCCGGTCGGGCCTCAATTCGGCCTATCCATTCCTTCACGTGTGGGTAACTCTCCATCTCCCCTTCAGAAATACCGCTCCGATTCCACACCAGGACCCAGGGGTATGCATTTATATCAGCAATACTGAACTTTCCAAGACCATTTCCAGCAAGATATTCACGAGGCTGGGAGGTCAGGCTCCCAGAAAGATGGAGCTCAAGCACGTTGTAAACCCGGAGTGTTTCGGCTTTGAATCTGTCGACGGCATCTGAAGATATCAAGTAATTAATGGAATGTTCTCTTCCCATTGCCTATACGAGATGTATATTGGAAAGATCTACTCACAAGGTATCTTTTCAGCAACAAATCTTCCAAAGTGGTTCAGTTGGCCTTGGTTAGGCTGACCCGAAGCATGCCAGAAGATAAGCCACTGCATCATCTGGGACTGCTCCTTGCCGTTGGAAAAGCTGAAGTGATGATCTTTATCCACCGTCTCGACAAGATAGAGCAGCTCCGCTGATGACTCCATGACCGGGAACGGTTCTTGTCCAGTATTATCAATAAGAACGGGGATTCTCCCTAAAAAATATGTAAGAAAAGAAATCACACAATCTCAAACTTTGGTTCTTTGGTTCCCACCATTTGGGTTGAGCTTTAGAAACCATGGTTTCTTCTGCTCATCGGTGTCGATATCTATTAAAGAAGTTGTCCACTCTACTTCGTAAATATCCTTCAACTCCTCGAGAAGGATCTGGACTTTCTTTCCATTGGGAGTTAAGCAGGTAATAAGGTGTAAGCCCTGGTTTCATTGTCAACAATCAGGCAAAGTGATATGACTACGAGGGCCAGTACCTTGGCATTCCTGACTGCTGCTGGGGTTATTTCTGTATACAAACTAGCCATATTGCGGTAACTATAAAGTAGAATGAGTGTGTTCGAATTGCTGCTTGTCTTTCTATGTCATATCGCGACTACCTGGGTAGCTCAAAGGTGGCTTATTATCGGGAACGTGTGATCGGTTGCCTGAGGCATCCATGCATTGGCTGTCTCCACAATGTTTCAGAATTTCGCCCAATGTAACCAAAAGTGTTGATCTGGTCCTTAGTACGGAGTACGGAGTACTCCGTAATCAATTATGGAATATATGTTTGGTATTATCCCGTGACTGAATAGGAGATATGTCTATAGCCCTTCTTTTTATTTGACTGTGAACTTGATCGGACCTGACTTGGATTTCACACTAACGAGGTTTAGACAGAACCGGTGTACCGGCGGAGCATGAGAGAAATCTACACGTATGTACTCTTGGCTCAAGGAGAGACCGGGATGAATGAAAGAGGGGGAGATAAAGAGAGCAAAAAAAGAAAAATAAAAGGGAATGCTCATTTCCCCGTTGTATCGAGTCGAGTGCATGGGGCCTCGGTACAGAGCCGAAAAGTCTAAATAAAAAAAAAGGCCCGAATGAACAAACTTCGAATCTACAACATAAAGCACATGCCCCGAAGAAAGCGAAAAGCTACGACGCTAGTTATGGGGAGGCGATTCTAGCGTAGGTGTTCCGTCGGAAGTCCGATTGCCAAGTGGCTACCAGCTGATCATAGCCGGGGTTTTCTCTGATAATCCGGTTTTAGCTGACGTGCATTGGCTGAAAGAATACGAAAATTTCGGACAAAGAACGCGATAGGTTAGCGCCAGACCTTGGGCAAATTAGCATCAACGGCCTACCTCCAAGTGGGCAGACCTTACCCTCACCCCGTGCCTTATCTAAAGACGCCTCCAAACCTCGCTGCATACACAAAATGCATCCTGCTCAATAAGATAAGGTATGCCTTTTGTATTCGGCTTCGAGAGTGGTATTGTCTCACAAATATTACAACAATCATTAAGACCTAGGAAAGCTATTAACATAAACTACAGTCATGTAACCTTGCGCGGGTGTTCAGGAACACAATGTGATGTAAAGGGTCCGAGCTCTCTAGGGCTAGTATGTTAACATCTTAGGGGAAATGTTATCATCGGGGCCAAATAAGGGGTTCTTAAAAAAATACCAGAGCTCAATTATTGTATTTTGTGGTGTGAGACAAAAATCTTGTATCGCTTCAAGCGCCGTGGCTCATTTTAAGGCTGCATGGTATCATAAAAACAGTCGCCCTAGTGTTCTGATAAGAATGTACTTTCTCCGGTATTTGGATTATAAGAAGTCCGTAGGGCCTAGGAAAATCCATGCGCGATTAACTTTATAGCAACACTCCTGCGTTCTTGGAACAGAGCATCATTTACATGATACATGTCCCCAAGTATGTCCGAGTCACGTGTAGAGACCAGTGATATCTCGGTGGGTAGCCAGGAAGCCATCGGTGAAAAGACCGCTACTACTGTGCTTGCTACCAAAGATGAGCATGGACTCGGTGACGATAATTCTGAAAGCGATCCGGATGTGATTATCGTTACCGGTGCTGATGCAGCTGTTCATCTGTTGTCTCTTCGAGATGACTTTGACAACGTCTTGACCTTCCGCAGTATATTACTCGCTTCCGGCCTTGCGTGTTTCCAGGCCGTCATGAACCAGATTTATCAGGTACCTTCTAATTCATTCATTTCCTGCATATATACTAACGCCTCGATCTATAGTTCAAACCGACCCTAGTTACGATCCAGGGAACCTTCATCGTGCTCATCTCCTATTTCGTTGGCAATGCCTGGGCTAAATTCCTTCCTCGTGGCGACAAATTTGAAGCTCGCTGGAGGGCGAAAGGCGGCGAAGGAAAGCTACCTTTGTGGATTACCGTGATGAAATTTTTTAATAACGGGGCATGGAGTCTGAAAGAGCACGCAATCTGTTCAATCACTGCTACATCGGCCTCGAATGCTGCGCCTACCTCACAAGTGTTTGCAGCGCAGAATCTTTTCTACGATCTTCCCCTGAGCGCGGCGACTGTGATTTTGAGTATGATCTCTATCGGTCTATTTGGCTACGGAATCTGCGGAATTCTGCGTCCAATTGCTGTCTGGCACACCGAGGCCGTCTACTGGAGTAATTTGCCTACTGTCAAGACTCTCCAGGGACTTCATTGGCAGGAAGTCAAAAACTCGAAACCACTCAGGTACTTTTGGTATGCATTCACTGGCATGTCAATATACGAAATCATTCCCGCCTACATCTTCCCATGGCTAAACTCTGTTTCTATTCCGGTACGTGGTATTTCAGTGTCATCTTGATCCATTCGGATGAAGTCATCCGATTATGGAATTTTTATCGGGATAAAGATTGCTGACGTTAGGCTTTATAGTGTCTGGCTGCACAAAAGGCTACTGGCGAAAAAGCTGCTATACTCAACAATATCTTTGGTGGATCCACCAACAATCAGGGTCTTGGCCTATTCTCGTTTTCGTTCGATTGGCAATATGTGAGATGATGCCCCCTTTACCCTCGTATTGCTCTAGTAAGTCATCTAACCAAAGCAGCTCACATCTTTCCAAACTTCACTCCCTCTCAAACTCCAAGTTCATCAGGCCGCTGGACTCTTTTCCTGTTTTATTATTATGATAGGCATATATTACGGCAATGGCTGGAATTCGCGAGACCTTCCATTCATGTCAACGAGAATGCTTATGAACAACGGCACCTCATACCCCATAAACGACGTTTTCCCCGGTGGTGTCCTCGACGAGACTGCCCTGTTCAAATATGGCTTGCCAAGGCTCACTGGAACGTTCGCATTCGCGATGTTTATGGCCAATGCAGCAATGGGTGCCCTGATCGCTCATTGCATCCTATTTTGGGGCAAGGATATTCTGCGGGCCTACAAAAGTGCGAGAGAGGGTAGATATGATGATCTGCACCATGCGCATATGGCCAAGCATTATAAAGAGGCTCCGTGGTGGTGGTATATTGCTGTGCTTGTTGGCAGCTTTATTCTTGGTCTTATCGTGACCTTGAAAGAGAATATCACCCTGACAGCTTGGGCATACGTTATCTCACTACTAGTAGGATGCATTATCGCCCCCTTTGTGAGTACAAAGTCCTCGATATTGGTCTTTCATACAGTGACGCTGACTATCACCGTGCTATAGAGTGTCATCCTTTTCTCTCGCTACGGTAATGGCATTGCTACCAATAATTTGTCAAAAATGCTGGCTGGACTTATCCTTCCTGGACGCCCGGTCGGTAACATGTACTTTGCTGCTTGGTCGCATAACGTCATTGCAAATGCAGTCACTCTTTCCGGTGATTTGAAGATGGGCGAATATCGTGAGTATCTCCGTTGTTGTTTTGATTGGAAGCTGGCTTATGTTTCTAACCCATTATGTAGTCAAAATCCCCCCACGCATTATGTTCCTGACACAAATATATGGTACAATTCTTGGTGGCTTCATCAACTATGCCCTTATGATCTCTATTGTGACAAGCAATCGAGAGCTTCTCATCGATGGCAACGGAGACTCCTCCTGGAGTGGTGCAAGCATACAATCTTACAACACGAATGCCGCATCATGGGCTCTGGCTCCCTATATCTACAAGGTTGGTACCCCATATGGGGCTGTACCTGTGGGTTTGGCCGCTGGCGCTGCAGCTGTGGTTATTCACCGAATCGTGTATCAAGTAAGTAATCTCACAGCTTTCCCCTATTCTACCTGAAGCTGACGCTTGTTTCCTATTAGTTTGTTCCCAAAATTGGAAAGATCGACGTCGCCGAGATCAATCTACCTCAATACATCCAATACGCTGGTTTCATTCCCTACAACCAAAGCCAGACCTGTGTTATCTTTACCTGGATCACTGCCGGGTTCTACGTGCAGTATTATCTCCGAAACTACAAGCCGCGAATTTTCAGGGACTATTCATATCTGATTACAGGAGCCTTTGATGGTGCTAGTCTGACGGTTCTCTTCGTCCTCTCATTTGCTGTTTTCGGAGCTGGTGGAAAGTCGCACCCATTCCCATCGTGGTGGGGTAACAACGTGAATGGAAACTATGATTGGTGTCCTGTGGCGGAGTAGAGAAACGAGTCGGATGACCTTGAATTTGAATCTGCGGAGAAAGTTTGTTGCGGGAGTGTGGATGGTTCTCTCGCAGATCAAAGGGTACATAGCCACATATAAATGATGCCTGAGTTCGAGGCAGAACAAGGACATAATTATTTCAAAGTTCTCGGGACCCACGTGGATCTGCACCACTCTCCCATCGCATATAGTACATAATTCCAATGTTCATAAGAATTTCAAATTAATCATCTTAGCAAGACCAGAGAGTCTTTTGTTGCTTTCTCTCCACACTACTCCATCTCTAACCGTATCCCGTCATTCACCTCTCCCTCCCTTGATACTCATCCCGTTACCAACATGGATCCCTCCGAGACCTGAAATTTATTTGCGGGTATGCCGCACCCTGCTGGTGGTTTATTCCATGTCGCTGATTTTTTCCTAGACTGAAGCCCAACCTGGGTCCACTTCGCCTACCAAGTCGCCCAGTCAAACCAGTGAGCATCCCAGTTTCCTAAGAGGCTCGAGTCATGTCGCTCATTTGTTCTCAGATTGATGCCCCACCTGGGGCCACCTCGCAAGGCTCGGTTTGAGCCACCGGAATCACTTGTCTTTGCTATCTTACCGTACCTCCGGGCTGGACCACCAATCCCGCGAGCCCGGCGTACAAAGAAAAGCGGGAGGACCCCGAATTGGAGGGTCAAATGATGACACAATACTTTGGGCTTGCGCTAGGAAGAACTATCATGAAGGATGACGATGCCTGCAAAACAAGTTTCCAATCTGGTGACAAGTTTATCTCTGGGACTGGATGTGTGATGATACGTTTGAAATCGCCTCTCGGAATATACACTAGATTGCATGTATAATTGTCGACAACGGACCTAAGAAAATACGTAGAGAAAGCGTGCTTCTGTTCCCTGAGTAAGACAAATCGCCCTTTACTAATTAGTCTTGAACATCACCTAGTCAGCCTATACCCTTTACTGTCACCATGTAATGTCCCACGAGTATCCAGTGTGTTCAATATCCGCACATAGTCTACATTGCTAAAATCAATATATTCTCCCGCTAGAATGTAGAAAAAGTCCAGTTTAAATTAGAGATCAAGAGCTTATATAAAATTAAAATCAACACGGCAATCAGAATGAGTTGGTAAATATAAAAGCTGACAGGAAAGTGAAACCATCCTTACTCGTAACTGGTAAACTTCTTCGAAGAGTCCCTGATCGCTTGAGAATAACCTAAGTTCAAGTAGAAGGACGACGAGCATACGCAACGAAAAGCCTTTGGTATCCACCAACGCGTTTGAGCTCTCGCTCGGTGAAGGCCGGCATGTCCTCCAATTCCACCGCGGGCAAGGAGCATTTAATTCCTGCGGTCGGCCATAGTCAGCATCATGTGATGAGGATTGCTTTTGTGCCACATACCTCTGGCGGTCGGCATGAACCCCTCAAGAGCGGAGCGAACCTGCCAGGTGCTCTTGGCCGCCAGTTCGGGATCAGGGTTAAGTGCGCCGATCGGAATATCGAACACGTCAACTTTAATATCCTCCATGCTAGCATTCTCCAAAAACTCGCGCAGTCTGCGAGGGTAGTCATAGCCGTGGCCAGCCTGCGTAAACAACTCTCGAATTACCTTCTCGGCTTTTGCCATCCCACCGGGATTGGGAGTGTCATGATCCTGCTCGATAAGCTCAATCCACCCGCCTGGTTTCACAAGTTGGCAAAGGTTTATTACAGTCTGCTGATGGGTGATATGCTCCGATCCCGGTAGCACCAAGCGCTGGTGAACGTAGTCAAAGTAACCCTGCCACTCCGCTGGCCATGTAGCATCAATTCGCTGCTCTTTCAAAGTTATCTGGCTCGGGAGATTGGACGAGAACAACTTGCTGAGGGAATCGACTCCGATATACTGGTGTCCTGACGTGGAGGGCAAGGAAGCATGCAAATCCCGAAGCCACCGACCTGTCATATTAGGAGCTTAGCTTGGAGTCTTCCGATATAACCGACAGGTGAAAATACCATCGGCAGTCCCGGTATCGAGGACACGAAGGTGGTGGCGGGTCAAATCGATAGGCGCAACTACCAGTCTCCCCATCGATTTTAGAAACACTTCATGCTGGGCGCCGAGACGTGCGACCTCTTCCGCGTGATATGCGAGATAATATTCTCCCTTTAGTCTCTGCCAGACTGGGCCGATATCTGAGGGAATGAAGCTCGATGACTGAGCCGGAGCGGTCATCTTCCTATGGCCGTGGGTGATTAGGTGATTATTTGTGTGCGGCCTGAAGGCAAAGAAAAATTTAGAGAAAGTCAAACACGTGAAAATTTTTGCGTGATTTTGCGCTTAAGATAGAAACAATGAATGTTAAAGGTAAATATACCAGTGAGAGAATGGCCCATAAACTGCGATGGGTATTGGACTCCCTATGGAGTACAAAGGCATATATGTATTACACGACGCATTCCTCAAATGGGCATGGTTTAAATCTCTGTTGAACCCGGAGGGGAGGATATTCGCTGCACATGATTGCTCTGAATTAGGACTTATATTCAAGATCAACAACATTCAACTCTTCATATCCCAGAAACTAGCGAGGGTTAACAGAATAAATCTTCCCCTTCAAGGATTCCCGGGATATATCCATTAGGCCTTGTCAATGAGCTCAGTTGATTTCCAAGTTGCACCATGATTCTCCTCCTAACTCTCCTAACTGTCCTTTTAACGGCCTTTTTTCATCGAGCCTCTCGCGAAGGGACGCTACCAAACTGCATATTATCCTATATTATTAATGTGAGATGATCTAATTGCCATATAAAATGCCCTCCAAGACTAATTGCGTGGAGGCATATCTACTGCTACGATACCCCGTCAAATCCAGAGACGGTAACACAACCATTCCGACCTGTCCATACGTATATCCCAATGGCCAAGGTAACGTGGGTAAATTCCTGAATGGGGAAACCTTGGGCAGAAAATGGAGAAAGGAGCACGGGCCGATTTATCGAATTTGGAGTGGGTTCACACCAGAGATGTAAGTAATACAATGACACTCGAAGGGCAAAACTTAAGGGCTGTACGAATAGTGTTGTAGGCCGTCCCGAGGATATTCAGGCGGTCTTCCGTGACTCGAACATGCATCTGAAGGGCGTCAACATGAACTCCGGATGGGTAGTTGGGGAGCTTCTCGGGAAATGCCTCGGGTTGCTTAATCAAAATGATTGGACCCGTGCAAAAGCAGCTGTGGTCGAGCCCTTTCACCAGCAGACCTCTCCTAGCTACATCAAATTAACTGAGTCACGAGTCAAGAGATACATACAGAATATTGAGAATGAGAAGGGCCAAGGAGGTAGGATGATACTTGAACCTGCGGAAAATCTGATGTTCCTTCCATTTTGGATCCTTGGCGATATCCTATACGGCGGGCTTGATGAACAGATGGAGCGACAGCTTGACGAACTGCAAAAACTACGACATGAACTATGGAAAGATGGCATTGCTGGTGGATTGGCACGATATTCAATCGGACGTTTTGTCCCAGGAGCGAGGCTTCGAAACCTCAACAAGTTTAAACCTCTGTGGAATGACTTTAATGATCAAGCATATGAGCGAGCGAAAGGATTGACACTGCCTGATGCGCCACCCATTGTGAAGATGTACAGGAAAATTGAGACTGGCCAGATATCCAAGCTGGAATTCCTTCATACCATGGATGAAATCCTATTTGCTAACTTGGATGTCACGATCGGAAATTTTTCCTGGAACCCTGTTTTTCTAGCGGCATACCCAAGCGCGCAAGAGGAGATCCGCCAAGAGATGAGACGGGTGCGCGAAGACCGGGGTGATGTTGGGTGGAAATCGTACCTTTCAGGGACTTCCACTTTTCTAATGGCATCTATCCTTGAGACTGCTCGACTGAAGCCAATGGCTTCCTTCTCAATACCCCAAGCTGCTCCGACACAGCGCGTTGTGGGAAATTACATCATTCCTGCGGGTACTCAATTTGTGGTTGATACTCACGGCCTGAATATTGGCGATGCAAACTGGGGCGCAGATCGGGGGCAGTATCGCCCCCAGCGATTTCTAGGCCAAAATGCAGCCACCTGGCGTTATCGATTCTGGAGATATGGCTTTGGGCCTCGCCAATGCCTTGGCAAACATGTAGCTGACATCATGCTGAAGACTATTATGGCTTATCTGATCGAAAATTACCGGCTGACACCCCTGGGCAAAGATGGTCAGGACCTGGAAGACTGGCAGAAGAAGCCACAAACATGGATAAGTTTAGCTATTCAACCCATCATATGCACCCGGCTTCGTGATTTCAAGTAGGTTGCCATGGATACCACTCGATACATACATTTTAATACACGAAATGCGCGTACGACCATTTTATACAGTCTTCATTTTAAAATGACTAAATCGGTACTAGCTCCATTGCTACAGGCCAAGCGTTACGTAAATGGAAAACGTATTGGATCTTCCACCCGCTCTTTCGTGCCAAATCACGCCAATCGTCCTCGTCACGCTCTACCCCAGAGGCCGCCATGAAGACTGACAAGTCAGCAAGCCGAGACAAGTGCCCAACATGCCCATCCCGAAGCATAATTTCCAAAAGAACGACTCGCGAATTGGGTCCTAGGATGATGGCCTTGCGAATATTCGAGAGAATCTGGACTACCTGGTGATCATTCCAGTCATGCAAGCACCACTTCATCGTGTATACTTTGTACGAGGGGATAGACTGGAAGAAATCTCCCTTGTGCAAGTCCTTCAATGCCACTTGGCTCCCAACATCCCGGTAAATCCCAGAGTCACCATGGAAGTTTTCAGTGGCGTGGTCAATAACCTCAGGACGGTCGAAAACTCCCCCTTGCAGGTTCGGGACGGCCCGCAGCAGGGCCGCGATTAAGCCCCCACCTCCTCCACCAACGTCGATTACGGTAGTCTTCCCGTCGGCAACATCACCCCAAGGATAGTCCTGAACGATTCCTGGTGCTTGAGCAATAGCTCCACCTCCCAAAGTCCGATGTACACGATGCAAGGATCCCTGGGCGGCAAACCAACTAAACATGCTCAGATCAGTATCGAAAGCAATCTGTGAGGGCATCCGCGTCTCGCCTTCACGACAAGCTGCTGGAATTCCACGTGCCATGTCATAAAACTCATTGCCATAGAGGTCCACCCAATGCCACCAGCGAGTCCAATGATCGGTCAACAGTAATTGGGAGCACTCATTCAGGGAGTACCGCTGAGATTTGCGATCAAAGCCAAACACCGAGTCACTACAAAGTACCCGCATCACCTGTTTGAGCCTATCGGGACGCGCCTTACTCGCTGTTGCTAGCGTGGCAAGGTCCATAGGGCCGGCTTTCAGGATGTCCGGGATATACAGTTCCACGGCTGCATTGAGGCACTTGGTCTTCGCGGATCCTGATGGAAGGTTAGATTTTGTTACATCAGGAATTTACCAATGAAGGCCGATACGCACCAAGAAAGTAATTTGCTAATATCATGGGCCGAGGCTCCAATAACAACTCAACCTCATGCAGCAATTGAGTTGCCTCGCCGGACAGTTCGTAAAGTTTTCGGTCGGGCAGAGTCTCGGAGTTGTGCAGTCGGGTCATCAACTCAGCACGGCATTCGCCTTGGAGGACATTCCTTGCCTCCTCAAGCGACTTTATGACTCTACCTAGTGTTCCTTCAATTCTATCCATGCTGTGAAGTTGTCGTCAAAGAAAACTTTCAATCGGACTATGAAGGTATTATACCATAGGTAGATGGAGGAGGATTACCCGCGATGTTTGTATCATGCAGTGGAGCATATTTATAGTACACCCCGAGAAGGAAAAAATCTGCAGGATGGAGATACAAGTTCTTCTTGTGCAACGCACTACACTAGAATTACGTAGGACTGGGATTTTACTTATTAGGTCATTCTACGAGCATTTTCCTCTTTCATTTTCTTGAGTAACCCTTTTTTTGAGCCACAGTGCGATATTGGAATAAAATACTTGAGAAGATTGTAACTAATAACAAATTATAGGTAGATAGGAACTGCAGTAAGTTAGATGCATGTTATGCATAGTGGATATATATATGGCAGAGCTGAATTATTTTCGAAATGGTTCATGCTTGATGATAATGATCGTCTAATTGACAGGAATGCCCACCCGCATTATAGCTTCTCGCTGATCAGCCCTAGGTGAGGAGAAAGTCAAAGAGTGTTATTCGGATATCACCAATATAATGTGACTGTAGCAAAACATCTGTTGTAACAATATTTGATTTCTAAGAAATAAATACATGAGCATTTATCAGAGATTTAGGACTGAATTCGAAGAATCTTACATTATTGGTAACTCCCCGCGATTCCTCTCTCTTTCCATTTCACTCCACCAATCAAATATGGAGGAGGTAATTCTCTCTATCATCGCACGCCATGTTGGTGTTCCGAGGGCTTCCATCACTCCTGACTCAAATTTCATCCAACTAGGTGGCAATTCCATTATTGCACTTTCAACGGCAGCAGCATGTCGCCAACAGCGAATAGCTCTCACCGTTGGGGACATTTTGTCTAGTGAAACGGTGTCTGGCATTCTTCGAGCGGCAAAATCCGCATCAAGCCACTCTAGTGCCAATGGCATGCAATCACCCGGGCTCAATGAAACTTCAGCTTCGTCCTCATCCTTCGAGATGATTACCAAGAACTCGAGTCAAGCGGAGCCTAGGGACAAAGGGCAGATCCAGTTCACTTCGAGCCCCTACCAGCAATACTCAGAATGCATTGCACAGACTGAGATGCAGATGCTACTCGTCTCGGGCGGTAAAAAGACCCCAGGAACCAATGTCATCAGCTACTACCAGCAGGTAGCTCCTGTGGAGATTCCACGGTTGAAGCAGGCGTGGCAAGCAGTCATTGAAGCTGAGCCCATCTTCCACATGGCGTTTAACGAGGACCGACTTGTTGAGAAAAGGTTTCTTGTGCTCTCCTGGTCAGAAACCATTCTTCGTGATGGAGATGCATACAAAAAGTTTATTGATGAGGCAGAATCACCACCTATGGTTACTCCCTCTACGGAATTTTCCGTTGTAACCCTGAATGAACCCCAGGGCCCACAAAAGAGCACATTAATCTGGCATGTTCATCATGCTCTGGTTGATGGAATTTCCGGTGGCATTCTTCTTGCCAGAGTCAATGCAGTGCTGAATGGGGGTGCTGTTCAACTAGGTCGGCCATTTACCGACGTCTCGCGGGAGCTGGCCTGGTATCAGGTTCACAATGCACATCGGGCAAAGTCTTTCTGGAAGACATATTTTAAGCCATCTTCAGCCGAGGAGACCATACTGTTACCTTCACCAGAGCTTGAAGGCAATCGGATACGAGGTGCGACGGGTTGTGTTACGGGGAACATCCCTTTGAAAAAAGTGCATAGCTGTTGCCGCACCCAAACCATTTCCCCTGCGATAGTTTACTATGCTGCTTGGGCACTCTTGCTTAGTCAATACACTGCGTGTGATGATATTATGTTTGGTGTCGTGTTGGCGAATAGAGATGTGCCGATCGATGGCATACTGGAGACTGTTGGTCCTTTAATGAACATGTTACCCTTCTGTTTACAGATCAATCGGAGGCATTGTGCGTCGGAATTCCTACAATCGGTGTCCCATAACCTCAACACTCTCTCTGAGTATCAGTGGAGCAAGGCCGAGCACGGGTTCAGCCGCAATGTTTCATCCGCAATGGCCATCCAATTCGACTACGAAGCGGATAAACCTCAATCACCAGGCGGACCTTCTTCTTACACGAGAATTCAATCAGGGTTTCCAGTTGGCATCTTTATTGGTCCTAAACACAGGGTGCAATTTAACTACAGCAAGGATCGATTCCACCATAGAGATATAGGCCACATATGTGACGCCTTCCTCTCCACGGTCGAGGCACTTCTTATCCCGAACCAGAATCTAGCATCGTGTATCACCCAAGTGATTGGTCCTTCTGTACTACAAACCCTCGCAAAGTTTGGGAACTGGCAATCGGAGGAAACAAAGTCGCCTGGGAGCGAGACACTGGTCAGTTTGTTTACAGAGCAATGTCGACGCTCACCGCAAATTGTGGCTGTGACCAAGGGGTCAACAGCGATGAGTTACTGCCAAATAGACGAATCTAGCACAAAGATTGCTCAAGTCTTATTGAGACATATCGCCCCAGGGGATGTTGTGTGCGTGCAAGCTGATCGCTCCATCAACTGGATTTTGGCCGCGTGGGGCGTAGTGAAAGCCCAAGGCGTTTACTGTCCAATGGACCCCGATTCTCCTCCTCCCCTCCGCAACTCGTTTAGCTCTATAGCAAATGCTCGTGTATTTTTGGCTACGAGTGAGGCTTCCAAAAACTCCAAACCATCTGATTGTCAAATATGCTACTCAGTGGACGGGATACTCGCCATGTGGGTGCGAAATATTGGTTGGCATAACAGTGTGCGACCCAATGACAATGCTTATCTGTGTTTTACTAGTGGCTCTACTGGTCTCCCTAAAGGGGTGCTATGCACTCACATGGGGATTGTGGCATTTGAAAAAGACTATGAGGGCCGAATGATGGTAAAGCCAGGCCGTAAGGTTGCCCAGGTGATGTCTCCTGCATTTGACGGCAGTATTCACGAAATATTTGCCACTCTGTCATATGGTGGAACTTTAGTCATGAACGATTCAACGGACCCATTTGACAATTTGAAGCATTCGGATGTCGCTTTGTTGACGCCCTCTCTAGCTCGCATGCTGGATCCAATCGATTACCCAAATCTGCGCGCAGTGAGGCTCCCTCAATTTATAGATTTGTGTCCACACTCAATAAACGGGAATGTGCTAACATTTGCAATGTATGACGCAGGTCTGGCTAGTAGGAGAGCCTTTAACACGAGAAATCGCTGATAGATGGGCCTCTGCTCTTCCGACATACAATATGTATGGCCCGACCGAGACCAGTATTGGGTCAGCCTACACCCGCATACATTTAGGGGATGAAATCACAATTGGAAAGCCTACTCGATGTGTCCGGATATATATCCTCGATGAAGATTGGAATCTTATCATACCAGGGATGATTGGAGATGTCTATATCGCTGGAATACAGGTATCTCGTGGTTATGTGGGGCGTCCGGATGAGACCGACGCCAGTTTCTTCACAGACAGCGTGTGCCCTGGCCCGGGGCAGATGATGTACAAAACGGGTGATCGAGGATACTGGACAACAGGTGGAGGAGTTGCGCTGCTTGGCCGAGCAGACAGACAGATTAAACTGCGCGGTTTCCGATTAGATCTCAACGACCTAGAAATTCGCATAGTGCGAGGGTATCCTTCGGCCACCGCAGTTGCACTTGCTCGTGTAAACGATACGCTGGTTGCACTGGTCCAACCGGTGAAAGTTGACATTGATGACTTCCGAGCCAAACTGCGGAATCTTTTGCCATCATACGCCATTCCTAGTCTAGTGAGGGCTGTTCATCAGTTCCCTTTGACGAGTAATGGAAAGACAGACTACACGGCTATTGTGAAAAGTTTCGCGTCTTGTTCAAACCAACGCACATTGCCCGTGGTTTCATCTTGTTTGCAAGATGCTCGCAGCAAGATCATCGATATTTGGCGTACCGTCCTGAAACTTGACATCAACCACCCCATCGATGGTGACGATCATTTTGTTCACATGGGAGGTCACTCCCTCGAACAACTAGCATTAGCAAGCCATTTGTCTTCTACCTTTTCGAAGGATATTCACCCCCGTCAAGTCATTGATTCGCCCCGTCTCCGAGACCAAGTGGCCTTATTCTCCTCCCATACCGAGCGTGTTGCTGGTTGCGTCCTAAATGGGGATGCAGCCCACAGTTTGGCCCCATTGGGAGAAAGCAATATATCTCCGATTGAAGCCGAGTGGTGGGAGAAGTACAATTTGCGGAAAGGATCAACAGCCTTTAATATAAACTTTGTCTGTCACCTCGGCGGAGGCGTTGATCTGCTCAACTTGGTTGACGCATGGAACACTGTCCTTGCACGACACGACATTTTTCGGTCGCTTTATTGCGCAAATGGGGCGCAATTAGTCCGAATTATGAGTAGTTCGTGTCCTAAAGTGTGTTACGCTTCGGTTATTGACATCCAAAAAACAATCAATTATGACTTCAATCTCTCAAAAGATCTTCCCATCCGGGTCTATCTCTCTCTTGATCTATTGGTCTTGGTTGCTTCTCACATCATACTGGACCTAACATCTCTACAAGCAGTCTTACGAGAGGTTGAACTAGTCGTTAAAGGCGGCCGCCTCCCACCTGTGACCAGAAGATACAGTAGTACCACACGCTGGAATCGGCCTGTTACTTCAGAAGACCTCGAGTTCTGGGACGCTTCTCTACGAGACCTACCTTTGCATCCAAATCCAACTCGCACCACCTTCCATGGAACATCTCGGGTGTATAAGCTCTCCGAAGAGGTCATGTCCAACATAACAGAATACAGTATACGATACGGAGTTACATTTCATCAGCTCTGTCTCGCCGCTATTTCACTATGCCTCCGCCAAGATAGACCGTCAGATCAACCAGTGGCACTAGGGGCACCGTTCCTCAACCGAGGATTGGATGATATTGATGTAGTTGGTCTCTTTCTCGAGCCACTACCTGTCCGCATCAATGCTCCATCTGATGGGAGTGGAATTGCCTATGTACGCAAAACGCAACAATCAAGCCGAGATTCTCTCTCTCACGCCATCCCATGGCATACTTTGTTAGATCATTTCGGCGTTCATCCAGATCATCCAAATCTACCTTTTATGGAGGCAATTGTAACATTCCATGATTATCGGGCGGTCCGGATTTTTGACGTTCCCGGGGTAGCACCACTGATGACCTGGTGTCAGGGCGCAAAGTTCAACTTGATGATGGAATTTTGTGCTCAGAGAGATGGTTCTCTTTTTCTACGCATTGAATATGACAATGTGAACTACGACGCGAGCAAGATCGATAAGGTTCAACATTCCATCATGTTGGTGCTCATGGGGTTAACTCGGGGTTTGGATATTGCGGGTATTCAGACAGAGCTTGAGACTGTGTCCGATGTGCCACCGTATGTAGGTGATCGGCATTTTGGTATGCAGAGTTTGGATGTTTAGTCAAGGATAAATAATTATTGGGTACAACGAAAAGGAAACACTAACAATGACAAGGGAACCCGCTAAATATGCAAGCGGGGCTGATCTGTGTCACCAATACCTAGACAAGAAGCCGCCCACGGTTATTAATCCTTCGCTAGGGTGGCTAGTAGTCGTAATCTACATATGTGATACAAGGGCGTGGAGTTTATTATTCATGAACGAGCAAATATCCTTTGGTCAGGTTGGGCTCGATGGTAGGTAGCGCATCCCTGACCACCAATGTGAAAATCCTTGAAGGATTTAAACAACAGAATTCTAATTGTCTCAAGCGCTATTCATGCGACTATAGGAGAATATCCCGACGTGGGAATCGATTCATGTTCAATTATCTAGAGCGAACATAATCGGGTGACCATTCCCTCATTAAGACAATGGCCGTGATCTATTCTAAAATGCATTGTTGACTATTTTTACTTGTTCCCATGTCGCACAAAAAGCATCCTTCCGAACCATTTAACAAAGGAGACACAATGTTATCTAATTGAGGAAGACATAATGCCAGCTATTTTAGGATAGTAAAAGAGATTGTAGAAAGCCTTTGTAGGACAATTCAAGTAAAAAGGCTATTTGTTTGTAAAGGGCATTCAGGTAACAAAGGTTGAGGTTGTGTTAATATGTGCTTGATAAAGGGGTTTTATTAGCCCATTGTATAAGCTACGAGTCAATGAACTCGAGAAATGTCTATAAGAATGATCAAGTCCTCGCTCATAAAAAATCCAACCATCACAGCAAACAATCTTCACACTTAAACATCTTCAACATACTCCTTCCAATACCCTAGAATTATACTTACACATTTTTACAGATATAACCCCTAGCGACCCTCCATATCGCAACCATGCCTAGTCGAGAACCAACCATACGTCCCCAAGGACACAGCACGCCGCGTCACAGAGAAAGCGCTTGCGACAATGACCGTGAACTGTACCTTCAAATTTGTACGCCGGGGCCCGACGGTGCCATCCATTGGATGATCATTGAGAAATTACCAAGATCTGACCGTTGCACCCGGCTCCACAGCACTGGCTACAAGGGGAATCGTAAATTGGCTATCGAACATGGCAAGAGATTTGAAAGCCGATCAGTCGAACACACACACTATCTCGGTAAATTTCATAGCAGTTACAGTGCCCTTATCAAAAGAGAGGCTAGCAAGATTCCACTACAGAGCTGCCAACTCTGGGCCTGTTACCTGATGCTTAGACTTGAGCGCAAGGGACTGCTCGAAGTGGGGAAATTCGACCATTACTGGAACTCTTATGAGCATAATTTTGATGAACACTATGGAGAGGGAGAAGATGATGATGCATGCCCGATTCATGGACATGACGATGCACGCCGGATTCATAGACATGACGATGCACGCCCGATTCATAGACATGACGATGCATGCCCGATTCATAGACACGACGATGCATGCCCGATTCATCGACGTTAGTTATTGATTTCTCCTTCTTTTTCATGTTCAGATTTGCCCCTTGGTCTTTTTGCTTTGTTTGCTTTTGTGTTGATTTCTAATTTTAGTGTCTTTGTGCAGGATCTATGTATACTAATTGCTCTTCAAAATAAATTTGGCAATATAAATACTGAAAAAAGATTGTTCTATCCTCGTATATCCCTCAATTAGGGCCCTAGTAGTGGTGATATAAGTTGCGATCTAGTAGATTATGATAATATCAAGGTACGATACGATACATCCCTAGATTGGGGAAATACCAAGTCTTTCTAGCCAGATCTTCATTTTGGATTATCTTACCGACCACGGGTCCTATAGACTCTAGACTCAGTTCATACACACCCACCGAACTATTGGCTGCATAGCCCGAGCTGCACTCTAGGGTGAGAAGTCTAGAGACTGGGCTGAGAGGTCAGGATGGGGTGACAATTCTCACCTAGGGGGCGATAGGGGCCAATTCACTTGGCGCATATGCCTGTCTTAAGCAAAAGAAATAAATTTGATCACCGGAGCCGTTCTTTTGCTCCACTATGATTTGCTATGTTCACCAAAAAATAAATCCAGAAAGCACTCGAAGAGCGTATCGCACGTACCGCATTACCTGGTCAGAACTAGAACTAACACGAAGATAATATCATCTGCTACAACGAGCTAGCGCCTGCTATGCTAGAAGTATATTACTATGCAGCACTCAACTAGGCTCTATGAGTTTGCATCTCCCATTTCAGTGGACTGACTAGAACCCGTCTAGCTGCATCTCAATTAATGTCGGCTCGGCATATCGGATAAATCATTGACACTACTATAGTAAGGTTTGGATAAGTTGGCGAGGTCTACAACATAGATGGGACGCTTCCACAAACATGACCGCAAATTTAACCTCAGGTTTGATACTATAACTGATGCATTTCTGAAGATAGTACAATCTAACAAACTCAGTTAACTAACGTATTCGGTGGCTAAGCCAGCTGCGCAGCCTAGAACACACAGTAAAAGCCATGCACTCGCCACTTCTATTTCAACAACCAACATTTCGATTTAATTCTATTCCTTGTCGATAGCGCTTGGTAAGAATTTTGAGCATTGTATACCGATTTTGAATAAATAGGAAACTTGCATGGTAGCAAAACCTTTCTTTGAAAGATATATATCCTACTCTGTGATCTAGTATCAAGCCCTCCTAAACTCTGTAAAGTTGCTAGGTATCATATTAAAAGCATTGGGCTATAAGGAAAAGTTCATACAGACTGATTTTGTTGTAGTATCATGCTGTAATGTATCGCTTTTATAATGTGTTTTGGTCGTTGTGCAGCAAAAAAAACCAAATCTAGTGCTATGTTCGTCCCAACTGTTGCGCGACATTAACTCATCAATTGATTCCAAACTGATTACATTCTATATTTCTCTCTGACAAATACCAGAATACATACGACCATAGGGTGTGGAAAACAGGGCTTCCCGTCCGCTCAGCCGTACTTAAGCCACACGCCGGTGAGTTAGTAGTTGGGTGGGTGACCACCAGCGAATCCTCACTGTTGTATGTTTTTGTTGTTATTAATTTTCCCCCTTTTTTGAACTCCATTCATTCGCTAGGAAAATTAGATAGACATTTTTGTGTTAAATAACTCTCTCGCTTCGTGTATCAATCTGTATACAATGTTGATGACAAGGGTGTAAACATACTACGACGTCCGGGTATCCATAGTATACAACGAATATCGCGCATGACGTGCAAGTCAAGGTGCGACCAGGTTTAAACCGGCAAAAAAGTGACTACATAAATAACCCATTCAAAAATCAAAACCAAGACGGGAAATTGAGCTATTTGAGCGGCAAGCTCATTCAGTTCCTTTTCTGATGGATTTTGTGTGAGAGACGTGACTCGTGAACTGAGGTGGTCTGGCTTGAGCTTTGAATTTTGCGAGGTCGGTAGCACCCCGTTTTCTCCAATTTGGGTTGAATCCATTGAAGAATGGGGCTGAACGTGGCTTGGCACTGATATTTTGTCTTTCAAGGATATGAGCACGGGTTCTTGGGCCACTATCGGGCTTTCTTTGATTGACCCTAGCCCACGTGGGATTGGCTGCACGATTGGCTGTGGAACAAGGGAAGATGGCAATATTTCTGGTGATTTATAAGCTGGGAGGCTTGACTGTTTGCCTTTGGTAGAATCAACAGGGTCCGTACAGCTGTAACCCTCCTCGACTGCTGTATCTGACTCTGCACTCAAGTATTGTGCGACTTGAGGAGCATCCTGATAAGAGACAGGAAGAGAATCAGGAAACTGCACCCGAATCCCTTCTAGGTTCAGCCGTTCCATTTGAAACGGTAACACTTTGGCAATCGGATCCAGTCGACGTGTAAGTTTCCGTTCTTTGTCGGGAATGACTAGTATCATTGACTTGCCAACTTCCTTTTGATCGTCGCTGGGAAATTTGAATAGCTGCTTCACGTTACTTCTGAGGTATTTAGAATTTCGTTTCAGCTTCCCCTGTATTTCGACTCGAATATAAAATGGTTCCATGTCATGCTCGAAAGTGAAAGCTGTCTGGATCTCGCTGCTATGCGTCGATTGTCGTTGGAGATCATCTTTCGAGAGTTCCCATTTCAGTGTGCGGTATACCATTGCTCTGAAATAATTGATATTCTCAGGGTTGGCAAGTAATCTGGAGCCTGGAAGTAAATTTCCTGTAAACATCCAGCGGCTAGCTTGAGTGAATGTTTGTTCCCGATCGTAGCCCAATCCGCCACCCCCATTACCAAGAACGTTAACCTCGGGGGTCAAATGCATAACACTTTTAGTCGTCATATTGGTAGGTCTTCCCTCAAGCTGCTTAGGACCAAAGTCGTGTGTGAATTGAAGGAAGCGTGATTTGCCGTAGCGCGGCTTAGCAATTTCGAATGGGTCAAGGTCGTTCCGGGAGGAATTCATTGGAGTTGACTTCGTTCGTCTTTTTCGAAACTTGTGTTCCTTTTTCCAGTCTTTGTCTTCTTCCTCTAAACTGATCCAGACAACCGCACTCGTCAGAGGGCAGTCCTTGGGCTGACTGAAAGTGAGGTCAACGTAGAGAATTCCGGCTTGATTCTGAGCCGTACCAAGCACACCTAGTTGAGTCTTTGAATGGCGGAACCGACAATCAATATGAATGGGACCAAGTTCCTGATCGCAAATGCTGACGTTGGAGAGTCCGTCGAACCTATTGAATGCCGGGCCATATTTGCGGGCGAATCGCGCTGGAGACTGACGGGGTGTGGTTGTTTGCACTTGGATTGCTGACATCTCAAAAACAAATGAGTGGATTTTTGGGACTCAAATTGGGCCCGAGCTGATTATTTTTGTTTATCTAAAAGACAGGTTTTGGAAAAGAAATTAGATCGCGGGGTAAAACTGACGAGTGTGAGGGAAATTTGCCATTTTCACGCCAAGGCGAACCAGGGTAAGACTAGAGGGTCGAAATGTGCCTTGCCCATCTCACTCAGCCCAAGAAGACTTCCTTTCAACTAAATGACAGACTCTCCATAAAAGCAAACACCTCAACCTAGATAGTCTCACTATTCTATACCGATAATGGACATGGAGCGCCTAACATCCAGGTTGGGTCGGAGGAATACGCGATCGCTGTTCAACTCCCTTGACCGATCTCACTCATCTGACGACTTTTCACTGGTGGCGCCAAAACAAAACAGCGAGGTTCAACGTGCCCAGAATCCTACCATACAAGAAGTCATTGAACTAGGTCCGGATCGACCTGGTTCCCCTATCTCGTCAGAGACATCAAGTGAAGGAATTAATTTGCATGAACTTCCGGACAACGCTCAAATTCTCAAGTTTGCCTCAAAGACGAAGACGGACACAACTTTACATTTTGTCCTAAATATAGTTGATGATATCGAGGGTCAGCTCGAAGAGTTAGGGCGCTTGAAGCGATGGGGTCATTTTAAGGAGGCACTCGAATACTTCGAGTCCAACTTAGAGCAACATATTGACCTACCGATGGTGAAAATCGAATACGCCGATCTCCTATTGGAGCAGGGTGCCTATAGAAAGCTCATCCAACTCGGGTTGGAGGCGCCTTCTCAACCAAAATACATCCCAGTGAGAGGAGTTTACCGGCCAGAGCTCTACTGCACCCACTTCAATGCGATCCACAAGAGTGCAAGGTTTGCTTCTGAAAGCTTTGCAGCGGATGACTTGGGCGGCGACCAAATGGATAAATTTACTTTTTATCTTCACAAACGGGTGAATGATCAACGAAATTCTCATCGTAAATTTGACGTTGGGATCCCCTTTGATTTCTCGGAGGTAACGAAATCATATCATAGCCTGAAATTTACAAGATGCTAACCTCCTTGGGATACGACAGATTCAAATTATTCGCAATCAACTGAAGCTCTTAGTCCAGATTAGAGACAAAGATCCAGATGACAATGTTTCACCAGACTTTGGCATAGGCTTTTGGAAAGATATATACGACGACCTGCTCATGGGGGGGCGCATTTGGGAATTTTGCGACTTGTTCAATGCGATGCTGCCTTACTTGGGCCAATTTGATACTTGGAAAGCCCTGTACGATGCAGAGAGCCCAGAGGCTGAACTGAACCTCTCTCTCGAACGACTTCAACAAGACTGGTCTGTTGATCAATATGATGAATCGACCGAGCTAGCTATGCTGTCTATTCTTGTCCACATAGCGCATGAACTTGGGCCTCGCAGTGGCTATGGAATTCCAAACAATGACAAAGCGGCGAACATCAAACTGTGCTTACGGAAAGCCGAGTTCTATGCCGCCGAAATCCAAACACATAGCCCCCAATTGACAAGGTCTCGACCTTACCTGCAGTGGGTCATAGCTAAAGAGTGTTTTGATCGTCGATTAAACTGCAGCTCTTCATACCGTAAACTGCGAGAAAGCCATTTCAATAATTGCTCTGGGGAAGTGATAGGCGATGGTCAAATCCCCATCTATGTTCCTGTGGGGCCTACAGATATAGGGTGGCCAGCGCCGGACCCAGATTTCCCGCCCAACAACACGTTGAAATGGGCATTATTGACATCGCGTGAGCTTGGGGACTACGAAACGGAGTCCATGTGTCTTCGTGAACTAATCTGCCGAGAGAAAGACCCACGATCTTTGTTCGCTCAGTTAAGCAAACTTCTAAGGGACACCCAAGGGAACAATCTTGCGCACTACGACACCTGTCTCTCTCAGTACCTTCTCACCGATAACGATGTATCTCGTCGAAAACTCATTCAAGAGTTGGAGCAAGTTGCCAATAAGTTCAAGCCTGCTTCTCATGCCGACATTTGCATCAAAATACGAAGGTCTGGGCTGCTGGTTCTGTGCGGCTTGATGCTTCTATTTTCCGAGTGTCACTCAGAAATGTATGTGATTCAAAGAACTATTTTAGCCCTCGATAGGGAAATATCCCTTCGCCCGAAGAAACCCTACACTTTTAGTGTCCCGCGGGTCCACAGCGAAGGGTATTTACGGCGTGAACCGAGTCAGTTTGAATACCAGGAGCTTCTCAAAACTCGGAAAGAAGCCATGCAAATGAAGCTGCACCAGAAAGCAGCGGAAAGCCAGGAGAACGAAAGTGAAACAGAGACCGTAAAACAGAACAAAAATCAGGACCCCGAACCAAAGCTAATCAACCGACAGCCGACAGTGTCGGACTTTGACGACACAGCAACGCCATCAAGTGAGACCAATCAACCTAATCATTCTGTAGAATGGCCTGAGGCAGAGGAGGATTCAGATGGGGAAGCTCAAACGCTAGTGAGGGCTCATCATAGCCAAGGGTCTTAGCATCCATGTCTACAATGGGATAATCGTATCTAGCTTTCACTTGAGAATGATAATATCCTGTTGGTGTTCTTCTTTCTGACACTTTGATGAATATACAATAATAGCCAAACTCAATTTCTTTTTTGGTAGTTTCTTTAGCCCTTGTATTGGATGTCTTCTCCCCTAGTCAATTTTATAGCCACAAAGATGAAAAGGCGTTAAGCAGTATAAACCGTGTGAACTACTTTTCTATGTATAATCAGGGATGTAAATTGTACTAATAGAATAAGGATGAGAGTAGTATTGAAGCATCCGTCCTGCCTAGCTTGACTTTTTGTACCACAATAACTTTATAGAGTCTCCAGGAAAAGCAGGCATCCACTGTGACATACTTATCTCCTTAGCTGTAGTAGAATTGAAAGTGGCCTATTCTATCCCTAAAGTGAGAATTGGATGGCGAATGTTAGACAATATCTGGATAATAATAGCGGCCATGAACCGTAAAACGCTTGTCTCATGGGTTCTGTACGGCTTCTGACGTCCTTCCTCAGCTTTGGCACCTAGATTGATACTGGAAACAATCCATTTTTCTCTTGAAATAATCACCGACACGATTAGTTTAGGGTATAACACAGATCCGGGTATATTTTGATGCATGTGCATATTTACGTGGCTACCTACATAGTCAAATTCCAGTAGGACGGGGCAGAATCCCGAATATAATCTTGATTTTCCATTTTACAGCCATCCTAGCTTCTTTATTAGCTTCATTGGCTTTAGGTAGGTCAATCTTATCAATCATACTGCCTATCCGTCTTTTTTAATACTCGTAGGCGGGTCTTCCCGAGAGGAATATGCGTTACAACAGGGATGCATGGTTTAAGGTTGGTGAAGCACTGAGCTACGAAGCTGTTATTCCGATTTAGAAAGTCCTGTAATATTAGCTGAGTTTGGATATATGAATGCATAGCTTCTTCGTGCTTATAGGAAAAGAGGGGCTTATTGATGTACCCTGCCCGGTTTTCGCTTGATATATTACTTCATCAGTTGTTAAGGTAGCGGAGATATACTAGAGTAGCTACGACAAGGACTTATATGATCCCGGTCCCCATTTTGTACATAAAGATGCTTCCGATAGCACTAGAAATGGAAAGATAACCACTAAATAAAAACTTGATATTCGTTCTAAAATAAGAATGAATCCCGAGACTATAATTGAGGCTTCATGCGTTGAAGTTCCTCCAAAGAGGAGCAATGAATTCCCATGACATAAAACAAAAACCCTCCCAAGGATCAAAGCGGTTCCCTTATGCCTTGCAGAGGTGGTCCTTCATGCCCGAAATTGACGGCGAGAAGAAGTACTCACCCCCACGAGGAATAATGAATCGATTAATTCCAACAGTCTTTGTATTTTCCTTTGGGGGAGGGAACATCGGGTCAGGCAGGTTTACCAGAGGGGCAGGACTCTTGTACATAGTAACTTCGTCGTCATCGCGGCGATGCGGAGGAACTTGGCCGATGATAGGGTCAATCCCTTGTGGGAGACCTCCGCATTCTTCAGACTTGTCGTCGGGGCCATCCGCTTTATTTGCCCACTCTGAAATGATTGTTAGTATCAGCACTGCAACGTTTACAAATACCTAACGTACCTTTCTGCACGGTGCGGAACCCATTCTGGATGCTGCTCTGGTAGGAAACAAACAAAAGGCCACGCTCCACCTGCGAGACACCACCCTCCTTTTCAGGTGTCAATGTGAGGTCTCCATATGGGATTCCTCGGCGGAGCATAAGATGCTTGTGGTAGAAGGGGTGGTCATCTCGGGGACCGCATTTGCGAATATGCGACGCATAAGGACACTTTGTCTGGTCATCTGCATTGTAATTGAAGTTGTCTGTGTGGTTTCTAACTTCCTGCTCTTTCCAATTTTTGTCAAAATCAGCCCCCCATTTTTCCTTCAGCTTTCTGACGTTTTCATTGGGTTCGTGGTCGAGAACCACGCTAGGGTCATCGGTTGGATGAAGTTCCAATGGAGCTCCTGCGTTGGGGATAATGGTTTAGCTCAATCTAGCCATATTGGGTATCCACGATGTTCATACCATCAGGCCATCGTCCCATGACGCGTGATGAAAATAGGCGAAGTTCTTTTTTGGCTTGGTCCGAAAAGCCCTTGTCGATTTTGATCCTCTCAATATTTGAGGCACACCATCTAGAAGGAGATGCCGGCATGCTTTAGGTAGCTGTCGGATTGAAAGACGGAAGGAGTACTTACGAAATAAACTCAGGAACCCTCTGCTCGTAGATACGATAAACCATGAAGCTACCATCCTTGGCCCATGCTGGGGTAGTACTGGTATCTTGGTCACCTCCGACAAGGATGGTACTAGAAATTATCTCATCAGAAAAGGAAAGCAGCTTTTGACGAGAATAGGAATTTGGATTCATACTAACCCAGCCGGAATTGGCTTCATGCCTTCCGGATTCTTCTTCTTCTCGAGATCGTCCAAACCGATCACAACGGGCTGAGAAAGGCCGTCCACCCACCCGAAGCTGCAGCAGTATTATTAGCGGCTGGTGTAAATGGTGCAGCTCTCCTGGAAGCTTACTGTTCTCTGTCATCGTCCAGAACATGGCCACTCTGGGAGCAGACTCTTTGCAAGCTTTGGCCTCCTTTACCGACCTCAAAAATCCCCTCAATCAACCTATCGATTGTTCTCTTCACTGTCGCGGCACTGTCGCCAACGACAATAAACACACCATCAATCCATCCGTTTCTTGGTTTGAAATGATGGTACCAATCGTGTTGATCATCCAAGCCTTGATGTTTTTTCGGGTCTTGACCAGCCTCCGGATAGGTCATATCCTGATACTGGCCGTTGTTGAAAACCTCATCAGAAAATCCCTCCGCATTGAGCTGTCGATTGTCAGAAAACGAGCTTTTAATTGCCATCTAAGGGCCGAAACCATACCTTAGCAAGTCCCTTAGAAGAAAAGGAAACATTGACTGCTGACAACTTGATCAGTCCCGCCAGGGTGCCGTTTGCCTTTTTACTATATAGGTCCTCTCTCATCTTGAAGGCATCGTCAGCTGTGGTAATCAATGGGACAAGCTTGGCCAAGTGGTTTTTGAAACGATCTACATGGGTGATTCGAAAAAAGTAGAAAGTCTCGAACTTCTTAGGCAGACGAGGCCTGGTATAGTCAGTAATCTTGGTCCCTTAGACGATGGCCTAGTTGTTTACCATATATCTCCCTGAATATTTTTCTTGTCGGGGGTCGCCATTTTGAACAAGCAAACCAAGAATATTTCAGATTCTCTGTTGGGGATATTTTACGGTTCAGTTAAGCAGATGAGACGTGCTTTATATATTTACGAGGTGGGGTTGATAACCTTTACCAGTCATGGCAGTAAGAAACTCGAGCTGTAAAAATTCCTTACGTCAAGCATTAACTTTTCTGCTCTACGTCTACATCTGCAGTTGGGTAGCGTATGTTGCAGACAGAACATCATGTCAACTTAGCATTACATGGGATATATCACATCTCGTCGGGCAACAATGATATTGAAGTGCATATGCAATGCCGTGTGTGCAATGATACAGCATATCCCTATCTCCGTGATCTGACAATGACATCACGCTATCATAAATACCTTGTCAAAGGCAGTATGCCTACTTGCTCTTTCGCAACAGACGGGTGATCTATTCCATTCTCAGGTCCGCCAGCGAACGTTCGAATGGGACGAGCCCAACCCATAGTTCCATGTGATAGTATGTGCCATATCGAATGCAGCCTGGCCACAAAATTAAGTCGTCGCTAATGCCGGCGCCGTCATGCACGCTATTCCTGTATGCACGATTTTAACACACGTAACACACCGCATCCCGATCTTACCAAATATACGAGCCAACAGGCCATATTTGTAAATGGGGTTTCGTTGTTGGTGCAGGGTCGCAGCTTGCGATACGACGTGCGTCTTCCAGTTGTTGCTGTATCTAGTTATCCCTAGTGGAGGTCGAAGTGCTCTGTAGATTTGAAAGGTATAATGCGGCGCAGATGGTCTTAAACGGATCAAGTGGCCAATGTAATTGGTTCACTAGGTAGTGCGGATATTCCGTGTTCTGACAATAAACACAAGATGATGTGTCACGTAGGGTTCACTCCGCTATACAATAGACCAATCAGGACTGTGCGAAAGGCAACAACGTAATAATGCAGCGGGGCAACACACCACAATTAAATCTCTAAATGGGGACCCTAGTCACCAATCAGTTGTGGGGTTAACAACTGCTGATAGGCCACCGAGAGCCAACCGACCTATGTGTTATCGGATCACGTGTAACATCTAATACCCAGGCATCCCCGGGCATCTAGAGAAAAGAGTAACTACACATACAATTATACTTAGTAGGAGTATGATCCACCCTAATCGAATTCACCCGCTAGAGGTTTCCCTGCGTATATGTTACCATATATACTATGTGTTGCGCACTAGAAATTACCCCTTTTGGGAACTATAGATCTATACAAGTATACCTCTTATATCGACTTCAAGAATCTACAGTGGCTCTAGGAGTAGGAAGAACTTATGGATATATAAAGGAGTGTCGTTACATACTTAGTTTGGTTATTTATCTTATTTCTAACATTATTGCTTATTTACTATTCGGATTGCTACAGTTCTTTACACGATTAATAACTTAATGACACTTACAACTAGAGCAATACTTCGGTATAGTTATATGTTGTATTTTGCGCTCTACCTAGTACCTAGTATTGTTGCTCGATACTCTCAAAAGGGCTTGGCCTGTGTAAGGCCTACTAGTAATGGTATGGTTAAGAGACAGATTGTTAATATTGAAATACCCAAGGAGTACAAGGCCATTGGGCCAGGCTACGAAGCTCATTTTGGGGGCAGCATTTTGAGCTTGGAGGCCAAGTCTTGGTTGGTACCCTTTTTAAACGGTATAAAATGGTAGAAACATCTACCATGGTGGGTTCATCCTTTTGGTGAACATTACATTTGACCAAGCGAACTAGATTCAGAGATATGCTAGATAGAATATAGACACATCTTAGATAGTGATCTCCTCTTTTCTTCTTCTGATGGCAATCCTCGCAAATGGATCCGCAGAAAGTCTCATGCCAGACTTAAAAATACTTGGGGTGCATCCCTCAGCCACTTTGAAGTCGTATTTCATGATTACGTGACACAGAATGACCTTCATCTCAGCGGCAGCAAAGAATCGTCCGGGGCAAGCGTGTTTTCCAAAACCAAAACCCATGTGTTGAGGCGAGGGTGACACGAACTGGGCCAGAGCTTCTTTGTCCATGGACCCTTCACGAAGCTTAAGGAAACGATAGGGATCAAACGTCTCAGGGTCAGGATAGATGCTCGGATCCCACATTTTACTGCAGGAGACGAGGATGATTTCACCCTTGGGGACAATGGTCCCATCAGATAATTTGACATCGGCTTCGACTTTACGTGCCATTTTTGCTGGTTCTTGTTAGCCTGAAAAGGTTTGAGGTATGGATAGTCATTTACCAATAGCCATAGGCTTGACCCGCTGAGATTCCTTGATGACACTGTCCATCAACTTCAGCTTGTACATGGTGCTCTTGTCCCAGCCACCATCTCCGAGAACTTCAATAATCTCTTTCCTGAGCTCCTTAATAAGTTCTTCGCGGCCACAAAGATCGAGAATAGTCTGGGTAAGTAGGTCGGTGGTGGTATGGATAGCAGCGGTAGACAGGGCTAGCTGCATGGCAGCGGGGTCAAATTTATTGTGGCCTTGCGAGGAGTTTTCCTCAAGCCACTGGATAGCATCATGGTATGTCTCCTCTGGTCTGCCCTCTGCGACGGCTGTCTTTCGAGCTTTGTGCCGCTCCTCAATGACAGGCGTGATAATATCTTTAGCCTCTTGCAACTCCTGTCGAATCTTGTGGCATTTGGGCAGAAACTTAGCAGCTAGAGGCCGGAGCATCTCGGGCCAAAGTCGGAGTTGAGCTGCTGCCATTAGAGAGTCGATTGTGTAATTGATTGTGATACGTAGCCATTCGGGGTTACGGCAAATCTTCTCGCCGAGGAATACACGCGACGACAGTGACGCGATTAAGCCAACGGCCTTTGTCCTCAAGTGAACGTCATGCCAATCTTTCAAAGTGAAAGTTAGTGATTTGCACATGGTAGAATATAGCCCCGAGACAACTGACCCGTATCATCCGTCCATTGAGTCTTCAGCACGTAGTCAGCCTCGTCAGACATGGGGCCCGTTATGTTGACTACATGAGTTAGCGAGTAAAGTAAAACAGTCTAGCAAGCAGCGATATTCTCACGAAGGTGCTGGGTGAGTTTGGTGCGAACGGTATCCTGGATGATATCTGACGTGACAGTAACCCGGACAGCGTCGAACCCTGCAATATGGACATGATGTTCAGTTACCAAAGCACCGCTCAGACTTAGCGAGCGATGGCTCCGAATGTCTTCGGCATAATCAGCTGACAGGATAGTCCTGACACCATTTTCAGTAACTACACGAAAAGCGCGAGCCTAGAAAAGTCACTTCTTGGGGTTTGACAAGTTGATAATGCAAGACATACCTTTGCAAGTCCACTCATGATCAAGTTATGCGCGTCTGCCAAATAGCGCTGTCGAGCCTTGGCAATGCTAAACTCGAACTGCCGCTTGCCGTTCACAAGGGGGAGCTGAGGAGTTTTGGCGGAGTTTAACAAGAAGAACAGCCCGGAAAGAAGGGCCAAGCCAGCCAGGCTGATCGTCGGCAAGTTGCCTAGAAGCCATAGTGTTTGTATAACCATGTCGCAGAGCCAACAGGGCGAAGTAAAGACAAAGGGAGCAATGTATAGAAGAGAGGGTCGATGTGAAGACAATCAAAATGGTAACATTAATTATGCAAATCAAGTGACCAAAAAACATACCAGGTTCTCCAACAGCTCCTAGCTATCTCTAATCTTCGGTTAATCATATGCATGTAGGCCCTAGCTTTGTATTCAGGTGCCAGCTATGATCAGCCGTGATGGGTCGTAGCATCCTTGCAGAATCACCCTCACGTTATCATCTCCATAATATTTTTATTTTTAATTTCACTATGGTTCTTATCGAGCAATTCAAACGTATGCTCCAAAGCATCATCGCTGAATACGAATGGAATGGACTTTACTCCGTACTGCATCTGCAGATATGCACCATATCATTAGTCGCGTTGATCCCCTTTCAAGAAAATGAGTCTGGGTAAGTGGAGCCGATCGAATTTTTTTTGAAAAAAAAGAAAGTCCGACTGCATAATATTGGAATACAAGAGTCGGAATAACCAGTTCAACTGTGGCTAGCTGATATCATGCACCTACGTGGATCCACGCCCTAATGAGACAAGGCATGCGGTGGCTTCCACTGGCATTGCTTTTTTCAATCTAAGTCCCCATTCCAAGCCAGCCACCTTTTTGTCTAGAGTTTAATGTAACATTCTCCTCCTTAAGGATTTACAATGCATTACAGAGTAGTGAGGCCATGAAGGGAGATAGGCTTGCTTTGAATTTGCTTTCAGTGCGCCTTCTCGCAAGGGCTATCTCTCGAATTTCTCATGCCGATACCAGTCTGCACATCGTAAAGGAGATAAGCATTATCACCGCGGGAAGCGGCATATCCGAACTGTATTCTTTTGCTAAACAAGCCTCGAGGTGACGGGGGGACGCATTTAGGTATTTTAAGCAACATCAAACATCATGCTTCGCGCTAAGTACCCAAAAACTGTTGGTTTGTATCTGCTCCTCTAGTAGCTTCCCCTTTCACAGCGAAAGGCAAGTCCCGAGAGAGGTTTAGGCCGTAGTAGTCGAGATCGAAGACCAGCGCTTTCCATGAATCTACAAATGTGGCAAACTTGCCATGATGCTATATTCGAGATAGAAGCATGACAGTGCATGATCAAGGTCCTTTTCTTTTTGCTTTCAGAGGCCAAAAGTAATAAATTATCTTAAATACAGGCCGTATTTTCTCAAAATACACATCTTGACGAATGACCTCTATGATTGACTTCCTAACAAGAATAGTCCAGTCTGAGTTTGGTCCATGGGTTTTCAGCTGTCAAGCTTACTCTTCATCATCGCAGCAGGTCCAGCAGTCCTAAATTAATGAAGGGTTAGACGGAACAACTGGGTGGGGGGAAAAGTAGTAGATTCTCTCTAAAGAAATAAGCCTTACCTGGTCACCGGAGTTGATAAGAGTGGACTTGTATCCAGTTGGGCAATCTACAGGTTCGTCTCGGCACAAGCGGAGACAACTAGCATCATCGGCCGCGGGCATGGCGTAGACGGTGGAAACAGTCAGGGCGATGGTAGCCACCAGGAGAGAATAAAACTGCATTATGATTCAGGGATTTTTGAGGAGGAATATAGATGGTGCGGATTGGTAAACTCTGAATATGTGAAGTGCAACCTGTAGATACAACCTCCTCAGGCGGTATTTATAGCCGATTCTTGGACTGTATAAAGTTATTTCTTATGTTGATACATTTCCCAATTGAGTGCATGTCTCTTTGGAAAATCTCGGAATGCAGGTCCGGATGAGAAAACACCAATACGTGCCGTCTATGCAAGGTGGCGTCTGTGGGGTAACACAAGGATCACCTCCGAGGAAGCTACGGCGTCAATCAAGTCTACACGAGTATAAAATAGTCGTGAATTATTTACGGGGCTGGACCTCTCACCTGATGCATGATGATCTATGCCAGACTCGCACGATCTGGGACCCAGTCACAGTTACACCGCATTGTGGGAAAAGAATTCTTCACTCCTTACCGAACTCCTCAATCTACAAGCAACATATACTTTCCGAAAGAAAACATACATCGAAACACATCAGAAGGATCGATCTGCAGGTTAGTACAACAATATACAACATAGGGCTAGTTATGTATCATCTTTGATTCGTCCTCGTCGATCACAGGAATTAGTAAGAAAACAAAGCTTCAGAGGGTCAGTATTCATATTTTGACAAGGGTGTAGTTGAAGGAGCATCAAAAGTAATACATTTTAGTTCCTATGCGAAAAAATATGAATGGCAAACTGATAGGTAGTGAGGTGAAACGCAGTAAGCTAACAGGAAGCTGACTATCTTGATGCTAAGGCATCCATTAATTATTGTGAACACCCCGAGCTTTAGTCTTCCTTAAATGCGGTAGAACGCGGAATAGATAGTACAGCCCAATAGCCGCCAAGATGTTGAAAATGGTGTATGCCCAGAAGATCCCGAAGTCCTTCCAGCGATCTTCCCAAAAAATTTCTCGGCCAGCGAGGTACTGATCTGCGGTCCTCATAGAGCAGTATTGACATTGCTCAGTGGCTTCCTCATTGTATATCTTACCGGGTGCATATTCCAAAAATGTTCCCAAGTATTGACCACAAGTCTGCCCCGGTGGGGGGTCAAATATGCTTAGCTCACGATCGGAACAGTGTATCTCCCTGCCATGCAATGCAGTGGCGCTGATTCCTCCAACGTAGTAGGTGAGCGGGGACAGATGGTGCATGAATTTCCAAAAATGAGGCAGGGCACTCGGTGGCTGCAGGATACCATTGAAAAGCAGGGAGAGAAGGAATATAAAGACGGCAATCATGCTTCCCAGGGCTGGGTTCGGCAATGCGGCAATCACAAATTGTGCAAAAGTGGAAGCAAACAGGAAGAATTGCACGATGAACAGAAGGACGAGGCCTTGACTCTGTGGAGACTGACTGGCACCGTAAACAGAGAAGTAGAAAGAGGCCCATGTGCAGACCCCAAGCAAGATTTGCCATGGAACCTCAACCAATATCTGGGATACGATAAAGACCTTCCAGGAGTATGTTTTCGACGGTCGCTCACGTAGCTCGTAGAGTGACCGCTGGTTCGCAAATTTAGGCATAATCCTGTTTACGTGGTTAGACTGTATAAATCAAAATGAACTGGAGGGGGCCAACTCACTGGTTGACCATGGTAGAGAAAATAGTGCACAGAAGGAACAAGCTGAACAGGGTGTTCTGGAAGCCTTGTCGAGAATGGTTCGATTTCCAGAAAGAGAATCCAATGAGCAGACCACAGACAATTCCCAAGGCGAACTTAGACAAGATGTAGGCGGGCTGACGATAGTATTGCTGGAAATCACGCTTGATGACATGGTAGAACTGGGCCCTGACTGGCATCGCAAATTCATCACCGACAGTAGGCTCGAGAGGCGCAGGTGCGGAGGCAGAGGAAGATATGCAGTCTAATTCATCGAGGACTTGCTGTCGCTCTGGGCTGTTATTCCATACATCAACCCAGTTGATAGTTGTTTCTTGCTCATTTGCATTCTTGCCGACGACATCGAGGATATACTCGGCAGGCTGTAATTAGAAATGTTAGCAACCGTGACATATTTGAAATTATGGGTATCAACTTACATTTTCTCTCTCCCCACATCGTCGTGCTCCATTATTCTCAAAATAGCCAAGAAGAGTGTGGGCCTGATGCCCAACATCACCGAAATACACTGTTTTGCCTCCTTCCACAAGGAACAGTAAGCGATCAAATTGTTCGAATAGGATAGCGCCGGGCTGATGAATCGTAGCAAGGACGGCTTGTCCATGATCGGCAAGCTTTCTCATGAATGCACATATAGTCCAAGAGCTTTGGGAGTCTAGGCCGCTTGTAGGTTCGTCGAGAAATATTAGGAGTTGAGGTTTTGCAGCAAGTTCGACACCGATACTCAGAAGCTTTCTTTGCTCAATGTTGAGCCCCTCTCCTGGGATGCCAATCACGGCTTCGGCGAAGTCTTCCATCCCCAGCATCTGAATGACATCCTCAACAAATGCATATTTTTCACAAACTGTTACGGATTGAGCCTGTCTTAGTATCGCGTTGAAACGAAGAGCCTCACGGACAGTGGCAGTCTCCAGGTGAAGATCTTGCTGGTGGACATATGCAGTTTTTCTACTGAAGCTTTCATCAAGACGGTGCCCATTGACCAATACGTCCCCAGTAACAACTCCAATAGTCATACGCTGAGCCAGAACATCCAGAAGAGTGGTTTTCCCTGCACCGGAAACGCCCTATAATGAGATAAGTAAGTAAAGTGGTTTTTGACCGTAAGAAGGAATGGGAATCCGTACCATAAGAGCCGTGAGTGTTCCTGGCTTAACCCAGCCATTGACGTCCTCTAGGAGTCTTTTGTGATTTCCTTTAACAGGTAAATCATAGGTAAGGCCTTTCCAGCTAACCGTATTATTCTGTTTTGAAAAATTGACAATGCGAGAGTCGAGATTTCTGAACTCCTTTTTTGTAAGTGGTTCTTCCCCGGACTCCACATCCCCTTCACGCACTGCCCCAGGGACATGCCCCGGACGAAAGATTAACGCTTCTGCAGTCGTTTTGGTTTGTGGCGTATACTCTACGAGCACAAGATGAATACCGTGGAAGACTAGTGCGAAAGCCAACATTATGCCCAAGTTTCGCCACATATGTTTGTGGCTGTACTGGTAGCCGTCCCAAATATATTCATCTCCAGAAACAAGGTATTCCCCTGCCCTAGAACCGAGTGAAGAGCATGTGAAGGATTTCCCAATGAAAGAAGAGATGTCGGCTGGCACAAAATTGACGCATTCAAACCAGCGACCATGAAACTCGTTGCTAATAATACTCTCGTAGGCATAGAAGATCGGGTTGAGCCACCGGATCCAGCCAAACCACGGCGGCATGTCGAATTGTGGCAAGGTGAATCCAGTAAAGACCGCAATGCAAATGATTACAATGCCTGCCAGTGCCATAGCTTGTCCGATCGCACGAGTCATACTAGCCAATGTACGGAACATCCCTGACATCGCCACCACTGCGGTAAGTTGGAAGAGAATGTAGATAAAGAAGTTCGATGCTTCTCTTCGTAGATTGGCCATGAAGTATAGAATAACCCCAGCCAAGAGACAGCGGAATAACTTGATAGGAAGATCCAGGATGATACCGGCGCATGCTTCAGCGCAGGGATGAACGAACGCGAAAGCGGTTTGTTTCTCCACAATTCGTCTCTGGCTGTATAAAACATTGATCTCCAACATAGAAATCAATGCATTAGTGAGAACGGCCAGGAATATAACGCTCGATCTCTGGCTCATTCCCTCCGAACTCTGTGGGATGTTGAAAAACAAAGACCCGATGATAACGGCGACCACAATCTGCACAATTGCCGTCGCGATCAGGGATGGGAGGTCGTTTCGAGTGCGTTGGAAGGCCCTTGCTAGGCAAAGGCGGATTTGCATCGGGAGAGAAATAAGATAAGGGCTCGAGGACCGAACATGGTCGGCTTGTTCGGCATGCTTGATATGAGCCAGCTTGATTTCTTCTGTGCCGTCAACAGAGGTTTCTTGGGAGTGCTGGCGCATCGATAGTTGCAAACTGGCATAGTCGGGGCTTTTCTTCCAGTATTCGCTGAATTCAAAAGGAGAACATGGTATTTTGCCCTCCATGCCAGCTTGTGGCTTTCGCTCGGTGGGGTTGGTGACGGCAGCAATAAAATCGGCACTTGTCTGTCGAGTAGGACGTTCCCAGCCCATCTCCACGAAATACTGCACAGCCCGATTGCATGGACCGTAATAAACTTGCTGTCCTTCATACAGAACAGTAACTTTATCGAAAATGCTGTACATATTTTCAGAAGCTTGGTAGGCAGCGACCGCATGACAAGATCCAAGGAGATCGGCGGAAAGACGAAGCGCACCAGCGAAGTCTAGCGCAGACGCAGAGTCCAACCCCCGAGTACTATTATCCCAAGCAGCAATGGAGGCACGAGACAAGGCCATCTCTGCAATGCTGTAATAGTCTAGGTTAGTGCTGTTTATATGGCGGATGTGGTGTTCCATGGAGGAAACTAACCTCACTCTCTTCCGTTCTCCTCCACTGACGCCACGGATATAGTCGTCTCCGACCTTTGAATCATAGGTGTGTGAAAGGCCAAAAAATTCCATGACTATTTTCACGGCATTTTGGACGTATTTTTCCCGGCTCATTCCGCCTAAGCGGTTGTGTGGCGCGCGTGCGTATGCCGCGAAGCGGAGGGTCTCCCCCACAGTTAGGTGAGGAAAATGATGATCGGCCTCTGAGTTGTAGACAACTTCTCCCCGGAACCCAGTCATCATATTCTCGAACGAGATTCCCCTGTACTCGATCTTGCTAGCCAGATCCAGCTCCAATCCATCGAGGCGTCCGCAGAGCGCCTTCAGAAATGTCGTACATCCACTACCCGGACGGCCAAGTACAAGAAGCATCTCTCCATGTTGAATAAGCCCATCAAATCCATGCAGAATGGTTTGGCGGCCTTGGCCGCTTTTTCTGCGATTGCAAAGACTTGCTATCTGTGCGAACGGACTCCAGAGCGAGGAGAGCACCGTATGTTGAACACGAAGCGTAGACCCCGAGCCGTGTACATGCAAGTTCTGAAGCAATACCCCACGCTTGCGGCCCTCCAATGTGACAGGGTCAAGGGTATTGATCGTTCTTCTCGCCCATTTTGTTAAGTCAACCGCATCGCTGTCAAGAGGTGACACTTCCTTGGAGGTGTCAAGGGCGGGTCGATGCTCTGCATGTGGTGAGACCTCGTGTGCTTGCACGGAGGCGAAGCTCTCGGATACGTTGGTCACAGTAGACTCAGTTTGGTCGATCTCATTTTCTTGTTGGGCGAAAGACTTGGTCTCCATGGCCTGGTCGCTGTTGGGGGGCATCATAACACCTGGTCCACATGTATGCTGCAATCCAAGATCCAGAATACAGCTCACGCACTACCATAAAATTTAACAATTTGTGAATGGACCAATTTGGATTTACAGAGACTTTTTCAAGCAACGCAATGGATCCTAACAATCTATCTTCCATGGGAGCCCTTACTTCTCAAATAAACTGATGGATGGGGTCCCAGCAGCTAACATTCTAGATTGAAAGGGGGTCTCCGCACACCCGCATATGCTAGGGAATCTACTTGGTCCCATCGCCTACTTAGGTCTAATTCATTGATTTATGTGTTCGCTCTTTGCTTTTCTGCATAATTTTCAATAGTGCCAACAATCCTCAAGTTGCTTATCATGATTCCGATTTTAGCTTTCTAGGCTTGGCTATGTATGCAAGGGAGGTGAAGATAACGATGAGTTCAAGCTTTATAGAGTACGGAGTATATTGTGCAGCAGCACGAGTCTCATATATCTTAATGTAAAATTCCAATAATGGCCCTGGAATTTGGCTGGAATTTGACAGCGTACTACTGTACAAAGTAACGGCAGGAAATGCTACTGTGGATCTCCCTAGCCGCAGCCAAAGAATTTGAGTGGAGTTATATTATACATGTAATATTGAAGCAACCGTGTATTAATAATTTCTACAAATTCCACTTTGTAGCAGGTTACACTTCCATACTAGGAGACTGGGCGATCTTGACCAGCCAGCCACAATGCCAAAATGGGGCAAGATTAGGTGTCTAGTGATCGACAGCGATAGATCAGTCCGCTGTACTCTGCATATGGTGCTGAAAAATAAAAGAAATTCTGTATTTTCAGTCTCAGTGGGCAAGTAGCTTTGTTGTTTCAGGTCCCAAGGTACCGGTGCGATATTGGGCAAGCCTGTGGGTCATCCAGGACTCTCTCGTACCTCGATCGGGATATGTGATAAATGCATGGGCTTTTTCCCTTTCATTTTGATCTTATTGAATATTATAATTATTTTATCTTTCTTCCATCGTCTTGCTCTTGCACTCGGTTCAACGTTACCTCAAGCCAAATATCGTTCGTCATGGTGGAATCGTCAATCTCAACTCGGCCTGTATGTGTTCTCTTCGGTCCTCAAACCTCAGCAATTGAGGAAAGCATATCCATCATTTGCAACTCCCTCCGAACCAATCCGTCCCTATCTTTCCTCAAGCCTGTTTTAGAGGAGCTCCCATCGTTATGGTCTGTCATCACCGATGCTTGGCCGGCCTTATTGGAGGTCCCGGGGGATACGCAACTGGGCACCCTGGCTCAAGCGGCGTGTGGTGACTCCGTCGAGAGCCCGGAAATTCCATCAAGTGTACTATTGACCCCTGTCACCGTTCTGAGGCAGATTATTGAGTTCTGTGAACTGAAAGAAAATCACTTGGAGTTCCGTATTGTTGATGCCCAAGGCTTCTGTGTGGGCTTCTTGGCTGCTGTTGCTGTCTCATGCTCTCAAAACACCCATGATTTTCAAGAGATAGCATCCGTCATGGTTCGATTAGCTGTTTGTATTGGAGCTGCGGTTGACTTGGATGCGAACGCCCATGGCTTAGCCAGATCCATGGCAGTGAGATGGAAGTCCGGTGCTGAAAATAAAAGGCTCAACCAAGTTCTGCTTGCTTCTACAACGGTATGTATTTCAGCCTCGACTATTTCTGCCGTTGGAAAGTGCGGGTTAGGCTGACTCATACAACTATAGGCCTATATTTCTTGCTTTACGGATACAAATGCGGCTACAATAACAGTGGCAGATGCTGAGGTGGAACAAATAATGAAGGAGTTGAGAGCTAATGGCCTATCAGCCAAAGTAATTGATTTGCAAGGTAGATTCCATAGGCCAGCCTATGCAGAGTCAGTGAAACATCTTTCAACACTATGTCAGAATGATGCGCGGTTCAGATTGCCAAATACCAACTCCAGCACTGATGGTCCATGTGTTCTCCCATTGAGATCGAATGTGGATGGTGATGTAATTGGAAAAGGATCCAGCATTCATGATATCGCATTGGAGTCCATCCTCACCAAGGCTTCTTTGTGGTCTTTAACTGTTTCTGGCTCCTTCGATGGGACACACCAACAATTCGAGGAGGAGCTTGGCTTTGTTGCCATTGGAACTGAGCAGTTCGTGCCTCGCCGGATCAGAAACCGACTCGTCAAGTCCGCAGGTTCACTTGGCAACACCAGTAATGGCCAGGATACGCAACCAAACGGAGTCAGTCACACTTCTATCGGGGCCGAAGTAGAGCAGGAAAAGTCACAAAATACAAGCAAAAGTCCTTCCACCGCAGTTCCCATCGCCATCACTGGTATGGGATGCCGATATGCCCAGGCAGACTCTCCGGACCTGCTATGGGAACTGCTTCAACTAGGCCGGTGTGCAGTCAGTCCACTCCCAAACAAGCGTTTCAAGTTGAACGAGCTTCCCCGGCAGCCGAAGGGGCCATTCTTCGGGAATTACTTGGAAAATCCCGATGTTTTCGACCATCGCTTTTTCAACATCTCAGCGCGTGAGGCGGAGGCAATGGACCCCCAGCAGCGGCTGCTACTCCAGGTGGCGTATGAATCCATGGAATCCGCAGGTTACTGTGGCATTAAAAAGTTTAGCCTTCCCAAGGATATTGGTTGTTACGTGGGGGTTGGATCTGATGATTACACCGATAACGTCGGCTCTTGCAACGCCAATGCCTTTTCGGCGACTGGAACACTCCAGGCATTTAATAGTGGCAGAGTCAGTCACTTCTTTGGTTGGAGTGGCCCTTCCGTTGTCATCGATACCGCATGTTCATCCGCTGCGGTTGCCATTCATATGGCATGCAAGGTAGGATTATCTGCATCCACGACTGACAATGTCGTAATTTTTCGATAGGAATACAATTAAACTAACTATGTCACGTCATAGGCGCTTGAAAGTAACGATTGCTCGATCGCTGTTGCTGGAGGTGTCAATGTCATGACCAGCCCCAGAGTCACGCAAAACTTGGCTGCAGCGTCTTTCCTTTCTCCCACTGGAGCCTCGAAGGCATTTGACCAAAATGCAGATGGATACTGCCGAGGAGAGGGAGCAGGCCTTGTTGTGCTGCGCCCCTTGGAAGACGCTCTCCGCAATGGAGATCCTATTCTCGCCATCATCGGGGGATCAGCTGTTAATCAGGGATCCAACTGTTCTCCAATCACTGTACCAAACTCGGAGTCGCAAAGATCCCTTTACTGCAAGGCCATGACAGCCGCTGGTGTTTTGCCTGACCAGGTGACTTATGTCGAGGCCCATGGAACCGGTTCGTGCAATATTTACTTGAGCAATATGCATCGGTTTACTAAATAATCACAGGAACCCAAGTCGGTGACCCAATTGAGTTTGACAGTCTTCGAAAGACATTCAACGGGCCAACGAGGAAGGAGACTCTGTATGTCGGCTCGGTTAAGGATAACATTGGACATGTCGAGACCGCATCCGGAGTGGCTGGTCTTCAGAAAGTCATCTTAATGATGCAAAAGAGCCAGATCACCAAGCAAGCCAACTTCACCCGACTCAATCCGAATATTCCGTCCCTGGAAAATGAGCTTATCGATATTCCCACCCGCTTGACCGAGTGGCAATCTGCGGCGGCCTCAAAGGCAGTTGCCATGGTCACTAACTATGGCGCTGCAGGGAGCAACGCAGCCATTGTAGTCAAGCAGCATGAAAGTTCATCTCAGACGTCGGCTAGCTCTCGCAACATTCCCTCTGAGGTACCAGTAATAATTGCTGCGAGCTCAGCGGAATCACTCCGGTCGTACTGCAAGGCGTTGATTTCATACGTCCGCGATGGGAACGCCGAGAGCTATATTGACACGGCTTACAACTTGGCGGTAAAGCAAAACAGAGATCTGGACTATATTCATGCATTCTCAGTTCCCTCAGACGATTCCTCCGCTTTGATTCTCAATCTTGAGTCACTTGATCTGGAACCGACCATGCCCAAGAAGAAGTCTCGCTCACACCTACCAGTTATTCTATGCTTCGGCGGCCAGAATGGTAACGCATGCCACATTTCGATGGAGCTATTTGCCCGAAATGAGCTAATCAAATACCACTTGGTGAGCGCAGCTGTGTTTCTTTGTGGCAACCATTCTTACATGAAATCTACTAATACTCTGTATCAAATTTAGATGGAATGCGAACGGGTCTGCCAGGCCCTCGGCCTTCCCAGTCTGTTCCCGACAATCTTCGATGCAGCTCCCAATGACGATATTGTCAGTCTCCATTGTGTTCTTTTCGCCATTCAGTATTCCTCGGCCAAATCATGGCTGGCTTCCGGTTTAAAGGTTGATCGAATCATTGGTCATAGCTTCGGTCAGCTCACTGGACTGTGTGTCAGCGGTGGACTCGAACTATCAGATGCCATATACCTGGTTTCCGAGCGTGCGAGACTCATCCGTGATAATTGGGGACCAGATCATGGGATAATGCTTTCTGTTGAAGCTTCAATTGCCGAAGTGGAGCGTCTTCTGGGCCAGTCTCCGGAAATTCTCCTCGATATCGCTTGTGTGAATGGACAACGCAACATGATTCTTGCGGGCGACGAGCTCTCTGTCCAGGCATTTGAGAAAATTGCGGTGCAAGGTCCCTCTACCATGCGTACTAGACGACTTAAAAACACACATGCATTCCACTCTCGATTAGTGGACAGCATTGTCCCTGCATTCACTCAGATTGCCCGCAGTATACAGTACTTCCCGTTGTCTATTCCTATCGAGGCATGCTCAGATGGGGATTGGTCTTCTGTGACACCAGCCGATATCGTTTACCATAGCCGTCACAGGGTTGACTTCCAGAAGGCTGTCGAGCGGGCGGCATCCAAAGCTCACGGCCCAGCTGTCTGGTTAGAAGCCGGATCTGCGTCTCCTGTCATCTCAATGATTCGGCAAGTGATCGAGGCTACCGCATCCTGCTCGGGCGACCATGTGTACCAGGCTATTGACTTGGAAGGCCCAGTCGCCCAGAAGAAACTTTCGCAGGCTACTGCCAACCTTTGGAATAATGGTGTATCTGTTCAGTTCTGGCCTTTCCACGATTCCCAGGCCAAGAGTTATAACTGGATCAACCTTCCCCCTTACCAATTTGCTCAAAACCGCCATTGGATTGACTACGATCCTTTCGCGTTTGCTCCGCCGCAGGGCGCGCCACCTGCGAGTCCAGCAGATGACCTTAACGTGTTCATTCGTGTTTTAAGCAAGGAACTCACTGAATGCATTTGCGCCGTCAATACCAATCACCCCCTATACCAGATGTGTACAAGTGGTCATGCGGTTGTAGATCAGAATCTGTGCCCTGCCTCCCTTTATATTGAGATGGTTGTCCGTGCTGCGGACTTTGTACGCTCGGACAACTCGTCTTCGCTGGCGATGCCCCATGTGCAAAACTTGGATATTTCGGCTCCGCTGGTGCTCAATCCACGCGGTGACTTGCTGCTCAAGCTATCGCGCATGCGATCGGATCAGACGTCATGGTCGTTCTCCCTCTACACTCGCGATACAGACCAATCCGTTATTGTTCATGCGACCGGAGATATTAGCTTGTATCCATTTGACTCCTCTGTTCCAATCTTTGCGCGCCTGAATTCTATGGGTCGTTTGATCGATTCGTCGCGAGTACAAGCCATCCAAAGCTCTCCGACTTCGAGCGGGCTCAAGGGTATCGCTGTCTACCAGGCGTTCCGCAGAGTCGTCAACTACGCTGAATGCTACCGTGGTGTGAGCTGTGTGTATGCGACCGAGCACGAATCTGCTGGAGTAGTAAATCTCCCTTTGTCCCCAACTCACGATAGCGCATGCGATCCTGTCCTTATGGACAACTTCATTCAAGTTGCTGGTATCCATGTCAATTGCCTGTCGGATATTCGCAGCCAGGAGGTTTATGTGTGCACTGAGATTGGAGAGTTCTTGATCGCACAAGCATTTGTCGGTAGAACTGGCACTTCTTCGGAAACTTGGGATGTCTATTCCAACCTCGATCGCACAGAGAAGGGGGTCATTGTATGCGACATCTTTGTGCTGAACCGTGCAACAGGCAAACTGGCTGTTGCTATTCTTGCTGTGACTTTCAAAAGTATTCTTATCACTTCACTTACTCGGGCTCTCAAAGCACTTGATGGTCAATCCGAAGAGCCAAAGGTGGTTGATAAAAATATCCCTCGGGACTTCAATCGCAAGGAACTTGATCATGTCACGTTGCAAAGTTCTCCTGCTCCTCGACAGATCGCTCCTGCACGGGACCATTTCGTTGACGTTCAAGCTATGCTCTGTGACTTACTTGGGATGCCCGCTGACGAGCTTCATCTATCTTCTAACCTTGAGGATATTGGTGTGGATTCACTGATGCGTACCGAGGTGCTCGCGGAGATCAAGAAAAGATTCAACGTGTCGATTTCCATATCTTCCTTGACTGAAAATCTGAATATCGAGGCGCTGGTTGGCATGATTTTCCCCGAGGCTTCCGCTGCGTCTGTGACGAATCAAGGCCCTGCCACCTCGCAAGTAGGGGCCGCTCATCTTGCCTCCGAAGGCGATGGCAGTTTGGCCGTACCTTATGTGCCCGTCCAAGCTTCACAGGGTTTGATGGACATTGCACCTGAGTTCTTCACGGAAATTCAAAAAAGCACGGCTCACGCAACGGCCACGAAATGGGACGGATTTTATCGCTCTGTCTATCCTATGCAGATGGAACTTGTCACTGCCTATGTAGTGGAAGCATTCCAATCTCTTGGGGTCGTGTTGGAGAACCTCCAGCCTGAGCAGTTAGTCCCACGGGTGGAAATCCTTCCCCAGCATGACCAGGTCATGAGACAGTTCTATACCATCCTAGAATCATCAAACTTGATCATGCAGGCCGGCGCTGGCTTTGTTCGTACGCACACCTCTGTCTCAAAGGTGGCTTCCTCTGAATTGCATGAACGCATTCTTTCGCTCTACCCGCAACATGCCTCTGAGCACAAACTTCTCAAGACAACTGGTTCGCAGCTTGCTGACTGCTTGACTGGTGATTCTGACCCACTTGCTCTCCTGTTTCAAGATGCTGAGGCCCGCGAGCTGATGGGAGATGTCTATACAAACGCTCCCATGTTCAACGCCGCAACCCGTCACTTATCAGAATATCTCGCTGGTGTCCTCGGTGGCTTAGATACTTCTCGTGAGATTAGAATCTTGGAGATTGGTGCAGGCACCGGTGGAACAACCAAGGCTCTGTTGAGTACACTCACGGCGGTCCCGAATCTCCGTCTCAAATATACATTCACTGATCTCTCATCTGGTCTCCTGGCCCTGGCACGCAAGAAGTTCAAAGAGTACAACTTCATGGAGTACCAGGTACTCAATATCGAGCAAGATCCTAGTCCAGGGATGTTGGGGCAGTACGATATCATCATCTCCAGCAACTGCATTCATGCGACCCGAAATCTCGTCAAGTCATCTACCAACATCAGGAAGCTTCTACGACCTGATGGAATCCTTTGCCTAATTGAATTGACGCGCAATCTTCCTTGGTTTGATCTTGTGTTTGGTCTGCTCGAAGGCTGGTGGTTGTTCGATGACGGCCGCAAGCATGCACTGGCCACCGAGGATGTTTGGAAGGAGAGCCTTTCCCAGTCAGGCTTTGAATGGGTGAACTGGTCCCTTAACCATACGGAAGAATCCAACACACTTCGGCTAATTACCGCCTCCCCAACACCTGCCTCCCCCCTGGTCAACAGCATGGATGCCGACACCGGTGTACCTAAGCAGGAAACAGTTGTCTATGGAGAGAAAGATGGTGTGAGACTATGTGCCGACATCTTTTATCCTGAAAGCCTTGAGCCTGCTGGACGGCGGCGTCCAATCGGTATGTAGGCGAATGACCTCCCTGACTCCCCTGCCTCCAAACACGATGAACAAGCACCTTTCTCATTCGACGATTAGCTCTCATGATTCACGGCGGAGGACACATCATGCTTTCTCGTCGGGATATCCGCCCAGAACAAACCAATATGCTACTGGACTCTGGCTTCCTCCCCGTTAGCATAGATTACCGGCTTTGTCCTGAGGTATCTCTCCTTGATGGACCCATGCTCGATGCTCGCGAGGCGTTGCGTTGGGCCAGGTGCACCCTTCCCAAGTTGAAGATTAAACGTCTTGATATTCAGCCGGATGGAGATCAAGTCGTGGCTGTTGGTTGGTCAACTGGAGGTCACTTGGCTATGACACTGGCCTGGACTGCCCCACAGGATGATATCGCACCGCCCGATGCGATCCTTGCCTTCTACTGCCCAATGGACTATGAAGATCCTTTCTGGTCAAAGCCAAATTTCCCTTATGGACAGAAGTCTTCTTCTGTCAGCACAGCTTCCGTTTTGTTGGAGGGTATGCGAGAGCTACCTATAACTGCGTACAACCCCTCAGCAAACAAGAAGGCCCTGGGAGGGTGGATGTCTCCAACTGACGCACGAAGTCGAATCGCACTGCACATGAACTGGACCGGACAAACACTCCCAGTTCTCCTCGGTGGCGGACAATATTTCAAGTCTCTGAAGGCCGGTACTGGTGACGAGATACCCGAACCCATGACGGAAGACGTGCAAGCGGTTAGCCCGCTTGCCCAGATCCGTCGCGGCACCTACAAATCCCCCACGTTTATCATTCACGGAACGCTTGATGATCTTATCCCGGTGACTCAAGTACGGAAGACATATGATGAGTTGGTTGTTCAAGGAGTTGAGGCTGAGCTTCGTGTTTTGGAGAAAGGGTTACACTTGTTTGATATTTACCCGGGGTACAAGGAGGATAGAGACGCCTGTCAGGCTGTCTTGGAAGGCTATGATTTCCTTCGCAGTCATGTTCGGATTTAGTTCGCTATTTCATTACAGTTAATACATATAATTTTCGGTCTAATGATATCTGTCTCTCATCCAATTGCACTTTATAATACCCTAACAACTTCCACCTCGACACTTATTATAGACTACTTCCTAACCCTACTTCAGCGAACACTTGCGATTATTTGAAAGTTGGTGGCAGCTGAAAGAAAATGCAAATTATGCCTCATCATAGGTACCTAAGTTTGTAGCTTCTTGTTGGCTCCAAGGGGATAACAACTTCCTCTTGGGATCAATCTGAGCCCACCTCAGCCCTTCTTTGCAATCATTTCCAGATATAACATCTTTATGTAACAAAGAAACACACTTGCATGCCCCAAACTGGAAACTGGCATCTTTTAGAATGGCCGTGCGCCGTCACTTCTTCTCCTGGATTCCACCTATGAGGCTGGCTGCCATTGGTGTCCATGTGGACTGACCAAAATACTCTTGCAAAAGCTTTTCGGCTTTTGCTGCTGGAGTAACTTCTCCCAGTGTCGCCTGTTCATCAAGCGGAGAATCTGGGATATGGGTATTCTTTGGCTGGATGTGTCGTAGAATCTCGACCACCTGCTTCCAAGTGAAGTGGCCGGCAGCAGCAAAGAGGCGCTCTCCCTTCACAGAACGGCTAAACAGTGCAATTGCGTGCAGGCGAGCAGTATCTACAACATCCACATACCATGCTTAACACAATGTATCAGCGCTACTTCTCTTGATTCGTTGTAAATCTACTCACGTAGAGGAAGAAACTTGAAGGGTACGGTATTCCCCTGGAGCATGCCGGTCACATATCCCATGGTTGAACCTCCAATGTTTGAGTGAAGCACATTTCCCACCTAATATGGATTATTAGCTCCACTGATCATGTTAATAGTACCTAAACTCACAGTAAACCATGGGAGGACTGTATTAAATTCAAAGCCTGGGTGGTTTTTCTCAACCCATTTCCACGCCTGGAACTCTCCCTGTGTCTTGCATTCACGATAAGCAGAGCGCTCCTTGGGAGTGGTTTTCCCCTCTGCCACGCAAATATCCCAGGAATCTGTACATATTTCTTCAGCTCCAGCATCATTTTCCAGAAATGTAACACTGACCCACGTCCAGCTTGAATCCTGGACCTTTAGGATAACCAGCAGCAACGATAGATGAAGTAAACACGACTCGCTTAATTGAGGTTTGAGTAGATGCTGACTGGAGAAGATTCGTATTGCCATTCACTGTGTACGCAATGGCGTCGTCTATGTCTTCCACCCCAGCATTTGAAGGCAAAGCCTGGGCCTAATTGCAAAGCTCAATACTAGTTCTATCGGAATTGGCGAGAAGAACTTACCACGTGAATGATGCCGGATATTCCTTGCACACATGCATCAAATGCGCCAGGCTTCTGGAAATCGGGCACCAGGACAAGCTCGCAGCAATCTGAGCCCCATTTCTCTGCAAAATAGTCATTGAGCCATGGCATTGGAGTGCGGACAGTTCCTCTGACCAAATAGCCAAGCTCTAGGAGAACATTGATGATGTGTGAGGCGATGTAGCCATTTGCTCCAGTGACAAGCACCCTTGAGCCACGGGGGATCGCATGTTCAGTATGGGTCATTTTCTTTTGAGATTTCGTATATGTGGAACAGCCAGCCGAATAGAGGTTCTCCTTCACTCACCCATTTTTTGGTTTGATCCAGCCCTGGCAAAAGGTATGAAGGTCCCCGTAAATTACGGTCGTGACAGTACCAAACCCCCCTGATGAACATGGATAATTCCCGCACTGTAGCGGTGAGGGCTCCTAGGTATCACAGACTATGTCTTATCATAACTGTGGATCGGCATTCGTCGTTCTACAATCGATCTAAAATTGATGACCCTCAAACTCGCATAGATCTGCGTCGAGGCGATTGGGGTGGAGATAAGGATCTGACGAGTCTATGCAGATCGTCCATTTTTGCTCCACTCTGGGCGCTACAAGGAAATCTTTTTGAAGAATGTACTCCATACCTATACCAGCTACTTACGCTAGTGTCGGATAATGTGGTGTAGCTGAGACCCCTTGCATTGTGCATGTTCCCCACATATGTCATTAATGCATTGTTTCTATAGAGTCCACAGGTTAGACGTGGCACGCTGTTCTGCATAGAGATCATCCCACGATGGCACATAAAAGCAAGGGCTTGCGTAAGAATAAGCAAAAACACGTAGAAATTTTTTTTAAAAAAAAAACCCTTATCTCAACACACCCTATCACGACAGCTCGAGCGAGAACTACGCTAATGTATATGCACGTACTTGCTTTTTTTTCTTTGGTAATACTACTGGCAAATTATTACTAATCAGTCAATAGTACCTTGGTAGGTACCCACCTAGGTATCCAGTACCTTACAGCTTCTTCTGCATTCATTTTTGAAAGAATACGGAGTACTATATTCATTACTAGTGGTATACATGCATTAGCGTAGTTCTCGCCTAGGCTGTCGTGGTAGTGTACGACAGGAAGCCCTCGGTCTTTTTCATATGGGATTTCCATTAAGCCAGCATCAAGCTCAACATTGTTCTCTATTTGAATCTGTTTATTCCCTTTCATGCAAACATGTCACTGGTTCAGGACCTCGTAAGTTTCCGAAAATGGATCGAAATAGAACAAGGGTCAAAAGAAGCGTCCACTGATTCTTATATAGGTTTTGATAATTACGGGCAGCTCGTCTGGAATCGGACTCGCAACTGCTACTGCAGCTTTGGATAACGGAGCGAAGGTGTTGGGCGTCGATGTCTCATCCGCCCCTGACTCCCTGAGTAGAAACTCGAATTTCAAGTTCTTGGAGGGTGATCTCACTGATGAGAACGTAACCAAGCATGTGGTTAAGGCATGTATTCGGGAGTTCGGCGGGCGCATTGATGGGCTGTTGAACATTGCCGGAATCATGGACAACAATGGCAGTGTGGATAGCCTCTCAAATGAGATGTGGGATCGGTGCATTGCAGTTAATCTGACCGCTCCTGTGAGATTGATTCGCGAGGTTATCCCCACTATGCGAGAGCAGAAAAGTGGCAGCATCGTGAATGTCGGTAGTAAGGCGGCTACTAGTGGCGCCGCATCTGGTGTTGCCTACACAGCGAGTAAGAGTTTCCGCTTGATAATTATCTATGATGAAGCATGCTAACAATAGTCCGCATAGGTAAACATGGATTAATGGGAGCGACAAAGAATGTGGCTTGGAGATACAAACAGGAAGGGATTCGTTGTAACGCTGTGTGCCCGGGAGGTGTTCCAACTGGTATTGTCCAGGCATCAGACCCTACAAGTTGGGATAGAGCCGCGATGGAAAGCATGGGACCAGTCCACCAGGCACATGCCGCAGATCGGTCGAAGGGACTCGGTGTTGAAACCGACGATATTGTCCAATGTATTCTGTTTCTTGTGTCCAGTACGAGTAAGAGGATCAATGGGGCTATTATTCCAGTCGACAATGCCTGGTCGGTGATTTAGTATTCTACTCTTTTCAACATGAACGATATGGATTTAAAAGATAGCAAATTATGGTGCTCACCAGATCACTTAGATTTCTAGAGTGGCGGTGATATATTTTGGCAACCTAAATGCAAAATCCTTCAATATTCCATAACAGCCTCACAATCCTCAAGCCCCAGTTCTCTTCAGTCACGTAGACTATATTCAACAACAAATCCAAAAACCCAGCAGACGGTTGCAAGAAAAAAGGCGGACTTGGAATAATCCTCTACCTTGGACGATTTTCCAACCCGGGTTGCCTGCAAAAGAAGGGAAAATCCAGCAAAGTGACCACCAACAGACACGATGAAGAAAGACCATCCAAGCCCAGTCAAGGCACCTGCAGTTGCAAGGAATGCGGTAGATGCGTAAAGGAGAGAATACGCGACAGTTTGAATGCTGTCCTTGAATCGCACCGCCATATTCTTAACGCCAACTTTGATATCCTCCTCGGTATCCTGCCTCGCGTAAATCACATCAATCATGATAATGACCGTCGCGATAAACAAGTACATGCAAACAGTAGGCCCTAGCCGAAGGAGAGGATCCACCTCAAGACTGTGCATCGCCATTGGGACAGCCCAACCGATATTCGCCAGAGTGAGTTGCGGAAAATCAGTGAACCGCTTGCCAAAGGGATAGAGCAGTGCAAAAAATGTGATAATGAGGCCGTCGAGTAGGCAATTACGGGGCAAAAAGGACACCGCGTATCCGCCACACGAGAATAGAACGATTGTCAAAAAGCCAGCGTTCAATTTGGAGACCGCGCCCCGGGGAATCGGTCGCGTTTTTGTCCGCGAGATTTGACCGTCGAGATCCGCATCGACAAGGTCGTTCCAGGCACATCCTGCACAGCGGAGGCAGAACGACCATATGATTAGCACGATGGTGCTTTTGGCGAAGACACTATTTGGGGTGGTTGAGGGTGCGAAGCAGGCGGCGAAAGCGATACCAACGAGGTATGGAGAGGTGTTGAGATAGAACCCCAATGGTCGGTGTATCCTCATAAGCTCACCGTAAGCTACTAGAGTTGTAGGCCAGGATTTTCGGGCTCTAGCCTTTTCGTAGTGTAGTCCCATTTCCTTTCCTTGTGCCATGCTGAGATAAAATGAGGACTGAATGTTGTATAGAATGATGATCTCGATTTTGGGGTTTCAGGATAGAGAATACTGCTTCTAATGACTAACAGAGTTATACCGTGAATGTAAATTTCAGGGAAGATAAGACAGAGCTTGTATGGAGTGTATCCGTCATTCCTAGACTTTGGGTAGCACACGAAATATGCAGTACGAAGGCTGCAAATGTCCCACAATTAGCGATCATCAGAGACCCTGTACTATCCTGTCTGCATATGCAATATTTTAGTGTGCAAGCTTCACTGCATATGATCTACATCAATAGGTGTAAATGAGATGTCGGGAAAGAGGGCAGCTGAATCCCTTGCGGGTTATTTGTTGCTCACCTGTGCTTATCAACCCATTGGGGGGTGGGGTGTATTGAACCTTCGGCACGAGATAGAGTCCCACTTCGAAGCCAATAAATATTTATTATATAGTTCTACGGGGATTGACACTGTGTTTCGGAGCTATACTGTTATCAAAAGTTCTCATTCCAAGATACATAATGTGTGCAATTATCTATGTCTCACCAAAGACCAGAGAGCAAGTATGAGCGGATCCAGGGAATAAGCAAACAGACAAGAAGCGAAGTGATCCAGAGCATAGCCCAAGGTCGCGGGGCTAGATTTGTCTTTGTAGAAATTTCCGTGTGATTGTTCTCTTTGTTCCGATCTGGCACCGGGAGGTAGTCGAGAATATCTCCTCCGGAAAGAATTTTGGAGGTGCGCCTCACGATCAAACTACCAATGTGAGGGAAGATGTATCTTCCCACAAAAGCTTTGACTCGGTCATCTCGAGTGTGGAATCGAGCCCCAAAACTTGCTCGGGCGCATGTACCTTTGGCTCGATCAAATCGCTGGATCTTGTACTCCTGTAGCATTGCCTCGATGTCGGTCTCCAATGGCTTCTGAATTCCATCTATATTTACCAGACGATTTATCTGGGAAGAAAGCACAGCAACATCTTCGATGGCCGTGTTTGCGCCTTGTCCAATATTGGGTGTCATCTGAAGAATCTCTAATTAGCAGCTCGATCTTCAATAAAACTTTTTGAGGTCTCACTTTGTGGATACTGTCCCCAAGAAGTACTATCCGTTTGAAGTGCCAATTCTCGAATAGACCCTCTTCCAGCGCCGTCATTGAGGCCAATTCCTTGGTCTCCCACAGGTCTCCCACTGTAACATCATCCACAATTTTGACGTGGCGCAGTTTGCCGCAAAGTTCTGTCGCGTCTGCTGGGGAGTACCGAGGGGCATCGGGGTAAGTGTAGACTTGGTCAAGTTTGTGGATTATAAACCAAAACACGCGGTCTGCTTTTCCGTGAAATGTTATAATGCAGAACTTATCACCGTACCGATTGACATGGTCCCCACTTTGAAGTCCAGGTATCGCCTGCGAGATTCCAAAGAGACAGGCATATTCAACAGTAAGTGCTAAAGAGGTACAATAAATATTGTCAGCTTTATTCACTCATGCGGTGCCACTCCTAAAGTACCAAAATTTCGTAACTTACCTTTGCGCTCTTTTGGGGTGATCAATCCAGGTTGCAGTTCATCTGCCAGCCTCCACATCTCGGAACGTATCCGGCTGTGAACACCATCTGCGCCGACGATAAGATCACCCGTGTAAATTTTCCCATCATCCGTCACTACACTGGCATTTCCAGTGGATAATTGAACTTGAAGCACCCTCTTATTAACAATGATCTTCGACTTGTCGGGGTAGCTCTGGTAGAGCACTTCAAGAACCTTCTGCCGGTCAAGAGAAACAACGGGATACTTCAGACTAAACCGTATCTTTAGCAAGCAATGTCTCAAATGTAAAAAATCAGGAACTAACAGTTTGTGAATTTCCTTCGGAAGTAGGCTGCTGAATGAGAATCCATCAGGATACGAAATATGCATCCGGTCTATCGGCGCGGTGAGCTTTTCCATGCTCTCGTAGACTCCGAGCTGCTGTAAAACCTGGGCGCCATTGGGCCATATTCCGATGAATGCTCCTTCCTGGGGGGCGATCTCGGCTCTTTTTTCCAGAATTACGTGGTCTATACCAGCCCTTAATAAACAATGTGCCAATGTCAACCCTGTAATTGAACCCCCGACGATGATGACTTTGAACTTTGGCTTCTCCATGGCTGCCATTGATCTCGAACTTGGAGATGACAACGAGCTAGAGTGAAACGAAACTCAAAGCGAAGGTAATTTTGATCGGAATTGTTGCTTTCAAACTCGGAAATGGGAAGAAGGGGCCGAGTGGGATAGAAAATCTAACATCACGGACTCAGGGTAATGCGTTGTTTTTTTCTTTATCTTGGATGTAACTTCTTCAAATTTTCAAATTTTCATATTAATTTGCTTTTCACGGAGGCCTTACATGACTCTTCACTTCACCCTTGCAGAGAGATAATCACAATATGATTGGGCTATCCTGCAGAATGACCTTTTTTTAGGTGCGTGGCTGGGTACTTTGCTAGCATTCCAACCGTAAGAGACATCCATTTTCTAGGTCCCACTTTGGCTTGCAGCGGTCTGCAGATTCTCCCCTTCAGGGCTTAAATTTAGGTTCGGGTGGACGCGGTGGAGAGTTACCCGTCTCACACCCTCTTCTGACCAAGCAATGTACCAATCTGCTAAACTTAGTGTGTTAATTATTATAAGCGCGGATCTCCTAACTGTAACCATGTCCTTTTCTATTTTCAATTACATACAGTAGATCCGTGCATTGATCAGCGTGTCTTGCACCACAGCAACCGAATCATGCTTGACCAATTTCCATACATCCACCTCTTCCGCCTTCAGCTCATTTAGATTTCTTGGCTGCCGCCACGGCCTTGGCTTTTTCTTGACGGCGGATGGAATAATAGATAATCGGATACATGAAGTCCATGAACAAAGTCAAGCCGATATAGCACTTGCACATGGGACTCTCAAACCAGGGCCCCGCAGCATTTCCAAGCAAGTAATAAATGGTCAGCTTGATGAAACCTCCGAAAGTAGCGATTGCTCTCAGTCCCCTTTAAACGTGTCAGCAGCACGAGCTTCAAGATTGCGAACAGAAATGGACCTACCAAGTCATGATAGAGGCGCCACGAGTACTATTACGGGAAAGGATCTGGCAAATCGGCCCAAGACTGGCCAAAGTCTGGCACAACACACCACCATAGAAAAATCCTAATTCTGGCCCAACCTCAGCCGCAAAGGACAGCTGGGCAGCTGCGAAGCCGAGAATTACCGCTCCATAGACAAAGTAGATATTCCGCTGCACAAATGGGAGATAGCCCCACTCGTTGTGCGCGTATCTGGTAATGAAGACAATAACAATACAATGAACCAGGAACCATACCCGAACTCCACCTTGCCAGTGTGCGCTGGCAGATGGGTAGACAAAGGCGTAGGTAAATTCCCATGCAATGTCGCAACAGATTGGAAAGATTCCGGTACTCGGCAGCTTGTCCTTCCAAGATGTATACAGCATGCTAAAGTAATTCAAGGTCCAGCAGATACCTGCCAGAATGCGGAGGAATTCCGCAATGCCTGCCAGTGCATCTTGGTTTTGCACAATGACAGAGGATAGGAATTCTTTGTCCATCCTTGATAATCGAATAACAGAAACCCCGAATCCGATCGTCGTGATCGAGATCGAGAGATGAGTGTATACGAACGAAGGGTGATGGCTTCGCCACTTATGCTTTATATCCCGCGCTCGACGATCGATTACTGTATATTGCTAACTTGGCGTTTCTTTACGAGCTGAAAATGCGGCATTATGCAAGGATTGTTGCATGCCACCTGTAGATTGGGTCTACATGTATTAGCGGGAAGAAATACAGAAGGGGTAAAGTGGAATCGAATGGGCCTCGGAATATATCCACGCCGTGTAAACTCTATGCATTCCTTTATTGGGCGATTAATTACCCCATTAAGCACCCGTATGAGCATGTTGTTTTTTGCTTTACAGTTGGTCTGGGTCTTCATCTTATATGGGGGGACGCGTTACCTCGCTCGCTCCTGTATTGAAATGACTGGGTACAACATACGTAGGATCGATTACAAACGTCGTCTCCGGTTTCAATCAAGGGTCGCCAATCTCCGATTTACCATCCTTAACAATCTCCAACAAGTTCAGCTGCTCTTCGACCTGTACCCAGGCACTTGTGCGCAGAACGCCAGTGAGCCACCAATTCCCAGCCGAGTCCTTTCCTACTACCGATAACACATTCCGGAAAGAGATCGGCGAGTGCTGAACACCATTGACATAAGAGGGCTTGCCAGGGATAGTAATTTGCCTCTCTTCTGGACTTGTAGACGGTAATATAGCAGGCGAAAAGTCCACATCGTATAGGCGGGCTTTATGCCAGTTGGAGCAGGACAAAAGAACCATCCGAGGGTCACCTACCAATGCTAGATACCCTGTCTTTTCCATAGTCTGCATTTGTAGCGCTGCCATTGCCTCAGCTTGCTCAGTCGAGCGCTGCTGGACTAATGATTGCCTAATTCGCAGGGCAATTTGCCCCAGCGACTCATCGGCCAACTGACTTCCCTGGAGGAAAGTGGGACACATGCACAACGCATTGCCCATGTAGACCTCATTCTCAGAATCAACAATCTCATCAGCGGAAGTTCGCAAGTTCAAGGCATTATTGACCATAATTTGTTGGCTTTCCCGGAAACCCAGTGCACCCTTCAGCGTACGAACCCACCACGCCAACAAAACATCACTTTCACTGACGAAAGATGTTGATTTTTGATCAGCGGATGTAATGTCTTGTACTTCAGTCGTAGCTATCGAGTAAAGATGCTTGAATGATGATGCAGGTAAACAGATCATGCGTCGTTCCTCCTGACGGTGTCGAATTCTTTCAAGGATATTTAATCCGATGAACCAGAGAAAGTCTTTTCGACCAAATACACGATTATAGTAGATGTAGCTCTCTGCCGGTGTTCGTTGGGCGAGTTCAGAAAGCGGGTCAGATCGGAATTCCCGTAGCTTTGGAACCGCCTTCTCGTCTCGTCGAAGAGTTGCGCTCCATGCAGTCAAGAAAGTCTTTATTCCCATCACGTCAGCCAGGGTGTGGATCCAGGTTACGGTAAGGATTGTCGCATCGTTAAACTTGACTGCGTGGATGGATAGTTGAGGTCGATCGGTGTAAAGCCAGTCGTCCAGCTTTGTAGGACTATCTGGGCTCCGGAGATCGGAACTGAATTCATCGGGAGTACCAAAGATGTGGCCTTTGTTGCCTGCTTTGGGAAGTGCCTTTCCCAGTTCATGGTCGTTGATGCTCATCTCATGATCAGAAATGGTGAAGTGGTAGGCTGGTCTGGAAGCATCGAAGGTAGCTGGGATATGGTACTCGAGCCTTCCATTCTGTATGAAGCAGCCTCAGTGTTAGCATGCAAGGTTTCAGATTGATCTCCGGGGTACAACACCGACATTCATGCGAATTCTAGCTCCTAGTTGGTTCCAGCCATGGCTATTAAAGAGGTTGTCCAAAGCCTCACGAAGTTTTGCGGTATCCAAGACATCATCGAATTTTAGAGAAACGTCGAGAACAGTGCCGCGCATCGACTTGGCTGTATCCCAAAATCGAAGTGGAATTATGTCATCTGTTGAGACAGTGTCTGGTTGGCGCGGTTGCGAGCTGTAGCAAATTCCCATAGTTCTGACAGAGCGATTGGAGACTAAGTCGACTCTTAGGAATCTTGGAAGACAGTGTGTTCAAAGTTGTAAATTACGATGAATTATGCTTGCGATCGTAATTTTTCCCATCAAGGTCAACTTATGTATCAGGCAAACCATATCATGCGCCAATGGCCCCTTGCATGAACTCGCATATGTAAGTACTAATATAGGTGGTGCTCGACAAGTAACCCCACTAAAGCATTTGCTCCCTGTGGTTTTCTTATCCGTCTTACGCTAGATTTTCAGCTCCATGCACCCATAATTTTTGGATTTATTGGCATATCAAATCGGAGGCAACTCATCCTTGTACCGATGCAAGCCGCTGAATCTGGCCTAGAAGGTCGGTTTGGTCAATATAAAGGTTCCAGTCCCCGAGACGTAGTTTCCCACGCCCTATTCCGTGTTTAATTGCTTCTTCTGTCAAAAGACACCCATCATCTCATCATGCATCCCGACAACCAACTGGAGACTGCCATCAAGAATGGGTTCGACCCAAAATCTCTCATGGCCTTGGAATTGACCAAGGTAAATGAGCCTGTTCGGACAATTCTTGAGGAGTATAGCAGAGTTCCGGCTGGTCAAGTTTTACAGCATGTTACGGAACTGGTTAGTTATCTTGTTAATCAACCAAGACCGATGTGGCTGACCTTTGACAGAGAGATCGCGCATTCAAAGTTGTGAGTCTTCAGGCCTGTATAACATTCCTTCCATACCAAATTATAAATTAACATGAGGCTTTGACCTTAGTTCCCCTATGCTTGCATTGGACAGGCGTCATTCCTTGAATTGAGCATTGCCTCCTCTCCAATGTACCCCGAAATGCTGGAGCGAGTCAAGAAGGGTGAGAAGCTCCTTGATCTCGGTTGTGCTTTTGGTCAGGAGCTGCGACAACTGGTAGGCTCTTACTATTTTATCCCTTCAGTAGATGGTTTTTGGCGAGTCTGACCCATGAAATTTCGAATCCTAGATATACGACGGTGCGTCCCCTGAGAACCTATACGCCTCTGACCTGCGCCCCGAGTTCCTCGACCTAGGTCACGACCTCTTTCTTGATCGCCAAACTAGCAAGATTAACCTCATACCCGCCAATGTCCTCGACGACAATTCGGATCTAGTCACCAAGCTGACCGGCCAACTCGGCGTCGTCTACATCTCGCTATTTCTCCATGTCTTCGACTTCGATACTCAAATTACAGTCGCCAAGCGCGTGTTTAGCCTTCTAGCCGATAAGCCTGGCTCCCTGCTTGTCTGTCGTGTGGTTGCATGCCGGGATCAGGAGATTCTGAACAACGCCAGCGCCCGTCTGCCGTACTATTATCATGATTTGGCTAGCTGGAATAGACTTTGGGAGCGGGTTCAGAAAGAGTCGGGGCTTCAGTTGCATGTGGAGAGCTGGGAGCAGGAGGATGCTCTGGCTAAAAGCCACCCTCTTCCTGGCGTTTATATGCTTGGATCTTCTATTCGCCGGGAGTAGATGTTGTTTCCTGGTGCCTATATCTGACTTGAATGAAAAACTTCATTCATGTTAGTCTTATCCCATCCACCTTGCAATAATTGCGAGGCTATCTGGCCACCCTTTTTATGATAAGCTCGTCAATGGAGATGGAATATATATACTTACGATTTATATTATCAATTGTAAACTCTCCAACCGTCCTCCGTACACCTTCTGTTACAGCCCTCCGTGTCATCTGGGTTCCTTATACACGCCTTGGACAATTTACGAGAAATTACAGTCGTTTTCCTGGATTGGTCCTAAAATCTCCTGAAGAATATTGAAGATCTCACCATGAGACAGCTAAGTTTCTACATCAATGTCCCCGGCTCTAACAATCATTATAATGCTATGCGGAGTTTGTCACACGATTAAGACAATTTCTAATCACTATATGTCTGAAGGCCTGGCAACTGAGTCACGCTACCTGGTAAAGATTGATCCTGGGCCATACACTTTTGTCTACATCTACCAACCTCTGCTCTCCTAAGAGTAAAGGCCAGTAAGTTATCAGCATGGACTAACTCCCCAACATAAAGTAGGATCCACTACAAGTAATAATATTATTCCTCTTTACCATGTCCCATTGAATCTATGATGGGTTCTGCTATAATTACATCAAGGGTAGCATTGTCCTTCCTCCCCATATGTTATCGAACAAGGCATGGGTGATCAATTTCCGCATGTGATCATATCAATATGTCTCATTTGTCACAGCTGTCCGGCATTTCCCAATGTTGATCGATGCTTCTGAGTTTGTGGCTAGCTGAAATTCTCACCAACTGTCAGGTATTCAAGGGGATAGCTTCAAGGGGACTTGAAAAAGTGCGCATGTTGTACCCTGTCATGGCAGCTCAGCAGAGAAGAAAGCTAATTTATGCACGCCCCAAGTAATAAGCATGATATTCTTTCAAATGCACACAACAAATTAAATAATAGAAAACGCTATGATCTGCATACTAATATCTAAATAGGAATAGTCTTTGGTACTAGTATTACTAGCAAAAAAAAAGCAAGTACGTGCATGGCATTAGCCTCCCCTCTCAGCCGGGCATGGCAGAATAATTGTTCCATTTGAAGTATAAGCTCAATGCCCGCTCTAAGAGGTTGAACAGGTCATAATGACAAAGTCGCCCAATTTTAGGATCATTCTATAATCTCCACTATCCAATAAAGCGAAGGTCGATCTCAGGTTGTGTCCGGCGGGAAGTGCCGGAAGGCTTTGCACGATCTTCGTGTAAACTATCTTTGCAGAAGACTCGAGTATCAAAATTAAGTTTGCGTAAGGGAAAATAAGTGGCGGTTTTGTTTCTCTTTGATTGGAACCAATGTAACATTTGACGTATATACGGGATCAACAGAAACATCTTCAGCTGCGCCCTGCATCCTCCACCTGTCGTGAAAAGCGGAATACCCACAGCCTTCTTGAGATCCATCAAATGACGTTACCTCTCCGAAAGTAATAGACTCGGCGTGCTACCACAGTCTGCTACAGTAATCCAGTGGTGCCATCATATATATGCATGAATGCGGAGTCTAGTGTTTTTGGGTTGGTAGCCTCCCTGTGGCGAGAGAGATAATATACTACTGATAGGTCTATGGTGTACACACAAGGGTATGGGGTCTCCTTGCTCTCTATGTCTTGTTTCTGGATGACCGGGCTACATCCCAATTATTGGAACAGTTGCATGCCCGAAAGAAGAAGGAAAAAAAAACTTTAGAATAATACAGTGGGTTTCTAGTGAATGACTCCTAGTCGAAAGCGTAATATATTAAGAAGAGAGGAGCCCTCCCGAACGCTACTACCTTCAACTACAATTCTTTTATCTCTTCTTATTGAGATTCTTGAGCAACTTCGCAATGAAATTGCAGTATCTTTTCCACGGGCTGTGTCTCCTCAAACTCATCGAGGCACAGACTGACGCAGAGCAATTCAAAGCCACCTGTGACTCCCAGGACGAACAAGTCCAGACCCTGGACAGTGGATACAAATTCAAGTTCATTTGCGGAAAGACTGGAGTCACCGGCAATAGGATTGGTTTCGCCCAAGAGACTGGAACCCTTGAAGATTGTGCTGCACTCTGCGCAGACAATGCCGAATGCAAGGGAAGCATGTGGGACTATGGATTCAAGTCTTGCCAGCTCTATAACAATGGAGACGATCTTCAAACCCGACGTAGGGGAATTTTCCTGCGCCGCGAGGAGGAAAGCAGTTCCGCAGACTGCACAGCGGTGGAGGCTGAGCTTCGGGAGTGCGAGGCTGCAGAGATAGTACTGCAGGACGATTTGAAAACCTGTCAAACCACTCAGACCGAGTCGCAGCAAGCACACACCGAGGTAGCAGAAAAGCTCGAAGCCTGCGAGTTTGAAAGAGACCTTTGTGAAGGCAGCGTGGACGACGCGAAGAAATGTGAAACTGAGAATTCGCAGATCACAGATCTGACTGAAGAGCTGCAACAGTGCACCACTGCAGCTTTGTCTAACACTCTCCAGTTGGAACAATGCCAGTCCACCTCCTCTTCGTGTGCCGTTGATTTGCAGCAATGCCAGTCTGCTTCCTCATCATGTACTATTGACTTGCAGCAATGCCAGAATAACGCTGTATCTAGCGCTATCGAGTTGCAACAATGCCAGTCTACCAGCTCTTCATGTGCTCTCCAGTTGCAGCAATCCCAGGCTGCCGCTTCTTCTAGTGCCAACCAGCTGCAACAATGCCAGAACTCTGCTTCGTCTACCGCCACTCAGTTGCAACAATGTCAGGCCACTGCTTTGTCTACCGCCAATCAGTTGCAACAGTGCCAGGCTACCGCCTCGTCTAGCGGTCTTGAATTGCAACAATGCAAAGCCAATGCCGCGTCTACCACTCAACAGCTGCAACAATGCAAAGCAGATACTGTGGCCAGCGCTGGGGTTCCCGCATTCAACGAATGCAACGCTGGCGGCAATGGTCAGATCGTCAAGATTGGCAACAGGTCTTTCAAACAGAGGTGCAATGTAAGCATGTGGAAGAGTCGAATGCCTCTGAGAAGGGTTGTGAGGCCGGGTCTCACGAGGCAGGAGTGTGCACTGATTTGCGCTCTCGACGGTGGATGCAGGAGTGTTTACTTTGTTAGGTCGACTATTACAATCGGTGAATGCCAGCTCCAAAACGAAAATATCGAGTCTAAGCTCAACCAGGGCAATGCAGATATTGCTTACATCCCCGTGTGAGTCTAAAGAACTTTGTCTTGAACAAGTCGGCAGATGGTAGATTATGTACCTCTTCATTGTTCTTCATCCAATGAAACCAACTTTCATCGTGATAGTTGCATTTTTCAAGTCGAGTTTTGGCATTACTATACTATCTATAGTGGTTGCGACTATTGTCGCTCTTTTTCTGTAATCTCACTGTTAATTAGTAGCTTGGGTCCTGCCGGACCCATGTTCCTTTTTTACTTTGTGTTTATCTCCAGGACCTCTCAGAGAATATAAACACCGCTCAGTGATTGAGCATTTCAAACCAGTTTGAACAATTTATTGTAACTATATTGAGCTTCTATCAGGAGTTACATGACCTACAAAATCTGTATATCTGTTTTTGTCTTATAGTTCGCTCATGGACTTGATGAGTTATAAGACACAAAAAATGTTCTTGATATTTAAAACCCGTCTCGGTCAACACACCCTACTTTGTGGCAACAAGCTACGGAGTACTTCTATCCACATTAAAGAGTTTGAATCTCACAATCAGCCCCGACGCAAGATCTGCATAATCAGTGTTGGCTTCCAAAATGGCCAGTAAGATTTTCGTCCTCCCTCGCAATTGCTGTTCTCGGCCTCATGGAACTCATCAAGTAATTCTTGCGGCGTGTCCAGAGTATTCTTGTTGTTCACGGTGATCATGATGGTCTTGGCAATGCTGGGCACACCATCTTGGTCTATAACAAATAGCATCCAGTAACCAGGGATGAGAATTCCGGGTTCATCTGGAAGTCTAATACCATAAGAGGATTTTCTGCGAGGAAGAGGGATAAGTCGAAGAGGAATCCGTCTTTGGTCGGTATTAACTGTGTGTGTCGTAGTGCATAGACGAACCAGAGAAGCATTCACGAGTAGACCATTGGCCTGGAAAGCAAATATCCCGCCAACTTTCGCAATTTCGGGTACACCAGACAAAATCTCTGGTCGGGTACGAAGCTCTCCAGTCTCGGTGAGAAGATACGGTGGCGTGAATATCTGGGCATCGTAGTGGTTGGCAGAGCAGTTACCACAAAGACCACCACCACCATTCAACACCCGGCCATCGGGAAGCAGGATAGATATAGTATGATAAACCCTGACAAAGTTGTTCTCCTGGAGCTGGATGAACGTATCGGTTTCAGGATCATAAATTTCGGGCACGAACTGCACATTCTCTTCATTGAACGCGACACCGAATGTCTGGCCTCCAGCAATAAACACTTTGCCGTCTGGGAGGACCACCGAAGTGTGGAAGACGCGCTCGTAATGCATCACACCATTTTGACCAGCTGGCCGGACGGTCGGCTTTTCACCAGGCTCACCGATGGTGATAATATGGGCGTTGCTTGTGGCCCAAGATTTGTCATAATCTGGGGAACCTCCAAAGGTCAAAATCTTTCCATTGATAGCATCAAACATAACGGCATTGCCAGACATGGCATCATCGTCATCTCGGCGGTCACCGGCGGGCTTAAAGTTGCCTTTTCCTTCGGTATAGTACCAGTTCATAGCTCTACTAGGACCGGCCTGGAAAATTGTGTTTTTCTTCCAGCCAAAGAGCCATGCGTGGTTATCTGCTCTCCAGGGACCTTCCATGTCGTTGGTTAACATAGGTTTAACACTAGCTCCTGTAAGCAAAGTCCAGGTCTGAGTGTACGGATCCCAGATTTCGCCGTCTTTATCGACATTTGAGCCTCCCGCCCAGGAACCCCCAATCACAAACACACGGCCGTCGGACATTGTGGCCGATGCCTGATATCCGCGTCGGAGTCTCATTGGGGGCCCTTTAACCCACATGTCAGCTGTCGAATTGTACAAACTCGTCTCCGATGCATCATTGCCACCCGTGACAACCATTAGACCAGTACCGTCGATCGAGATACCAGGGCAAAACATATCATGCTGGGTGTTGGTCACAATACGCTTAGACACAGTATTGTTGAGTGGATTCCATCGACTCATAACGGTCTTGCCCCCTGGCGTAGAGTGAAAGTGATCGGATGCCCACGATGACCACAGAACAATGTTGCCAGATGCCTCCTGGGCACCGGAAACTGGGACAACGGGAAAGTTGACAGTTGGGCCCCATATGCCACGTTTGGGATCCTGAGGAATGGTGTACAGGGTAGCATAGATATTGAGTTCAGAGATTCCAACCGAGGAGGGCTCGGCTGCTTGAGCGTTGGCGACCAGCCTGACGTATCGCCCATAGACTGGCTCAATCGCGGCCATGCGCTGTCTGTTCGAGTCCGGCCACATGCCGTATGCAACCGGACCCTTCCAGCTTTCTCCATCTTTGCTAATGTAGACTTCATGTTCCGTGATCAATTGATCCTGGGCAGCATCAAGAGGTGGCAAAATCACCAGGGCATTGACCGTGTACGTTTTCTTCATGTCGATTGTGATATTATGGGAGCCACGTGCAACAGTGCTATACCAAGACGTGGTATTTGTGCCATCGATGGCATTTTGGCATTCGTTCCCGTCGCGGGAGGTGCTGCACTGTAGCTTCCATTCCGTGCGGGGCACTCGGATGCCTTGGTACGGAGGGGATTCGTCATTGAACAAAGGTTGCCATGAAGGGTTATCGTATTTTCCGTAGCCGGAAACACGACCAGAATTCATAGCCTCCATCATGTAGGAGCTCATAGCGTTCACCGTCCCAAAGGAGGCCCCGACGAGCAAATGAGCCCATTGGACCTTCATCGTGACACTGTGAGAAAGCTATAAAAGAGGATAAGAATATATGACCGGGGCTATTCCTGTTTTTCTTAAGAGAGAACGACGCAGTTGAGGGGGGGCGCTCGCATATAAGAGGTCCGAATGGTTCCCTGCCATCTTCATCACAATCAAATCGTAGGAATGATCATCACGACCGCAGCCACGACCAAAAAAGGGTTCGACCAATAAATGACAGAGAAAAGCTCATTGCATCGGCTTGAAAGTGAGCCGAGGGGGAAAGGCTGATGATTGGTAGGCCTGGAGATCTACCTTGTTCCTGAGCCAGTGATTGGATCGGCAAAGTCAGGGTTAAATCAAAATAAAAAAAGCAAATTTTGACGACCGCTCTGTTTCTCACCAGTGGAACAGCGTCAGTTTGCTTTTGCGGGGTGCCTGTGGGGGTCCATGGCCCCTTTTCAGCTAGCACATTCCTAAGTGTGCAGGTTTAATACTCCTGCCCTGAATTCAATACATGTTTACTGCGTACAGTTGAACCTTATTGGATGAATGCCTCCGAAGACGATCTTCGCTCAAGCCGGCCCGGAACTTTACCTTAATTGGGTGTTGGGCTGGGGGTAATTCTTTAATTCTTTTCCTTTCTTTTTGCCTATGTATGTTGTATTGCCCCAACTCTATTTTATAATCGGACTTTCGGCTGGTTCAGCTGGATTCCGAAGCGCCACATTTTGAGTTTTTGACAAGTCATAAAGTCGTAAATCTTTTCATGGCGAACAGAATATGTTCTCTCCTTGCATACTTATTAGGAGCTGATGCTTAATGGTGCTTCTTTGTCATATGAGCTGGTTTCGCTATGCTCGTCTTAGTATTCAAAGTCTCCAGAATATTTAAAACTATACTACAAAGATATCGGACACCTATGTCTTCACCCGCATGCGCTTTCAGCAATACTTTCATACATGCTGGCGCAAATGTTGGGCACCCATATTTTTCTTGCGGGAAATCACAAATTCTCGAGTTTAATTACAAAATATCCGCTGTAACCCACTATAGTGGAAGAAGACGCAAATTATTGCAGGGGTAGCTTATATGTAATCTCCAGACCAAACTGGATTTGCCGGGCACAAGTGTAACATACTTCCACTATCCAGCATACCTAACTATAAAAATACTACTCCATAGAATACATGGTTTTTAGTAACTCGTCTTACGTTCAGATAGCGGAGAGCCCGCGCTGGGCGCTAAACATTTCGCTCAATACCTACCCCATCTGCTTTTGTACATTTTTCTTTGTGAGATAGTTTCTTTTCGGCTCACCCTGTTTTACGATTTGTTTTTTACCTTTCCAAAAGCAGGCATGATGTGACAGATATCGCTTGCTGAAAGGTCGTATTTTAGAATGTTTGACCCTAAATGGTGGTCTACCATAGTTTGTTTAATTAAGGATGCAGCAGTGTAGCATCACATTCTTTGGGCCCTTGGTATCTACAAAGCCTAATTTGTCTTCTCTTCAGGGTCTATCACGGGAAATAGATCCCCGGCTTTTTTAAATCTTAAATTTTCTAGGTATCCCATATAGTTCGAGCATTTTCTAACAAAAATTTATTACGAACTTGCGGAAGGTTCACAATCGGTCAGAATCATGGCTTCGGTGATTAGAAAGGCGAACATCCAAGGTGATATTTGGTAAGATCCTGTGTCCATGGTAAACTTCTTTCAATATTTACATACTAATACATCTATTCTTATAGGCCTGGTTTGCCGAAGAGATTCCAGTCATTCCTCTTCTTTCGTATTAAAAAGCCCGATGAATTCAAATCACGCCTTCGGACCTTCGTTCCTCAAATCACAACTGCCGAGGCCGCCTGTGACATGAGGGCCATCATTGCGAAGGAAAAAGCACTCTCCCGGAAGGAAAGTCGGCCGGCGAAGCTCCAACCCTTGCCGGGAGTGAATATTTCCTTTGCTTCAACTGGCCTCGCAGCGGTAAATAATGATGCCCACACCTACAAAAACAGGTCGATCAACCAACTAATAAGCTCCTAGCTGGGAAAGTTCACATTCGACGAAGCTAGAGTCAAGAAAGATAGGCAGCTCTCAACCATCTTTAGGAATAACCAGGTTCGTGGTGGCCTGTTTGGAAAAGGCATGTATGATGACCTAGTGGGCGAGGGCTGGGACGACCCTCAAGAGCTTCGCGAGGCTTACAAGCCCTTTGGTGCTAAGAAAGAGCGCCTCATTGATGGCGTCATCATGGTTACATCAAGTCTCAAGCCTGATATGATTGAGAAAGTCAACCGTGTGAAGGAACATTTCTTAAAGGAGCCGGGAGATGACACAGACAACTATGTTGTCAGCAAAGACCCTTCGATTGAATTCTTTTTCAACAGAGAGGGCCAAGCAAGGCTCGAAAAGGGCAAGGAACAGTAATTTGCAACATTGCATACCTATGATATTGCTTTGAGCTAACTTTGCTTAGCTTTGGATTTGCGGATGGACTCAGTCAACCCCAGATCATTGGCCTCGACCCGGAACCAAAAGATAAGGAGCCTAAGGCAGTGAAATCAGGGTTCGTTTCATCGGTTTTCTGCTCTGTGAAGTGTACAATGGATGGGCTTATTGCCGTTTATATTCCAGAATGATCTTTTGCGGCCACGAAGGCGACGAGATGAACCAACCAAAATGGGCGCTTGATGGCAGTTTCCTTGTTTTCCGCGATCTTGAACAACTTGTGCCAGAGTTTGATAAGTTAGTTGCTCTGTCCCATCACCTATTCAGGCAGAGCTCGTTACTGATGAGACTTTGATAGATTCATCAAGGACAATGCCCACAAGGCTCCATTTACCAGAGACTCCCCCAAACCGGAAGAAAAGCTCGCGGCATACCTTATGGGTAGATGGAAAAATGGTGTTGTTCCCATTTTTCGGTTATCTTTGACTTTGAGTTCTAACAACCGTTATAGGAACTCCTGTTGATCAGTCTCCTCACGACGATAGCGTCGCAGATCTTCACACATCAAATAATTTCGATTATCGACCCATTGACAAGCATGACAGGTGTCCATTTGCGGCCCATACCCGCAAGATGAGGCCGCGAGGAGATCTTGAGGATGACCATGCGGTGATCATTCGGCGTGGAATCTCGTACGGCGGGGAAGTCACACCGGCAGAGAAAGCTTGCCAGAAGTCGGACCCTAATCACGAACGAGGACTGCTGTTTGTTTGCTACCAGAGCGATATTCGCAATGGGTTCAACTTTCTTACCACCCGTAAGTTCTTTCGCGGTTCTTCCGCACTCCTAGGCTCACAGGCCTCAGCCCACATGGCGATAGATTAACATCGCTCTCAATTCTCAGGCTGGGCCAGCAACCACCACTTCCCAGATCGCAAAGACATGTTCGTTGGTGCTGATGGCCCTGGTATCGATCCAATCGTTGGGCAGAGACTTTCTCACCATCCACCTCGTTCTATCGGTCTTCCCGATGGCAATAATCCTACCGAGGCACGTATGGAACTCGACAGCTGGGTCATCCAGAAGGGTGGCGAATACTTTTTCACGCCTTCTATTGAAGCGCTGAAGGGCTATCTTACAGGTCCTCCAGACTATCCTTCGGCACCTACATCCAAGATCTAAAATTGCAATGCCGAGACGACAGGTATCTCTAGGGCTGCGGGTGCCAATCTTCAAACTTTGTTTTCACGATCTGATCTCCACAAGTCGTCCTCAAATTGAACTTTGTCTGGTCATTTATTACAGCGTGGACACTCCTGCGCCGCGAATATAATGCTTCTTTAATGCTTACGGGTGTGCTCAGGCTTACTCAGTGATCCAAAGGCGGCCGAGAGTGAGCACTGGAGAACGAATAATATGGATTCAGGCTCTGAGAAATAATGTATCTACATAATCTACGTAAGCACCACTAACATTGCTTAAATGCAGAGAGGGCAAAAATTAAAAATAAATAAAAACATACAACAGTGAGGATTCGCTGGTGGTCACCCACCCAACTACTAACTCACCGGCGTGTGGCTTAAGTACGGCTGAGCGGACGGGAAGCCCTGTTTTCCACACCCTATGGTCGTATGTATCTTGTTCCATGTCGGAAAGGAATATAGAGTTAAAGATATGCGGGGTGCGCTTTATAACTCTAGAACCCTAGGTAAAGACTCTCAAGGCTTACTTACCTCCAGGGCTAGATTCATGGATGGATGACCCGCTCGATTAGTCAGCTCTTGTATGTACCTATCCATGGATGTGCAACATAAGTAGGATGCGTCTCAATATTGGGGAATGGCTGAGTTACGTATGCGACTCCCTAGGTACTGCAATAGTGCCTACCCTCGGCTCGAAGTCACTTTCATTATTGTCCCTCCCATTTCTCTCCTGTTTTACTTGATGGATTTCATCACTTGCGGAGTATATCGTAAGAACGATGAACTGCTCGTGTTTATACTTTTGTATTTATGTCTTGTCGGAAAGATGAGTGAGTAGTGATTCTGCCAATGATTATCGATTCTGACCATCATTAGGCCCGGGAGTTACTGTGACCTGCAATTACTCTCCTGGTCCAACGGGCCTTGGCCACTCAATGGTTCTTGCTCGGATTGTTGGCCGGGGACATTAGAGACTCAATTAAACAGCCCCTTGGGGTATGATGAGGGCGTGGCGGACAGCTTCACTTCTTTGACGTCGAGCTGCAGCGCCACGGGTTACTCAGTCACTTCCCCAACTGCGTACGCGCTTAATGCAACTGCGACTGCAACCAGCTCGCCTACAACCAGCACGCCAACAACCAGCTGTGAAAACCATTATCAAATGAAGGAAACAGACGACTGTAACTCCGTGGCAAAGTCGCTGGGAGTCTCTACATACTACCTACTGCAAGCCAACGACTTGGATCTCTACTGTTAAAGCTTTGCGGCGAAAGTCAACCAGACACAGAGTGCCCCCTCGCAGTGCACCACACACACCTGGCAGGCTGATGACATTTGCGATAGTGTCGTCGGCGGCCTCGCTAATATGACTCTTCCACAGTTCTTCTTCTGAAACCCCAATATCAATTCCCTCTGTCTGAATGCGATTTTCTTCATTGGATATGAGGTGTGTGTGTGAGGTGAGTAGATTTTGCTTCAATCTCAATTTGAAAGTCCGGAATATTGACCTTTACAGTCCCCCGTAGATGCGTATGTATGAAGTTAGGGTGGTGTAAGTCGATAAGACATCATGCCAAGGTGCAACCGCCCAGTCTTGTGGGTAAGATTGCGACTAAATGATCACAGTATCCACGGTAGAAGAAATTGCTCTTGATTTATGACCATAGCGCGCGTATCGAAATTATTCCGAGCCGCCCGATAACACGGACCCGCGAATCCCTTCCCGGGCCGGCCCTCAGAGGCTCTGATCACTGCTCCTCCACTTCTCACTTCTCCCCTAGCCCAGACGGGCGTAGTGTGTCATCATCTTGGGAACCTGAGATTTGAGCAATTTAAAGCGTTTGAGGGAATACTCGCATCTCCACTCTAAATCTCTGCAAACTTGAGAGATCCTGCTTGCCCCTGGACCATACCCCCTAGCCCCCACCTCTTTCCCCTACTTATCCTCATCTCAACAGAACCAAGGCCTGCCTTCGCACTCATGACTACTATGAGGATACTTCAAACTACACGCCATCTACCGATCTACAGCCAATTCGCCCGCCCAAGCGTTACCCGCCCGATCTTCTTTCGCTTTCCCTTCGAACATCCCTCACGTCTCGCAAAGTCCTTATCTACATCATATTTCAACACAATCAGGACTCTCTCAACATCCACCACAATGGCTTCTCGCTCAAAGCGCGATCCCACAATGTATTCCTTTATGAATGGGGCTGATCTGGTCGAGGAACTTCTCAAGGAGGATAGATTTACAACCTGGGGCTTCGTGATCTTTCGTTGTACGTACCACAATGACTCTAACTGGGAGAATTTCATGGCTCGCATGGTCGGCGCCGTCTCAGAAGACCTCAAGGAATACAGTGGCCTTGATCTCCTCGACACATTCGCCCCAACGGTCTTACAAGACCCATCCTTTGAGGGTGCTACGGTTGCCACCATACGCGAGCACTTCCATCAGTGGAAGAAGACTGCATTGAAAGAGGAACAGGGCGTGAGCGAAGACTACACTCCAACTAGCGGCCGATACCGCTTCTTCATCACCGTAGACCAGGAGGCTATGGAGTCCGTTCTAAACACCCCCTTGGGAGGGTTCGAAGAGTATGAATTAGGGCATGTCCGCATGGTTAATGCTGAATTGAAATGGACAGATGTGCCTGAAGAGGACTCTGAGGACAAGAATATATCAGAGCCTGAGGAGTTCGAGCCCCTTGAAGGGTGTACTGAGGATGACGTGGGCTGGATGAACATACGCTGGCGTATTGTGCAGCTTCCGGGATTCCACAAGATGACTGAGATTGATGACTGGCAGGCGTATTATGTCCGGTATCCAGGGATCGCAGACATAAATTGATATCTACCCGTGCTAGAAACAGGATTTGGTATACCTAGCACTGTTAAACAGTTTCTTCAATCGCGTTTGGGTTGAATGGGCTAGTAGCCTGCCTGGGCGCCGCGCTAGAGCGCGGCTCAGGAAGAAGTGAGAATCAAGGATATGGCAAATCAAGATATGATAAAGGATAGCTGAAAAGACTCAGGAATGACCACCCAAAATCTCCATCCTTGACGGCGTCTTCGAGTCTTTTAAAAGCTACTCACCTTGCCAGTGTCACCCAGGCTCTGCCCAGCGACAACAAGACACAAATCAAGGTCAACGTCAAATAAAAACAACTATCCCCGCGGGGGAATGTTGGTTCTGGCCTGAAAAGGGATTCTCCTAGTATCAAGCATCGGCAAAAGATCACCGAATGGCCATTGATGTCACGTCACTTTTGTGGGCATTTCAGTGGGTGAATACGCTGAAGCTAGGTAGACTCCTCTCACCAACGGATGCCGGAGACCTTCTTTATCGTCAACCACGGCTGCACTGGTTACGCTGACCTTCCCGACAACGACGAGCTGGACCAACTGATATCCCGCGTCGGATATTGCGAGAAAAAAATGCAATGCTTGTCAGTACGCCACTCGGCCAGATGCCGTCGACCATTTATTTACACACGTTTCTAATGTTTACCCCGAACAACGCTCGGTTAGCAGCTCGCAATCACGGTGGGTTACAAATTTTGAAGAGTATAGCTTCTTCAACACTTCATAGTTCGTTGTATCACAGCTCCTGGTCGGACTCGGTATGTTCTCGATGCAGCGGTCTACGCTGAAATTAATAAAATCTAAAAATCAGAAGAAATGGACCACATACTTGTGAGCTGTGCATTAATATACAGCAATCTAAAACAGTCCCGTCTTCAACATTTTTTTGCAGGGTGAGTAGTGGAGAGATTCTTTTATTCAGCCACCTAATCACAAAAAGAGACATGCTGGTCATAGTACCAGACCCAAAAGAAACAAATTCACCGTTCATAAGATACAATGCTCCAAAAACACAGGCTGCGGGATGCGGTACTAAAAACAAGTAAAGAAAACAGGGTCCTTTATGATATGTCGTTTAAAAATTATGAACCAATTGAAAAAGAAGAGAGACTCAATGTGGGGATGTCGTTATAAAGAAAGAGATGGAAGGGAGGATGAGTCGAGGGCGATTGAATGTGAATTGGTCGATCATGTTGGTGAATAGAGAGGAGAGAGAATTTAAGCCAGAGCCTTGTGCTCAGACGGAGGAGGGGGAGGAAGCTGTTGAAAATTTGTGGTTAGCAGACTCGTCTTGACTACTCAAAATAATTTAAATCAAAGGCAAACAGTTATCGTACCTCGAGCTTTGTGTTATCAGCCATCATGCGCTGGAAACCAATGCCGACACCCTCAATCACAGCAAGAAAGACGGCACACATGATAGCGGAGTTTCGGGCGGCCTTATAACCACCACGGATAGCAAGGGAACCACCGGTGAAGAAACCAGCGATAATAGCATTATAAGGATCTTCCTTCTTGCGAATTCCCTTAATTGAACAGTCGTATATGCTGAAAAGTCCTCCCCAGCAGCCGAAGTTACCACCAAGGACGGGGGCGCGCGCCTTGATAGCTGTGAGAGCACCTATCCGGCGTTCACCGTAGGGACTGTTGCGGAAACCCTTGACACCGTGCCAGACAGCACCACCGATGGCACCCATACAGAAAGCACCGCCGAAGTCGCTTAAAGCAACCCAGGGGCAGGGATCGCGCGTGTGATCCATAATGTGTGAAAGAGTGATGTAAAGGCGGATTGGCGAACAAAAAACCGATTGTGAAATGCTTAAGGGTTGTAGAGGTCGAAGATTCACAAGCCCAGTAAGTGACGCGATAACAAGATAAGGGCGGGTCGACTTTTCTTTCTCATGTCCGGGGCTGCACGTGACCACTGATTCTTGGCTCGGTCGCCACCGAGCCCTTTGATTTCTACGATGTGCCCCGTGTTTATTATTATTTCAGTTTATCATTCGTTCGGGTCAGGAATCCCCGCGTTCCCTGCCCAGGGAACGAGAATATCCCGGCCACTCATCCCTAGATGATGTCTCGAGACCATCAGAAAATTTCTTCGTCCCTGCGTCA